TTATATTTACACGGTTTTTGAGGTGATTGTCTTTTTGTTATTAATTGACAAATTTACCCTTAATTGTATGGTGGATATTAAAAGTAATAAATGAATTGATGATAAAAATGTAAATTTTGTGTTTAAAAAATAAAAAGGACAATAATTGTTTGGCGTCTCAAATAGAAAAATAGGACATTAGTTCGTGGAAGAATAGAGTATTTATTTATTTATTATTATCATAAATTAATTTTATAAAAAAATAATAAGTTTTAAAGATAAATAAAAACATTTGTTAATTAAAAAGAATGATAAAAATAAAGAAGTTTCAAGTAAATTCCACGTGAAAAATATTAGAAATTTAATTAAATTAATTATTATTTGTTAAGTGTGATTGCGATTGAATAGAAATAAAAAGATTTTGAGTAAGTCATATGTGCGTAACAAATGTTATAAATTTAATTAAATTGATTTATATTTATTAAAATGTATTTAAGTTTAATAAATTAGAGAACAAATAAAAAATAGAAGATATCATATGTGGCGTCAATGAAAAAATATTAAATAAATAGTACAAATACTAAATAAAAATAGTATCTTATTTTAGAAAAAATAAATATTCCCTCTGTCCATTTACAATGCACATATTTATTTTTAGTGCGGTGTTTAACAAATAATACTCCATCCGTTCCAATACAATAGTCCCGTTTACCATTTTTGTCCGTCCCAAACAATAGTTTCATTTTCATAAATAACTATATCGTTATAAAACTACCTTTACTTTTTCATTATTATTACACAATTGCCATTACTTTTTACCCTATTACACTCACAAGGGCAAAAAAGTTTTTTATATATACTTTTTACTCACTATCAATATAATATTAATATTTCTTAAATCTCGTGTCGAACACAACCCAAACTATAAATATGGGACGGAGGGAGTATTATTTTAATTATACTAGGTAGTTAAAAGTAGTGTAATAACATTTTTGCCCTTACTTTTTGGGAAAAAAATAATGATGTGATGTAAAGTATGAGCATTTATGAAAAAAATTAAAGTATTTAATAAAATGTCTACTTTGTAATTCAACATTCGAAAATAGAAATATATATACTGTCTAATTGAACGGAGGGGAGAGAGTATAAAAATCTGATATCTTATTTTAGAAGGAATGAAATACTTATTTTAGTAATTATATATACATTTTTATTTTAAATTGTTTAATTACAAATTAATTATTTTAAAATTATCCTTTTTTTCTATTAAATATTTTTATTTAAAATGTAAAATTATCTTTAAATTATTTTTAATTATATATTATAAAAAATAATATTAATTTTTTAAATTTTAGTCTAAAATTAGGGTATAAATAAAAACAATAATAATTTTTTTTTTGTTTTTTTAAAAAGCTTTATAGAGACAGACAGAAAGAAAAAAGATAAGGCAGAATCGCACGCATAAATATCTGGACCCGATTGCATTTACTGCTGCTAACTGCCTACCCACCCCCACCCACCCCCTCGATTCACAAATATTACTACGTTACACACAACTACTGTTACAAATTAATTTTATATTTATCTTTTCGTTATAAAAAAATATTTTGGTTTTTTTTTTTTTGTAAAAAGATAAATAATTAATTTATTTACTATAATTCTTTTATTATTAATATATATATATTTTTGGTTAAAACTCTTGTATAATTTATGGTTCGAGTTGAGTTTGATTTCAAAAGGCAAATCTTCTTCACTCAAATTTGTATTTTCTAAAGGCTCTTTTTTCATCTAATATCATGTTAATTTTACAGTAAACATGAGAATTTAAAAAATATATAATTAATAAATATTTAAAAATATATTAATAAAAATAATTGATTAATTTAATTAAAATTTTAAAAATTAAAAATAAAAATTAAAAGTATATAATTTATTTTTAGAAATAAAAAAAAACAAATAAAAATAAAAATGTGGACATATAAGTAGAATATATAATAGTAAATATATTTTTCCTTTTAGATTATCTTTTAACTGTTAATGCATTTCTATTTCTAATAAATTTATCTAGGGCCATCAAAATGAGTTGAGTCCGTCGGGTTGACTCGCTCCCGTCTCACTTTTTTGGAGGGTTGAGTTGTGATTTATAAGCCTGTTAGAATGCGAGCCTAAACGGGCCAACCCACGTGAGCCGTAGATTGAAAGTGGATTAGCCCGGAGTGGAGCGGGTTAGCCCGGCTAAATAAATATAATAATTAGTACTCACTCGTATCAACTAAATATTTTTAATTATTTTTAACTGTCATATTAAAAAAATTATAATAAAAGTAATCAAATATTAATATTAGAATATATTTTTATTTTATATAAACTACAAATATACTATTATAAATACAATTAATTTATAAATAACTTACAAAGAGAAAAAAATATCAAAATCATAATGTACATTTTATTTAATAAATAATATATTATTATTTTTAATATACTGAAAAAATATATTTTTAGTTAAGACGAATAAAATTAGCTTAAATAAATTAATCAGTATTGTCTACACATTATTTTTATTTTCTAACTCTGTTATCAATGTCACTTTTATTTATTTCGATTTTCCATCATTTGTTTTATTCGTCTTCCATTTTATTGTTTTATAATATTTTTTTTATTCTAAAATCTACAGTTTCATAAAATTATTATGATTTATTTGTAAAATATTTCTTATTATTAATTTTTTAAACACACTAACTAATACTATAGAATTAAATTTTTTTTATATTTTTTTAGTTATTTTAGAATATTTATTATTTATATTCTACAATAAAAAATTTTTTAGCTATTTTTAAATATTAATTACGAAAATATTTATAATATTATTTTTTTAGAAAAGCCCGTGGGCTAGCCCACTTAGCTCGCCACCCACCGGTTGGTTGGGTTGAGTTGATGAAATTTTGATCCGCCCCGTCGCGGGTTGGCCCGCAAACAACCCGCCTATTTGCGGATTATTGTAGATTGTGAGCCAATCCGCCCCGTTAACCCGTTTTAACAAATCTAAATTTAACCATATTTATCATATTTAACAAATATAAATTAAATTAATTTAATTTATTACTTTTTACACACACAATAGGTACTCAAGTTTTTTTATTTTATCTTTCAACAATAAATAAATAGATATTTACTTTTTACTGTAAAATTTAATAAATAATAATATTTTAATTATAATCGATATTCTAAAGTAAAGAAAATATAATTGTGATTTTATTTTTTAATGTAAAAATAATTAAGTGATTATAAAATAAAAATACCTGTAAAAAATAATATTTAAAATAATTACTTTTTAACCAAAAACAAAAATAACTATAATTTGTAAACATATATTGTGGGATTATAAGATACTCTCTAATCTCTATGGCATCCAAATGTATTGTCATTTTTTTTTTGGTTATTATTTATTCTCATTTTTTAAATAATTTTTTTTTATTTTAAATAATAGAAGTTTTTATGAAATTTGTATCTGATTAAATGAACACACATTTACACGATAAAAAGAAATACAATCACCATCAAATAGAAAGAGCACTATTTAATTTTTGCGCATAGATTTTTAATACTATTAGTATTATATTAATTTATAATAAAAAGACAAAAATATCTTTATTAGATTATATGATATAAACATAATGATATTTGTATAATATATTGAAAATTGTAAAAGTATTAATTATATAATTACTAAATTAGAAAATAGTATCTTATTTTGGAATTTATATGTAGATTTTTTAATATTAATATTATATTGGTTTATAGTGAAAAAGACAAAAATGTCCATATTAAATTGTGTAATATAAAAAGACAAAAATGTTCATATGAAATTGTGTGATATATTGGAAGTTATAAAGATATTATTTATGTTATGTTAAATATGTAGTATAATTATTAAATAAAAAAATATTCTCTCAGTTTGTTATCAATTTCATTTCTCAGTAACTCTAATATTATAAATACCCTTACAATTTACAATATATTACACAAATGCCATTACATGTATATCACACCATACTAATAAGGTTATTTTAGTCATTTTTACTTTATTCCTACTATATCCCAATACAATACTAATATTTATAAAATTTAGTGCAAAAAAAAAATAAATACATTGTTATGAGAAGGAGGAAAATAATATTCTTGTTTTTAGGACATAAAAAAATAAAAATAGTACTCCTTCCGTCCCATTGAAAGGTTATTATTTTTCATTTTGGTTTGTCCCAAAACAAGGTTACCATTTCATAATTTATTAATTGTACTATCTACCTAACATAATAAGTACCCTTTCAACTTACAATATATTACACAAATATCGTTACTTTTATATTATACTATATTAATAGGAGTATTTTTTATTTTTTTTTATTACAATTTAATATAATATTAATATTTAAAAATTGATGTGAAAAAGCAAATGCGAGGGATTAGTATATTTTTTTATGGGACGACGTGGAGTAGTATCCATTATACGAGGGATATTGGTAATTTAGATTGCCAGTTTTGGGAGCTTTCTCAGGTGGCTTTTACAGACGCAGGCCATCTGCTCTGCACATTAGCCTTTATGACAACCCCCTACTCCTACTCCTACCCCTCCCCCACCCCCTACCACCCCTAGGTACCCTCCCAAAATCTAATCCCAATCTCCCTTCGGATTCAGTGCTTCTCTCTCTCTCTTCTCAATTTCCCAATTCCTATAATCTCATTTATTTTATTTTTTTTTATTTCGTCATTACCATTCCTACAAATTAATTACACACAAAATCACGTGTGTGCATATAAATAAAGCAAATAATTTCTCTCTATATCTATATAAATGTATATAGAGAAGTGGTAAGATATGCATCTGCAATTAATCAATCAATCAATCAATCATAGTCAATCCAATACCCCACCCCCCCCCCCAGCACATTACAGCACCCCTCTCTTATTATATATTCATTCAGTTCATCCAACCCTAGTTCGTTAGTTGAGAGAGAAAACCATAAATTGAAGAACAACTTCTTCATCATCAGAAGCAGAGAAGGATTGATTGATTGATTGATTACAAATATATATATATGTAAGTATATATATGGTGGTGATGAAGATGAAGATGACGATGATGGAGGAAATCCTGTGTGAGGTGGACGTAGAGAGAGAGGAGAGGAGCGAGAAAGGGATAGGGCTACCCCCTGGGTTCAGATTCCACCCCACAGATGAAGAGCTCATCACCTTCTACCTTGCCTCTAAGGTCTTCCATTCTCATTCCAACTCCTTCTCTGAGCTCGACCTCAACCGCTGCGAGCCATGGCACCTTCCAGGTACTCTCTCTTACATCACAAGATGAATTAAGATGATGATTGGAAAGGCTGTAAGAAAAGCAAGCAGCTTTTGATTTCTTTAAGTCGTAGGTATGTATGGTCTCGTCGATCTGGTTACGTCACTTTGATGATTACCACACCTAATTATATATACATACACATATTTGTGTGTAAAGTCTCTCTCTCACTCTCTCTCTCTAGCTCTCTAGGCATCGTCGTCTTCAATAGTCCAGTGCAGTACTGCAGACTTATTAATTAATTAATTATTGGATATATGGATAGATGTGGCGAAAATGGGGGAGAGAGAGTGGTACTTCTTCAGCTTAAGAGACCGGAAGTACCCGACCGGTCTGAGGACGAACCGGGCGACCGGCGCCGGGTACTGGAAGGCGACCGGAAAAGACAGGGAGGTGTACGGGTCCGGGAGTGGGGTCCAGGCCCTGGTGGGGATGAAGAAAACCCTGGTCTTCTACAAGGGGAGAGCTCCACGTGGTCAGAAGACCAATTGGGTTATGCACGAGTATCGCCTTTCTCACTCCTCTTCCCAATCCCACAACACCAAGGTCCTCTTTCTCTCTCTCTCTCTCTCTCTCTCTCTACATTTATATTACGATATTCATTTGGTTAATTGTGTATTTTTTTTGCCGATTTTTCAAAAAATTTTATTATTTAAAATTTTATAATTTTTTTTTTTAAATATTATTTTCATTCCAAGAGAGTCATATTAATTTTTCATTTTCTTTTCACTAGGAAAAAAAAAAGACCCCTAGGGTTTTATTTTTAACTTTATATTTTTAATATATATACTTGTCCTTTCATTCATAAAATAAATAATTTTTTATTTTTATTTGTTCGATCAAAGTGCAGATTTATTTATCTATTTATTATATTACACATTACATATACCTTACAAATTTATATTTATTTATATTTTAAAAATATATGCATCAAATTAAATTTCAAATTGAGCTCCATTTCGACAGTGAGGTTTCGAGAAATTTTGTCCTTTTCAAATTTTAAGAATAATAAATAATTAATATTTGATGTAATTCTTTATAAGACTGATAAATATACTTATTAAGATGGCATTTTGATAAATATATTAATTAAGATGATATTTTTTTTAAAAAAATTGAATTATATCAAAACTTTAAAAATAAATCTACCAAATTTTAAATAATAAAATTTAAAACCACACCCCTAATTGTCCCTTGTGGTGATTGGGGTTGACTTGCTGTGCCAATAATTGATGTATTTTTCTTGTCTTTTGTCTTTTTTTTCCTTTAATTTGTCAAGCTGTTGCTCAACAGTTATGTGTAACATAGGCTATATGAAAGCTTAGATTTAAATTTGATATTAAAATAAATATTTAGTAGTTTATTTTTTTTTTTGAAAAATACAAAGTCTAGTAAAAATTGAGAAAAAATAAAATAAAATTACTGACATATATAATTATAATTAATTAATTTGATTGTTTTGAATTTGCAGCAGGATGAGTGGGTAATGTGCAGAATCTTTTACAAAATAGCAACAACAGGAGCAGCTCATGAGAAGAAATTAGGGCAGCAGCAGCAGCAGCAACCCCAATTAATCCCTAATTATAATCATTACAACATTAATAATTCTTATTCCCTAATTGATCATCCCCAAATGATCAATCTCCACCAAAACCCTAACCCTAATTTCCCAAATCCAATTGATCTGATGATCCAAGATGATCAAGAATATCTGAAAACCCTAATCCATAATCAGTCATCCCAATCTGACAATATTTTCTTCCCACTCATGAACAACAACAAGTTCTTATCATCATCATTATCATCATCCCCCATTATTGCTGCTGAATCTTCTTCTTCTACTTCTCTGAAGAAACAGAAACGTTGCAAGAAAGAGGGTTTTCCAGGGGCCCACTACTTCCATTACCCACAAATTGAAATATTTGCCAATAATAATAATAATAATAGTAGTTTTGATGATGATGCCATGAATCTTGCAGCAGCAGTTACTGGTAATGTGGTGATGTCATCATCTGAGCCTGCTAATCTGGAGTGGTGGTAGATAGATACAGTATTATATATATATATGTATCTGGATTGTTGAATTGATCACTACCGTTAGATCTCGATTATGGCGAGTCTAGATTCAATTACTGTATCTGATCATCATCTGTGATGAAATTAATTAGGTAGCAGAAAGAATCTAGATAGAGATTCTCGAGTATGTGAAGTAGCCATGCCATGCCTGCAGACCCACTGCTGTATATATATATATATATTATTGAGTTGATATATATGAGTTTGATTAATTAATATACTTCCCTTTATCTCGTAATATATATATATTTTTTAAATAATTTAAAAAATATTAGTATTATATTAAGATATAAAAAAAAATAAAAATGACTAAAATAATTTTATTAATACGATATGATATTAAAATAATAATATTTATGTAATATATTATAAATTGTAAAAATATTTATAATATTAGATAAATAATACCATTATTAAAAAAATAAATAAATAAAAATTTCCGACGGCATTGGCATTAAGGAATTATATATGATGCGATGGGTAGATAATAGATATGCTGTGATTTTGATGAGATCACTACTAGTGCCACGTGTGTCAGTGTTTTGTTGTTTGGGTGTGTCTATTTAGTACTCAAATCCAAAATTTTTATTATTTGAATTATGTATATCTTTTAAAACTAATGTTTTGTTTTCTTTTTTTTATAAAATATTCTATTACATATTCCCTGATTCGTTCGTTTTTAAGGATCATATTTATTTTTTGGATTATTGCATTTAATATTAAAAATATTTTTATATTTGAATAATTTTTTTTACAAATTTTTTTATATTAAACTTATAAGATATTAATATAAATATTTTTATAAATTTTTTGTTAATATATACTATGTTTTTATATAATAATTATTATTAAAAAATTAACATGCAATAATATTTGAGCCGAGTCCAATTGGCCGGGCCAAAGAGTCCGCATCTTAATTGTTCGATTTGGACTATTCATTAATTGGTCCAATTCACTCAAAAATCGAATTCATAATTTTTTTATTTTATTTTTTTATTTCAGTTCGATTATGATTTTTAGTTTTTAATTTCGATGGATCAAAATAACTGAATTTTTAAAAAATAAAAAAATATATTAATAAATAATATTCTTTTGTCAATTTTTAACATTTACATATTTTTATTTTCATTTATTCAATTAAAAAATTTACATTTTTCTTTCTAATAACGGTAGACTTTTACTACGGATTATTAATACATTTCTTACACTTATTTATCGCCTTATATTTAATTAATTATACATTTATATATAAAAGTAAAGATGATTTGGTATTTATATTATTATATCTACCAATTATTAGTATAATATTAATATTTTTTTTTAATTCGTGTACAAAAAATAAATATATATATTAAAGTTGAAAGGAGAGAGTATATATTATAATTTTAAGTATTTGTATTTTGTGGTTTAATATATATTAATAAACCAAAATAAACAAAATTGTTTTTTAATATATTTTTTTAAAAAATTAATATATTAGATACACTCATTATTTGATGTATTATTTTTGTAAAAAAAATATATTTGTCCAAAACAATAAATTAGTATTATATATATATGTATAATATATATATATGTATTTTGATATTTGCCTGATAGTTAAATTTTTCTGTTAGAAAATGAATAATAGTAAATTATAAAGTTTACTCTTGAACGGAAGAGTATGTTATATATTTATTATTTTTATAATTTTTTATAATTTATATTAAGATTTTTTTTATATATAATTTTATATAATTTATATTAAAAAAAAATTCGTTCAAATTATTTTACAAAACAGTGTTTCAAATCAAAAGGATCATTTGTTCCCAACGGAAAGAGTATTATTTATCTATTAAACAAAATTGATTCTAATAAAATAAAAATTGAGCGACCCGACCCGGTTGGAGTGACCGAATAAACAAATCAGGAACATATATATAAGCATCCGGGGTCGACTGAAGAACCCTAAACCCCCAATTCGCCGCCGGCGGAATTTCTCGCCGTCGCTTCGCCACTGTTCCATTCTCCGAATCATGATCGGCGCACTCCTCGGAATATTCCCCATTCGCGCTTCCAGAATCCGTTTTCCCTCTGCCTGGCTCCGCCGCTCCACCATATTTCCACCTCACCGGCGACTCAACTCACCGTCTACGACTTCCTCGTCCACAACCACAATTTCTCCCCGGAATCCGCCTCCAAAATCGCCGCCGCCGTCAAGCGCCTATCGCAATCCGGAGAAATCCTCCTCCGTGCTCGCCTTCTTCAAACAAATCGGCTTCTCCACCTCACAGCTCGAGAAAATCCTCCAATCGAGGCCTAGACTGCTCTTCACCAACGTCGACAAAACCATCACGCCGCGAATCCGAGTCTTCACCGACTTCGGATTCTCCACCGCCGACCTCGTCGAGATTCTCGCGAAGGATCCATGGATCTTCTCCGCAAGCGCCACCGAAATGATCTTTCCCGGCCTAACCACGCTGAGGAGCCTCTTAGGAACCGAAGCATCCGCCGATCTCCTCAAATCATCGGCCGGATTACTAAGCTCGAAAATCCTCAAAAACTATGTCGTCTCCAATGTCGAATTCCTCCACAACAGCTGCGGAGTGTCCATGGATCAGATCTTGTGGATAATTCGCTGATTTCCGCGCTTCATCAGCCGGAGGCCCGACGACGTCAAAGAGTTCGTAGACAAGGTCGATCAGTTAGGCGTCAAAACGTCCAGCCGGAGGTTCATCCACGCCGTGAGGGTGTTAAATTCGATGTCGGACAAAACCTGGGAGTCCAAAATGTCGAGTTTCCGGCGACTCGGATTCTCCGACGATGATATCGCTGTCGCATTCCGGGGGTGTTCTGTTTCTCAATGGATCATTGGACTGTGAAAATGAAGGCATTGCAGGTAGGTATGGATAATTAGATTCTATATTTAAAATGATACTATTTGATTTGATTTGATTTTTTGAAATATAATTACAATATCATGTTTTAGTTTGATTTATTTAATTCTAAAAGTATTTATGTATATATTGTAGTATATATTTTATTGTCTGAATCAAATGTTTGAAATTTCACTTTTGTATGGAAGTTTCGAATACAAACATCAAAATTTCAAATTGACTCTTGATTAGATCATATAATTATTTGATTCATTTACAATCATATTGTAGGAATTTGGATTCACGGCGGATGAAATTGCGGCGGTGTTCGGCAAATTCCCGACTGTGTTTGGGCTATCGGAGGCGAAGATCAGAAGTGGTGCGGCCAACTGGAGGCGGTATTGTTAAAATATTATACAGAAATCTCATAATTGCGCTTGCGCAGACACAATCAAAACAACTTAAGCTAATGAATATAATCAAATCACAATCTAAACCAATCAAATTTGTCATCCCAATTTATTATCATTAAATTTATTCCCGTTTTTTTTTTTTTTTTTTAAAGTGAAAAATTACTATTTTTTTCTACTTTTCTTTTTTTATTCTAAAAAGTAAAAGCTTCTATTTTTATGTATTTTTTTAAAAATTATTTTGTCCGATCAAATGAGCACACAATTGGATGATGAAGAAATAAAATATAAATAATAGTATCTAAAATATTTCAACAGGTACAATACTGCATGCGTCGTGAGCTTGCCCTTGTCGTTGAGCATCAACAAGAGGTATAAGCCTCGGCTGGAAGTGTTGCAGGTTTTGTCGGTGAAGAATTTGATCGGGAGTTGGCCGGCATTTGCGACAATGTGCACGATGCCGGATTGGAAGTTCTACGAGAGGTATGTAAAACGCGGATGAAATTGAAAATGTTTGTGTTGCTAAATGGGCAGAATTGGCTAAGAAATGATACAACTTGAGATTATTGTGTCACTTAGATTTGGGGGTAAATTTTGAGTGTAGTTTTGGGCACCTTCAATTCATGTTTCTTTAGTTTTATCTATGGTTATTTTCTATATTTTTCACCACACTAAAGGCTCTAGGAATCTTGATAGTTTTTGGAGTTTTGAAAATTGTTAATAAAAAAACTAAGTAGGTGATATCATGATTCGTGAGTGAAAATATATTTGATGTAACATGAGATTATTATTTTTTAATTATTATTATTATTTCTTTTGATGAAACCGCTATTCGTTGCACACTGAATATATCTCCTGCCGAATCTAATACTGCAATTTTCTTACATTTACACAACGGATTGAGCTCGTCGGGTTATCCTAGGATCGACATCCCTAATATTAACTTCTTTGACTCGAAGGCAATTTGAACTGAGCTTCACAACAACTAACCTGAGTAAGATTAAGCACCTCGACTTTACTAAACTTCAAGCTTTGATTGCTCGAGTTCATTTTGTGCCTAGATAAAACCAAATTCAAATCTAATCCAAACTCAAAAGGTTTACATTTCCGTTTCTTTTTTTGCTGTCATAAAAAAGAAAAAAAAAAAAAAAAAACATATTCTATCACATATACTTTTCGTACTGTAAAAGGCAAAAGGTACAAAATTATCATCCATTTGAGCATAAATTTCATCGATGGATGCAGATTTTTTTTCCGCTAAAAGATTCTTTGAAGTCTAGAATGCAATTAAGTTGATCACGATTCTTGCATATGATTAGGTTAAAAGAAAATTACGGAAAGAGACATATGTATAAGCTTATTGAAGCTCGAAAACTCAAGGCATGACATTAAACATGCATCAAATTCTACCACAACACAAATGTTACTATAGAGGTAGAAAAAGCACAACTACAAAGAACCTGAGGAACGTTTACAGCAGTCTTACAGCAATGAAGCAGCAAGACGATTATTCAATACTGTCTTCATCCAAGATCCCACAAATCCATCGAAAAAGATGCACATTAAGAACTGGATCCAAAAAAAAAAATCACTAAGTCAGTTGATCTTCATCAAGAAGGAATAGATGACATTTCTAAGTTTGGAGATATGGAAAATTTGAGCAAAACTTTTAATTAGTGTAAATTAATAATGAAGGTAGAAGAATAAACTTAAATAACAAATGAATGGTCCTTGGGCATGCAATGTTGTTACCTAATGAATATCAGCATAAATGTGTAATCGCTATTTGCAACTTTGGGAAAGCCCTCCAAATACAGCATTCACATTTACTTCAAATAAAAATCACGTTCCAATAAAAATATACTTTTTTCTCATAAAATATCACATCAAAATACTATTTAAATCAAAACTCAAATAAAAAAACTCAAACCAAAACCAAACAAATATTCCTTAAAGGTTAACAACTTCCTTTTCTTTACAAATACATCTAACGATTCGAGTTTCAATAAAGATCTGGATCCTGTCATGAACCACAATATTCGACACATTTTACATGTGGTTCAATCGATTCCCTTTTTTTTTTGTCGTTGACCATGGTTCAACAGATTTTTATACTGTTCAACAACATGCTTTTATAATACTTTCAGCATATAACAAATTTTTTTCAACAATTACCAAATCCCTATTTAAGCACAACCTCAAAGCTTCAACTGTATATAAATACCAATATAAAAGCCAATTGTTACTCCCACATTCTCTAACATCAATAACTCATTATTCATTGAATGTTATTACATTGATTGCAATTTTCAAAACAGACAATGAATTATATATGGCAAAAAAATTGCAATGTATGACAATTTTATTATACTAACACACACAAACTAGCAACCAAAGTAACTCCAATCCTCTCATTTTCGAACTCCATTACAATATCAAGATGGATCCAAAATGGAGATACCAAGAATTGCTTTGAATAGGCAAAAGTACTTGCACAAGCCATCCTTAACTCAAAATTTTGAAAAAAAATTAACTTCCTGTAACAAAAATTCCTTTCAAATCCTTGGACTAAATCTATCAATGCTTTCTGAATGAAAAGCCGAATCGAAAATCTGAAATTACAATCTGTTTTTCATCCCCAGTTTGCATTAATAAATAATATCCAAAACTGAAACAATTTTGCAATTCAAAGCCAACATGAACAGCTAACCAAACGATCATTGACAGCAGTTTTCAAATTCAAATATAAACAGTAAATCATTGCGCTTGACCAACCAATATCGCGAAATCAACCTGCCTTCAATCTATTCAGATATTAGTATTAAAGAATTTAAGCAAAAGATGTTACTAGATCCATCAAAATCAAGGCGTATAACATAGCAATCAAAACCTTGACCTAAAATCCGTAATCCGAAAACCAATATAACGACCGAGAAGATTAACAAAAACAAACCTCGTCTAACTCGAGGCAGCGGAGGATCCAGAATCGGATTGTTTTTTAGGCAAAGCGTAATCGGGCGGCGAGTAGATGAGCGCCCATAGCATAGCGCCAGGAAGCACGCCGTACTTGGCCACAGCCGCCGCCTTCGTCAGCAGCGGCTCGCCTTTCATAATTCCGAACAACATCTCTCCAAAATTCTCCTGCGACTGCGGAAAATCCCCTTTCCTCGCTTGCTTCCTTCCCTCCCTTCCCTTATGCTGCAATGGCGATCGAGTGAGGAACGAAGATCCGGAGGCCGCTGCTGATTTCGCTGCTCGATAAATAAGGCCACGCAGTGACTGATCGATCACAATTTTTGCACCTTTTGTCGGGCTTCTAACAGATTGGGCCTAATAATACGGTCCAATTCTTTTAAAAGGGTCCAAAATGTTTAGAATATCATGACCTGTGGCTGTTTATTCATTTCGGCTGTATTTATTTAGGGTGTGTTGTTTCAATAATAATAATAATAATTAAAAAAACGTAGATATTTTTTCAAAAATATTAATTTATTATACATATTTATTATTTTTATATTTTACATTAAAAAAAAATACTCTTTCAAATTATCTTACAAAATGAACACACCGTTAATATTTTAGATTAAAATATATATATTTTTATGTGAATTATTGAGAAATCGAATTATTAATATAAGAAATTATACTCCCTCCGTCTCATAACAAAATATCCATTTTTCCATTTTAGTCCGTCTCGTAACAAAGTATCCATTTTTATTTAAGTAACTGTACTATCTACCAACATTACAAATACCCTTACAATTTACAATATATTACACAAATATCATTACATTTATATCATACATACTAGCAATGTTATTTTAGTCATTTCTACTTTATTCATACTATACTAAATATAATATCAATATTTCTAAAACTACATGAAAAAAATAAATGAATATTTAATTATGGGACGAAGGGAGTATATTTTTTTGCTTAGATGTTAATTTTTTATGAAAAAATATAATATAAATTGTATATGTTGAATATCGTATTAATTAAAAATTTATTTTGTTGAACAAAGCCATATTTCAATGAAAAATAATATAAATTTCCACCGTCTAAATAAAATGTTCACATTTCTCCGTTAATTTGTGCTTGTTATAGAATATTCATTTTTTTTCTTAAACCCCCGACGCTGCTGGCGTGACAAGATTGCAACCAATTTCTAGCTTTTTTTTTTTTTTTTTTTTTTTTTTTTTTTATCCCAAGCACATTATAAATAAAATTTTGGTTGAATTTAATAACTTGTAAATTAGCTGTAAAACTAAATCTTTTTAACTCAAGTTTGTTTTACATCTAAAGTGCTCAATAAACATATATTAACATTTCATTTATAAAATCTAATAATTTATATATATAATTTATTATTTTCTTAGTAAAATTATTGATTCAATTAATTTATTAAGGTGAGAACAAAAAGTGAGCCCATTGTAAGATTTTGTCATCTCTTATTTCTTATCCATAAACGAACATGAAAGAAAGAATGTCATCAATTGCCTTATCCTCTTCAACTTCTTCACACAACACACCAAATTCTTCCCTCATTACACACTTCCATTCCCACCACTTATTTCCCTTACAACACTCCCTTCATCCTAACATCCTCGGAGCCATGGCTTCCCGCGATCCGGATTCGGACAATCAGATCATTGTTCGCGAACTCGAAGCCCTGAGCGAAACGATGTACCAATCGCACACCCGAAGAACGGCTTCCCTCGCACTCCCGCGAACTGCCGTTCCGCCGATTTTCGCCGGAAACGACCCGTCGACGAACGAGAAAAGTAGCTCGGCGATGGATTCGAAGCCGCGGCCGAGGCGCATGTCTCTCTCGCCGTGGCGGTCCCGGACGAAGCTTGATTCCGAGGATTCGGCTCGTCGGGACGGTAGCATCGTGGCGGAGGGGAAGAGCAAGTGGCGCGACGACGACGAGCGTACGGTTACGGTCACGGCGGGATTGGAGAAAAAAGGGATTTGGAATTGGAAGCCAATACGCGCGCTGTCGCATATCGGCATGCAAAAGATTAGTTGTTTGTTCTCCGTCGAGGTCGTCGCGATCCAAGGCCTTCCGGCGTCGATGAACGGGTTGCGGCTATCGGTTTGCGTTCGAAAGAAGGAGACGAAGGACGGCGCAGTCGAGACGCTTCCATCGAGAGTCGTGCGCGGAGGAGCCGATTTCGAAGAGATGCTCTTCGTAAGGTGCCACGTTTACTACGCTCCGGCGAGCGGCGGGGCGGCGATGAAGTTCGAGCCACGCCCGTTTTTGATATATGTGACGGCGTACGACGCCGGCGAGCTCGACTTCGGGAGGAATACGGTGGATTTAAGCAACCTTATACGGCAATCCGTCGAGAGGAGCTTCGAAGGCAGCCGTGTTCGGCAATGGGACACGAGTTATAAGCTCGACGGGAAAGCGAAGGGCGGCGAGCTCGTCGTGAAGCTCGGGTTTCAGATTATGGAAAAAGACGGCGGCGTCGGGATATACAGTCAGGCCGACGGGCAGTCATCGAAAATGGAGAAAAATCGAATGTATTCACCGTCGTCATTTGCGCGAAAACAGTCGAAATCATCGTTTAGTGTTCCTAGTCCGAGAATGACGAGTCGGGGAGAGGCGTCGACTGACGGGAAGAAAGGCGCGGAACCAGATATCGACGATATGGATGATTTGAATTTAGACGAGCCGGCTCCGGCGGCGGCGCCGCTGCCGAAGGGGGATGATGTGGATTTTCCGGAATTCGACGTCGTGGAGAAAGGAGTTGAGATTCAAGAAAAAAACGGCGAGGAGAAGGAGGAAGAAGAGCGGTCGGAGGAGAATTCGGACAAGATGGAGGTTGTGAAAGAAGTTGTCATGCAAGATCGATCGCATCTTCTACGATTGACGGAGCTCGACTCAATTGCTCAGCAGATAAAGGCGCTCGAATCGTTGATGGCGGACGAGAAGGAGGCGAAAAACGACGCCGACGACGCTTCGCCGGAGTTGGACGCCGAGGAGGACAAAGTGACGAGAGAGTTTCTGCAAATGCTCGAGGATGCCGCCGAGATCGATAACCAGAATCCCGACGACTACGACTACGACAAAATGCCGCCTCTCAAGCTCGAGAACGATGAATCGACTGCTGACGAGGCAGAGTCGGAGGTCTATCTACCCGATCTCGGAAAAGGACTCGGCTGCGTGGTGCAGACGAGAAACGGCGGCTACTTAGCCGCGGCGAATCCTCTCGACACCGTAGTTTCAAAAAAAGACACACCGAAACTCGCGATGCAATTGTCGAAGCCCGTCGTACTCCAATCGAGCAAGACGGGGTTCGAATTGTTTCAAAAGATGGCGGCCGTCGGCGTCGACGAGCTGACATCGGAGATCTTCTCGGCGATGCCGATCGACGAGCTGAGCGGCAAGACCGCCGAGCAAATCGCGTTCGAAGGAATCGCATCGGCAATAATCCACGGGAGGAGCAAAGAGCGCGCGAGCTCGAGCGCCGCTCGAACCGTCGCCGCCGTGAAAACAATCGGGAAAGCAATGAGCGCCGCCCGGAAAGAGAGGATTTCGACGGGGATTTGGAACGTCGCTGAAGAACCGGTGACAGTCGACGACATTCTCGCGTTCTCGATGCAGAAAATCGAGAGCATGTCGATCGACGCGCTGCGGATTCAGGGCGATATAGTCGACGAAGAAGCTCCGTTCGACGTTTCCCCGCTCGACGCGAAAACTGTCGTCGGAAACAAGGCCTACGATCACATTCTCGCATCGGCGATTCCGGTCGAGGATTGGATCAAAGTTACGACTTCGAACACTGACGACGATAATGTTCGATCGGAGACGATAACGGTGGCCGTGATCGTTCAATTGCGCGATCCATTGCGACAATACGAGGCGGTCGGAGGGCCGATGATAGCGCTGATTCAGGCGACGTCGGAGAAATTTTCCGGCGATGGCGAGCGGGTGTACAAAGTCGGGAGCTTGCAAGTCGGGGGCGTAAAATCGAGAGCATCATCGGGGAGCAAGAATGCGTGGAGCTCAGAGCGGCAACGGCTAACGGCGTTGCAATGGCTGGTGGCGTACGGGCTCGGAAAGCCCGGAAAAAAGCCGAGCCGGCCGGCTGCGACGGCGGCGGGGCCGAGTATTCTGTGGAGCATCTCCGCCCGTGTTATGGCGGATATGTGGCTGAAACAGATAAGAAATCCTGACGTGAAATTCAATAAATGAGGATATGTCCGAAGAACAAAATTACGTACAAGGTGAGGTGAGACTACTAGTTGATGTTGTCCAAACTACGTTAATTCTTTTACTCTGTGTACTTCCGATTATTTTTAAAAATTATATACTCCATCCATCCGTCCAAGCTAATTTGTGGTAGCACAAAATTTTAGATACTGTATAAATAATTAATATGTATTAGTTAAAATAATTATGATATAATAAAAATTATTATAAATTAATATTAACGTGATTATTATTTAATTAAAATAAAAAAAAATTATAAATAATAAATTTTAAATATATAATAGAAAAAAATAAAAGGATCAACAAATTAAATGAGACAGAAATATAGTAATAAATTTGATGGAGAATATACTAATTAATTGAGTTCATTACATTACTGATGAAGAAGATTAGTAAAAAACTATATTGACTCGTTCTGAACCACTAATGATTGAGGGGGCACTGGGGTAAAAGAAAAAACTCAATAAAAAAAAGAACTTATTAATTTTTCACAATAAAATAATAATATCAAAACTCCCGCCCAATCTATCAAAACCCTAGCACGGCGTCGGAAGCGGAGCTCGGCGGTTAGTTTTGAAGCGACAGTCGATGCGATTCCAACTCCGGTGAGTGGAAATTTCGCTTTGTATGTTCTTACTTCTTCTCTACCTATTTTTCCCAATCTCTATTCGTTTCTCATCAGATAGAACAATAAGTTGAAGTACCGCGGGGAGAAGATGAAGAGAAAGAGATAAAATCGAATACATAGAAGAGGGGAAGGAGAAAGAGAAATGAGAGAGAATACCTCACGTCGACGGCGCCTTCACCTGCACCTGCACCTAGGGCACCGCGATTGTGGATCGAGATCGAGATTTTGTACTCCACAATACGGCCGTTGCGGATTCATTTTTCGACCGTTTGACATAAACCGCTCGAACTGGGTTCGGAAGGCTTCACAATTTGAGCCTGCTCTAAGTCAAGAGTGCACCTAAAAAGTAGATCCAAAATCTTACAAGAATTTCTCAACATATTCAACTCTAATTTTTTTTTTTTTTATTATTATTATTTTTATTTTTATTTTTTTGTTTTTCCGGATTCCTTAACGTCTAGAATATTTTTCAAAACTGTGTGTTTTTTTAGGTTTGAATTTAGAAAAAATTGGTTTGGATTTGGTATAAAAATGATGTTTAATGGAATATTTTGTGAGAAAAAAAATATATTTTTACTGAAAATGCAGAGTCCAAATAGCAAAATTTGAATAAAATTAAATGAAGAAACATAGTTCAGATTATTTATGTCACAATATCAGAAATAAAAATTAAAAAAATAATATTTCTCCTCTGTTCTACTTCAAATTATTCATGTTTTTAAAAAAAAATTAATTAAATAACAAATGTATAATTACAAATACATTTACTTTTTACATAAAATTAAAGGGTAAAATTATCAAAAATCTCTTACACATTTCCATTCACTAATAAAATATTATTATTTGTTAATCTAATTTAAAAACCCAAATGACCTATTTAAAAAAAAAGGACAAAGGAAGTATTATTTTTATAGAAAAAGAAGATTGATAAAAAAATAAATAGTAAGTACTTCCACCGTCCGATTCTAAAGGTTACAATTATTTTTTACGTGTTGATATTTGAATATTAATTATTATATCAAAACGTAGTATAAATCAAGAAAAAAATACAAAAGTATTTCTATTAATGTCTTATAATACTAATATAATGCATTTGTACAAAAAGTTATACAAATATAAAGATATTTTTAATGTTAAGTATAATAACACAAAAGTTAAATATAACTTTTAAAGGTGGACGAACTTAGTATTATAAAAAAAAAAAATTATAAAAATAACTAAAAAAAATAATGACAAATTTCATTGTGATTATTGGTTAAAGTAAAAGTAATAAAAATGACTAGATAAATACATTTATTTACTATAAATAAATTATGTATAAATTTAAAATATATATTCCTATATAACACATATATCATCCGGACTGAAGAAGTACATTTTATACGTATAACAATAATAATAAAAATCAATAAAAAAAACATGTGAAATATAAAAAAATTTATAGGCAATGTAAAAACAATAAAGGTAATGTAACATATAATTTTTTTTAAAATATATATATTCTATTCCTTTTGTCAAAACAAACAAACACAAAAGAGTTATAAACTTTAAACAACCACATTCTTATTAATCCTCATATTTTATTGTTCATTGAATTTTTTTCTTATGAGAAAATATTAAATTAAAATTTTACTTAATACTTTATAATATATATAATCCTTTACTTTAAAATTTAATATCATTTTTTTTTTTAATAGCATATCAAATATACACAGGTTGTATTAAGATTCATGAAACAGATATGTATAACGGTATAAGCTTAGACAAGTGGATTATGGAAAACTGTAAATTGGGGTTTGTTTGTTTGGATTTCATATACATATATATAAATACTACTAAAATGGGCATGATTTCGATACAAACACAGTATTTACTCTCGCAAAATACAATTAAACTCCTACCAAAATTTTCTGAAATTTTGAAACTGCATCATAATATACGTACAAGAATATATATATATGTATATATATATTTGTACTGTATTCTAATTAATGGAAATTCTATCCTAATTAATCAGAACCTCTCATATTTTTTTAGTAACTAATGCAGTAATCAAGCCGAGTGAGAAGAAAATGTACTCACGTGGTATCACGTGGCTCATGCTGAACTTTGCCGGTCTGAGACGAAGACGCACTCACGTGGTTTTCTCGTGACTCCGGCTCCATTCCACCGGTCTGAGACGAAGTCGCACTCACGTAGCTTTCTCGTGACTCCGGCTCAATTCCGCCGGTCGGAGACGAAGATCCACTCACGTGATTTTCTCGTGACTCCGGCTCAACTCCGCCGGTCTGAGACGAAGACGTACTCACGTGGTCTTCTCCTGGCTCCGGCTCAATTTCGCCGGTCTCAGACGAAGACGTACTCACGTGGTTTTCTCGGGGCTCCGGTTCAATTCCGGCGGTTTGAAGTGATGAAGACGTAGCCACGTGAGGCTCACGTGACTCCGGCTCAATTCCGGCGTTCTGTGACGAAGAGGTGCACACGTGATTTTCTCGTGACTCCGGTTGAATTCTGGCTGTCCGACGTGACGACGACGCAGTCACGTGGCTTTCACGTGGCTCCGGCTGAATTCTGGCGGCCGAGCACGGCTCCGTCGGCAATCCCCCGCACTGTTGACAAAACGCCGTCCTCAATAACTGACGGCACGAAGGACACGAGGAATGAGACCCTAGCCACGTGTCGATGCACGTGACGTGAAACACATGACCACACTGCGGCAGCACACGGACCTGCTCGCCGTCGGCGAAATCCGCAAGGCAAATCGCGCATTCCGTTAGGTCCTCCGCCTGTAGCTCGCTGTCAGCTCCGTACGTCAGCCTCGGCAGAGACTTCAGAACCTTTTTCTTCACGCCTTTATTCGCCGCCGCCGCCGACGTCGTCTGATGCCCCTCGCCGTCCCGACCGTCGGAAAATCGCCGGATCCACGCGCAACGCGCCACCGCCACGAGTCCGAGCACGCAGATCACCGCGCATAGCAGCGACGCAAGGATCACCACAAAATCTGAGTCGATTCTATTATTAATATTCGGCGACGATTGCCCCGGTTGTTCCGCCGGCGAGTTTCCGCCGGCGAGGAACCGCGATCGGGCTGTCATATAGAAATATAATAGAAACAAAACACAGACCGAGAGCGTATGATTTCTGCTAAGCTTCAGCTATGGAGTCACTCTAAAACGTGTCTCCGGCGCCAATATATATACAAGAAGAAGAAGAAGAAGATAAAAAGTAGGAGACCTATGGTTAAAAGCAGTAACTGCTTCGCTAACTGAAATTCCAGAGGGGTTGATGACAATAACCCCAAACTCCAGGGACATTTCTGCAAATTTCCACACCTTCATAAATAGCAATTTCTAAATTATTTTTATATTTAGTATAATATTCCATCGATGCCTATTGATTTAAATATATTGTCCATCAAAACGTGGGGAAGTTGATTGAGGAATTGGACCATTTTTGGGTTTAAGTCTAAATAAAGTCTAGAATAATATGGTTTATTCGTGTCCTAGATTTATGGGTTGTTACAATTTAAATCACTAATTAAAGAAGTAAATTATTAATATTTCTTCTCTAATTTACCCTTTAAAAAAAAAACGAATAAATAATAGCTTCAAGCGCTTTTATGCATGTTTATCCTATCTAATATATATGCATAAACACGTTTTTAATTAAGCGGACCGAAATAATTACTCAATAATTAATTAATTGGTAGCAAGTGATCAAATTGGAAAAGACATTCAACAAAAAAAAATATATTTACGTTTTCTTAAAAAATATTTATTTAGACTAAATTAATTTTGATTAAATATATATATACTCCCTCTTCCGTATCCACCGGTAAGTTTTTTATTTAACTTTTGCACATAAATTAAGGTAAATTAATATTTTATAAATATATAGTGTAATAAAGTAGTATAATAGGGATGGTTATGGTGCTGATTCAACTCAACACGCGTTATAGGTACAAACAACACACATTATTATTGCATACAACATATGTTATTTTTTTTATAATAACAAGTGTGCAGTATAAAAGTATCTAATGTGTTAAAATCAATTGTTGTGTGTATTGTATGAGACTGTAATATATATATTGTTAGTTCATGTGTTGTATTTGTATTATATTAATATATACAATGTGTTGTATGTAATAATACTGTGTGTTGTTAGATGACACACGATGTACGGTTGAAACTATAACATGTGTTCTTTATTCATGTGATGTATTTGTATTATATTAACATATATAGTGTAATATATGTAGTAATACTATGTGCTGTCAAACAATGTTGTTCAGGATTGTAGCCGTCACCTTAGTGTAATATTTATTTTAACTTAATATTAAAGTAAAAGTAATGTGAAAAGTAAAAAGTAAGAGTATTTTAGTATTTAGTCGAAAATAACTCTTATTAAAGAAAAAATAACAAATTTTAGTTTGAACATACCAAAATAATAAAATGAAAAATTTATTAATTGACGAAAAAAATATATTGTAAATATATTAACAATGACATAAAAAATAAACATGCCTAGTAAAGTGGCTATGTGTTTTAATGTTCACAATTACAACAATTCAAGATTAGACGTGATAATATATAAACTTGAAAATTAAATGTTTTTTTTCTCAACGACAAAAAGTCGGCAGCTATAAGTACTTCAGAATTAATCTTGCATGAGCTAACGATGGAAAACATTTAGGGTATGTTTATTTGTAAGATTTTAAGTTTTGATTTTGAATAGTAAAATTTTGAATTGAAATAGTTGTTTTATGTGATATAAATATGTATTGATATGATATTTTGAATGTAAAAATTAATTTTAATGTAATATAATAAATAAAAAATAGATGATTAATTTGATATTTTTAGATGAAAAAAATTGAAATAATAAAATCGAAAATCAAATCCCGTAATAAACACACCCTTAATCAATTTCAATTCCACGTGTTCATTAATTTGTTTGTTAATATAAAGAAGGTCGATTACATATAGCATTAATTCGTGTAAGACTTACATTTATGATGCTCATAAAAATTCTTTATCATATGTTAGCCTTCTTTTGTCCATTAATAAATCTTTTATTTGATTTTTATATTCGGATTAGTGTAAATGAGTAGTTATAAATATATAGTGTAATAAAATAATACTATAATATTTATTTTATTTTTAAAATAAAAACAATATAAAAAAATAAAAAGTATAAATATTTTAGTATTTCATTGAGAGACACTTTTACCGAAAATAATAATAAAATATATATATATATGAAATTTTGAGAAGATATATAATAACAATCAATGCTATATTCAATATCATGCAGTTGTATCTACGCTTTTGGTTAGGGTCGAGAATTTATCAACTCCATGCTAATTGCATACATAAAAATACTATAAATAGTATTCCCCGTCTCAAAATTATAGTTTGGGTTGTGTTTGACACGAGATTTAAGGAATATTATTGGTAGTGGATAAAAAGTACGGATAAAAGACTTTTTTGCCTTTATGAATGTATTAGTGTAAAAAGTAGTAACAATTGTGTAATAATAATGAAAAAATAAAAATAATTTTATAGTGATATGATTATTTATGAAAATGAAACCGACAAAACTGATAAACAAGATTATTGTATTGAAACGAAAGAAATATATAATTATATAACATACAGCGATCATATAGCACATGTTGTATATATAGTATTATTATATACTATCAAATCTATTACAACACTGTAACTGCCACAGCTATATCTAACATAATATGTGTTGCATTCAATATATATTTGTTAAAAAATATAAATATCCGTCTCACTTAAAAATTTAACTTTGACTTTGAGTTAACCAACAAAATCAAAATGACCCGACATCCTAATTTACTACAAATTTTTATTATTTTATCTAGACCTTTTGTTTTCCTATTTCTTTTCATATATATGATCATCACAAATCCAATTATTTTGAGTTTTTTTTTGCAGTAAAATTATACTTTCTTCTTTACAATTCAAACTATCCATTTTAAATATCTCTTTTACTATTTTAGTTTATCTTATTTCAAAGTATTCATTTTCTATTTCAAAAAAATTAATCATATATTAATACCAAAATACTTATTTCATTACACATACAATTTAAAAAGATAAAAATATCAAAAACTTTTGCGTAATTTCACTGACCAATAAAATATTATTATTTTTTAATATGTTACAAAAACCCTAAAAGACCGAGTGACTCTGGGAATGATGGAGTATAACATCTATGCATGTAAGGGTGCACAGATCAAAAAGTACGAAGATGAACTCAAATATATTGTTTTTTTTTTTTAAAAAAAAGGAAATTACTAAGTTGAAAATCAAAAGATTCTTGAATTAGTCCATGAGAAGAGATTGCAGGCGACGGAAGGCAGCTTTCAGATCAATAAAGCGCGAAGAGTACTGCAAATTCTCGCCGGAGATTCTCTGCAACGACGGAAGGAATGGCAAATAGACGTGGTCGTGACTGCTCCACCCTCCGACGGCGGCGATGGTCTTCCATTTTCCGGTGGAGAGTTCGTACGAGTACACCTTCCCTCCCTCGACCTTCCTCAGCACCTGGAAGAGGCAGACGCCGTCGTAGAAGATCGGCCAGCCATTTTTGTACAGGTCAGTCTCCGGATCGCAGAAATTCTGCACAGTGTGGATGATCCGCCATTGATTTGCAGACTCATCGTGAGAGAAGACGGTTATGGTGTTTGATCGGTTGAGGACGAAGTGGAGGCGGCGGTGCACTGCGCCGAACCACATTTCGTCGTTTCTAGGGAGATCCGATTTGGAATAGTTGCAGAGCGGGCCATCGATGATTCTAGAATACCTACCTGCCACGTGGAAGCACGCGATTCGCCGGGCGGTTGACTCGAGCCAATGAACGTAACCGTAGGCGTGGACGGGGCGGATATTCAGGCGCTGCGCAGGAGTAAACCCTAGAGAGGCGTGATCGGCGGTGTATTTCACGGCGGCGGCGCCGCCGGAGACGTCAGTTACAACGAATCGGAGAGAATCGGCGCTAATCACGTGGAGACTCGCCAATTTAATCCCCGAATTATCCACAACCAGTCCGGCGCGATTTGGAAATGAATTACCGCCGTCCACGGCGGTGAATTCGGCGGTGATTGGGTTGATAATGAGGTGTTCGTCGTCGTCACGACGGCAGCGGACGAGGAGAAGGCCGCCGCAGGAGTCGAGCACCCGAAGCTTCTTTTCGATGTCAGTGTAGGTCTCTTGCGGCGGAGGCTCCGCCGCCGCCGGCGGTCCTAGGGAAATTTTGGAGAAGATGAATGGCTCAAAGGCGGAATAGTGGAAAACGGTCGGACTGTGATTTTCTATCCAGCGTTGGGTGAAGCTCCGGTGGCGGAGGTCGGCGTTGGCGGATCGATTGAGAGTGCAGCATTGGGCGACTGTTCGGAAGGGCAATCGGCTGAAAATCTCGAGAAGGACATCGTTGTTCAAATCGGGGGCCGCAGCCATTGTTGTGTCTCGTCGGAGCTCTTTTCTCAGGGAGTATTCTCGTCGGAGCTTTTTTCTCAGGTATTCACGTCGGAACTTATTTCCTATAGTTCATTGAATCGCAGTTTGATTTCTGGAGTTTTATAAGTGAAGTGTATTGAATTCAGACCTGGAGGTATATATATATATATATAGATGATATGGTAGGAAATCTAGGAGATTTATATGGATTTTATTTATATGGATTCTTAAAAAGATAGTATTGTTATTATATTTAATAATATTATTATAATTTTTAATAAAAAATAATACATTGTTCACTCAACATTTTCAATAAAAAAATTTTATAAATATTATTAAAAAATATAAATATACACGCATTGTATATATAATTCGCCCATGAAAAATTAATATTATTCACCTAATGTTTCTTAATAAAAAAATTCTCCATAAATATTATTAAAAAATACAAATATACACATATTAATATAATATATATAATTTATTCGTAAAAAAGACTGAATGAATAGATGATATGTATTTTTATATTATAAATACTTAAAATACTTTCAAAAAATTATATCATATTTTACTGTAATAAATATATTTATTAAGGTCAATTTTTTATATATATTTTTAATTATCAAATATACTAAATTAACAGATAAAAACGAGCTGGGTGTTTATTCTCCATTAAACCATTAGTTTAATTTTTTTTTATTTTTTTTATTTTTAATTTTAATTTTTTTTAATAAAAAACATAAATATTGATCTTGATTTATTTATATATTTATTATTTTAAAAAATAATGAATAGTGAGAAACTAAATAATTTTTTTACATGAAATATTTTAATATTGAAGATTATGAATTTGCTAACGATATTGATTTTAAACTTCGTTACGTTACGTGGTGTTCGAATATATGGTTATTTTATTTTATTATTTTTTTAAAGAAATCATTATAAATTGAACACGATTGTTTTCTTTCTTATATTTAATTATTTAATTTTTGCTATGTGCAAGTAATTTTATTATCACGTGCTGATATTGTTCTACTGTATATCCTATGCATCGTAATAGTAGATATGAATGGGTTAGCGAATTTTTATAATTAAAATAGAATTTTAATTTAATATTCCAAAATTTAGTATCAAAAGTCGAATTTTTTTCGAATACATTCATGACCCGTTGTATACTTGTATATGTTGAAACTGATCATAAATTAAACCCTAAAACCAAATATATCGTGAGATAAGAAAATAAAGTTAATAAATCTAACCTGATTCCATTAGCGCGAATTCCGATTTACAATTAATAGAGAGTTTATAACAAGCCTGATTTATATATCTTATTATTAATTAGTCTCGTTGGAAGCCCGCACTTACTACATACATTTAAGCCCAATAAATTAATAAATAAGATCACAACCCTAATTTATTATATTTTATTATTAATTGACCGGAGACCCGCATTTACTAAATACATTTAAACTCAATAAATTAATAGATTGCTTAACATAACTGATTCCAAAACTGGAGACCCGCATTTACTAAATACATTTAAACTCAATAAATTAATAGATCACTTAATATATGCTTAAAATTCCAAAATAGTTACATTTAACTCACAATTGGATTTTTTATCCAACAGTATATGTTTTTATAGTATTTTATCAATGTATATGTTTGTATCCATAGTTACATTGTCATTTTCACGTCGTTTTCGTCTCTACTACTTCGGTCTCCACTAACAAGAGTTCTGTTTTCGACTCTAATTCTTTTTAGAGACAGGCAGTCTTGATTTCGACTCTAACTTTGTTGTGAGTGAACGAGTCATATTTCTGACTCTAGCTTTATTAAGAGTGAGCGGGTTTTGTTTCCGACTCTAGGTCCATTGTAAGCGAGCGAATTATGTTTTTAATTATAACGATGTTGAGAGTTCTGTTTTCGACTCTGATCAAGTGGATTATTTCGGCTACACTATTTTCGATCAATCTTGACAAATTCAAATTTGTTCGTGGAAAATCTCGACAACTTTTTTCTTCGGTTACTTTTAGCAAAATCAAATTTGATGGATCATATATTGAGTTTGAGAAGCGGTGATAATATATATTTAAAAAATATACGAGTATATCATATTGTCTTATTTAGATAACTTGTGAGTCATATATATATATATATTTATAAATTCTTATAATTAAAATCAATAATTTTAATTTCACATTCCAACAAAAATAATAATAAATGTATGTGTTGATTTATTTACTATACATGACATTAATTTGTATATTAATTTCGCATTAAAAATTTTTTAGCCCAGTGTCGGACTTACTCGCATGGTATAGTACTAAATATGAGTACTAATTATGAAGTATAATATTAATTTATATGTTAATTATACATTTAAAATAGATTTATTTAAATAAATAAATAATATTTTATTTTACAAAATATTACATCAAAATATTATTTAAATGAAGATTTAAATTAACATTAAACCACAGTCAAACAAACTCATATATTTTATATAAAATAATTAGTTTTTTTTTTTTTTTCAAAATATTTTTGTTGATTTAGGTTGTTTTTCGAAATAGTACATTATTAAATAAAAAAGTGTGCATTAAATATAAATAAATAAGTATTTGATATAATATTTTGAATTGAGAACATAATTTTTTATGTAATATTTCAAATGAAATATGTGTCGGGCTCTATATTATGCATAAAATAATAGTAAATGTGTGTTATTTTAGTATATTAGATTAATTCTGTTTTAAAAATATTTCCACATGCTACAAATATTGGGCTTTATACCTTCACATAATATAATGCTAAATATGTGCACTATTATATTATATTGTATTAATTTGTATGTTAATTATACTTTTAAAATAATCATTACCCACTAAAATATTACACCACTTCATATATGCTTTAAACAAAATAATTGGGTTTGTTATGTTATAGATAATGAAATTGTAGAAAAATAAATAATAGAGAAAAAAATGAATAGAGAATGAAAAACAATTCTTCTAGAGAATTCACTTTGAAAAATGTTAAAAAAAAAAAAGAAAAAAAAAAAAAAAAAAAAAAGAGACAATAAATTAGATGAATCGATCTAGACGAGACTATTAAAAAAAAAAATGAATTAATTATAAATAAAAGAAGATTTCAATGATGTGAAAATGTGTGCATAAATATTGTCATATTTAATTAGTAGTTACGAATATAATTAAGGTGATCCATAGATGGTTGGGACCAAAACATTATAACATTATGTGTGTATGTTTTATAAAGTGTTCAATCTTGCAAACTTCAACATCACTATGCAACTGAGTGTTGATGAAATGTAGAACCCAAATAAGTAGTACCTTCGATACCGACATCGCCGTCAACGCCGTCGTAGTACAGATCAAAAGTCTTAGATAAGAGCTTCGATGTCGTCTGATCCCACAGCAGCTCCATTAGGCGGTTCGTCTTCAGATCGCAATTGGTTGGACACATTATCGATTGCAGCATTTAGCTGCTCGATCTTCTCAGAAAGTTTCTTACGTTGCCTCTGTACCAAATACACATCGGTAAAGAGAAAGATACAATTTTGACCCGTAAATGTCATTCCATATAAACGATCACATCAAATACTCAATTTTTTACTATTCTAACAAATTTCCAAATCTTGGTTATTGCTTGTATCTGCACATTAACACTTGCGCATAACGATGAAAAATGAAAAGTATTTATTGCCTAACACTCGCTCGTTGCGGAGATAATCAAACTCCTATATTAGAGTAGTACCGATAATTTTGTTAACCTACAGAGAAAAGGCAGCTTAATCACGGTCGAATTCATTTCATATTGTTTCAACCATGTTTATGAAATCAGCAGCTTAGGTTAGAGACTTTGGCCATATGAAATGATACAAGAATGCTACAAGGTTTAATGATTAGTTAAAAGATTTCCATCTAGGCTGTGATGATTCAGAGAAATGTGTAGGCCGGGTGAATACGTGTTAGTTGGAATTGATCGATAAATATCTTATCTTTCCAAATCCTTAACACGGCATAGGTTAACTATAGTGTATCATCATGATTTTCCTTTATTATAACCACCATTTTGATAAAAGTATGATATGGAAAGTCAAATTTGTTATAATTAAAAGGTAATACCTCCAAAGCTTTTTCTTCGTCGTAAATAAATTTGGGCAGTTTTTTCATGAGATCCTTCCTGTCCGCTCCAGTTAAAGCCTTGCTGATCTATAAATTGAGGTTGGAAAAATCGAAAGGGAATAAGTATATATATATATATATAAGTTATCATTTTGTACTAAATTTCCATGCTCAAAACAGGACAGCAGAAGCACAATCAATTAAAGATCTAATACAAAATTACAAAAAGCCAATTACAGATTTCACAAGATTACGGCATGCAGATAGTATGAATATAATAATTGTTCTATGACCGTCACCTGAGGCGCATAAACACAACCAAGTGTGCCGATAATTAGTCCCCCTAAAACAAAGCCGCCAACAAAGAGGTTTGTGCTGCTTGACCTTCCACCATCACTGCCATAAAAGAACATAAGACAACACTTTATTTTTAGTATATCCGGAAAATTATCATGCCAAGTGTCTAAAAGCAAAGAAAGGGATAAAAGTATTTCTTCTCAGTAAACCTCATTTTCATATGGCCCCATTCAAATACTTGAATAGAATACAATGGCAGCAGCTTGGTTCAATTTATCTTACCGTAATAAGTAACCCAAAACATATACGGAAAAATCAAGCAAAATCAACAAGCGGAACTACATACAAATTACAGCACTAGAACAATGATTTTGAATGAGGGTCCGCACCAAGTGCTAAAGTGTAGCATTAAAAATAGTTAGCAGACGATAAAGGGAAAGAACAGAAAACCGCCATCAACATTCTACCATTTATTTGTTTCAGTAGCAATTATATGAGAAGTACCTATAATTTGCTTGTACGACGAGTGCCTTTTTGCAGGTAGATGATTTCGAGATACTCTTATAAGTAAAGGCCAAGTTGGAGGGGCCAGAAATCTTATCAGCTGACCGAAGAGGAGTACCTAATGCAGGAAGCAAATTTTAACAGCAGAACCAGGAGGAAAACCATCTAAGATTATTATGCTGCAACAAGAATATGTTGGGGAAAAGCAAAAGAGAAAAGTTTAAAAAATTAAATAAAATTTCTATGATAGAAAACAACAACATTAAGTGATCCATATAGCTAAACATGCCATCAAACTCTCAAAAATTCATGTTTCCAATGAGTAATTTAATCTTGAGTGAAGTGACTTGGCTTTATTCACACCCATATCATCAAACATAATAGTGCCCCAAATAATTTTCTAAGTAGATTTAATTGTCATTCACAATAGAAAACCATAATATACTACCACTACTTTTATATATAAAATAGATAACAATAACCATATTGAATGTTATTTATCACTCTTTACCTTACAAATAAACATTATACTGTTTAGCACTTACAAATTTAACATTCAAATAAAGTGGACTACAATCAAACTACACTCTCTAAAGGGAGAATTAATACATACAACAGAAATTTCCACTTCAAATTCAGAACCACTAAAGTACAAATGTATTGAAATGTATCCACAAATTTCAATATGTTACATATTTACCAAAATATTAGAGTTGCATATTATTAATGATTGACGTAATACAAACTCGATAAATTCAAATAATAACGATCTAATGAAAACGATTTAGCTAAATCTAATCTAAACAAACTCTCCCCAGTCTAAACCAATATATAACCAAATCTAATCGTAATATGTATAATATCTCAACACAATTCAACCAAACAGGGACAATCTTAGCCATTTCTGTGTTTGTTTAATCAGCATCTTAGTTATCATTTCAATACCTAGAACAAACATACTATTCTTCCTTATATCATGTCAATGCCATACTCAGCAAACAAACAACGAAACCCAAATCAGAATATTAATTCGTCAAGCACTCTCAATCGCAGTTAAACAATCCTCCAAAACCCTAATTCGGTCATAAATCTGTCAAAAAAATCCCATCAGTGATGCCCAAAGCACGCCAACCGGACATAAAATCAATTACAGTTAAACTGGATCCAAACGAAACCAATTAACACTTAACACGCTACATACATCGAATTCACGTCTCGGCAAGCTAAGCCCAAGATCAGGAGAGTTACCGGATGAGAAACAGATAGCATTGCCTTTGGAAATCACAATCGAGTTAGACAGTGCCATCGCGATTGAAGGAAGAAATCCGAGAAGTGCAGCTAGCCAGCGACCGTCTGCTCTGAGCTGAGTGTTTGTTTATTTTATTTTTATTTTATATTTATTTTTGTGTCGATGAAATCGAAGAAACTCCATTTGGGCAGAGGGTAGAAGTATCGCGCTGTACTTGAACGGTCCGGGACCGCACATCATAAACGATAGTTCATTTATGATTTATTTATGTTTAATATTCATTTTTTTTTTATATTATCCTTCTAAATTGTATGATCACGTATATAATTATTTTGTTATTTTTCACTGTCAAATTTTCTACAAGTGAGGATTCTAGTATAACGCCTTCAACTCATCTATTACGCATGGTTCGTCTAGTATGATTTATCTGTTGAGTCTAATTTGCAAGATATTAAATTCGATCGGGAATTTATCCAGTAATCACTTAAACTTATGTGTGAAACGGGTTGAATCCAAAATTTACAATCAAAAGTTAACTCCACGCCATTAAATTATTTATTACGGACAAAATATGAATATTTTTTAATGGACACTTGAAATGAGTTTTTAAAGTTATGTAATAACCACAATTACTAAAATGAAAAATAATAAATTGATTGTCTGTAAAAAATTATTTGATGGTATGGAAAAGTAAACAGATAGAATATTTTCTTATAAAATATTCCCTCTGTCTCAAACATCTGCAATATTTTTTTTATACGTCTCAAACCTGCAATATTTCCAAAATAGGAAATAATTAATTATATTTAATTTCTACCCCACACTTTATCCCCTCACACCGTTCAAATAAAAAAAATAAAATATATATTTCTCTCCCCATCACATCACCTAATTTCTAAATTATTCTATTTAATACTATCCACTTAAAAATTCGTGCCAAAAGTAAATATTGCACCTTATTTGAGACTGGTGGAGTCTTATTTAAATTAAATTTTAAATTAAAACCAAACAAAATTATTTAAATCGTAATATATTTATTTTTACTTTTAATAGAAAAGAAAAATAGTGCTTTCTGTCAAAATTAATTACTCTCTTCGTCCCATATCAAATTATTCATTTTTCCATTTTAGTTCGTCTCATAACAAAGTATCCATTTCATTTTTTAGTAATTGTACTATTTACCTAACATTACAAATACCTTTACAACTTACAATATATTACACAAATGTCATTACTTTTATATCATGCATACTAATAAGGTTATTTTAGTCATCTAGACTTTATTCTTACTATATCCCAATATAATATTAATATTTATAAAACTACATGCAAAAAGCAAATGGATAATTACTTATGGGACTGAGGGAATATTATTTTTCTTTTTGTCCTAAAATCTACTTTATTTTGTAAAATAGTTTAAAAAAATATTCTTCTAATGTGACATATTAAAAATTATGTAAAAATATATAAAAAATAATAAATTTGTGTAATATATTAATTTTTTTTGAAAAAAGAAAAAGAAAAGCACACACCCTACATATTACTAATTTTGATAAAATTAAAATATTACTCAATCCGTCTCAATACAATAGTCTTGTTTACTATTTTTGTCTGTCCCAAAACAATGGTCTCATTTTTATAAATAATTATATCACTATAAAATTACCCATATTTTTTCATTTTTATTACAAAATTGTCACTATTTTTTTACACTAATACACTCACAAAGGCAAAAAAAATCTTTTATCTATACTTTTTATCAACTACCAATGTAATATCAATATTCCTTAAATCACGTGTCTAACCTAATTAAGACTATAATTCGGAGGGAGTGCCATTTAATTATTAATTTGCATTTAACATTATTCATATTTTTTTTTTATTTTAATTTTCATAAATATTATCAATTATTTTTATATTTTATTAATTTTTTAATAAAACAATCATTTTTTATTTTTATTTTTAATTACCATGCCCACATCAAATGTACTCAAATGAGTAGACTAATGTGTGCACTATTAAGATTGAATGGGGGATTTAGCTAGAGCATTAGAGAACAGGGATGGCTAATTTTTACATTATAAAAAATAAAAATAAAAATGAGTAGACGAATGCATCTATCAAGGAATGATTTAATAGTACTTCTTCCGTCCTATCCTATAATAGGGTGTATTACTGTATATAAGAGAATTTAGATAAAATATAATTTGTAAGTAATTAAGAAGTATATTAGTAAAAATAATTATTATTTAGTAAAAATAATTATATATTAAGATTAAGATAAGTAAATAATTTAATTAAAATTAAGAAAATTATAAAATTTAAAATTTAAAATGCCGATTAAAGTATATAATTATATTTCCAAAAATAAAAAAGATAAATTATATAAAACAGACAAAAATATAAAATATGGATAAATTATATGTGACGGAGAAAGTATAAAAATGAATCCTTAATTTTGTATTAAGAGGAAAAAAAAAAAAAAAAAAAAAAACCAAACGCACTATATTTTTATTAAATGATGTTCTTATTGAAAATAATAAAAATTGAAAACAAACCTATAGAAAATAAAACAAATTCCAAAGTTCCTTCAAACAAATTCAAATCCATTACATATCATACAAATAACAAAGTATTTGTCGTCCGATAAGAAATAACCTGCTAGTGTGGGGTTAGACGTATGTGACTGTGAGGTCATGATTTTGCTGATGTCATAAAAAAATAAAGTAATCCCTATGTCGCAGTGAAATGTTATAATTTTTCATTTTCGTTCGTTCCAAAACAAGGTTACTATTTCCTAATTTAGTAATCGTACTCATACTTAACATAATAAATACTTTCAACTTACATTATATTATACAAATGTCATACTTTTATATTACATCATACTAATGGGGTATTTTTGTCTTTTTTTACTACAATTTAATATAATACTAATATTCAAAAATCTACTTGCAAAAATTGGAATTTGTACTTTATAAAATAATAATAATAATAGTAAAAATTCAAGCCAAATCTATTTACTCCAAATTTCGATATTTATTTATTTTTATATCATTTATTTTATTTTCAGGTTGTGTTGTCTCTTCTCTATTACCAAAATAAAATAAATAGTAAAATTGCTCGTAATTCTCTTGTATTTTTGAAATTCAGCGTAAATTTTTTTTTATATTTTAAAAATTGTATGACACTTCTTATACTTTCGAAAACGTTGCATCAAAATCCTACCACCATGAGAACTCTCTTGTGTGATGAAAAGATGATTTATATTTTGTATGACGATGAGTTTTATGCAATAAAAGAGGAAGCTATGCAATTTTTTAAAGTAAAGTAAAATTTATGCTTGAGTTTTAAAACGAACAATTTAATTACAAAATTTTTTAAAATATAAAGTGATACCATTTTTAAAGGAAAGAAGAATTTACTGAGTCTCGAAACGAGTTACAGCAATTTTGCCCAAATAAATATATAAAAAGTAAATAATCCCTAACCAACAACACAAAGGGGAGAAAAAGAAAAGCTAATAGCGAAAATGGCCATGATGTGAAAAGATTAGAAGATATTCCCAAGGCATCATTTCTCCTTGTTCACACCCCATTTTAGTGTAGGGCACTTCTTCGGCGCAGATTGGATCTGCTTGCCTTGCCTCTGATCTCTTTTTCGACTGAATTTCGTGGTCGGAGATGCTGGATTCTGAATGCTTTCGGATTCGGAGGTTATAAGCTGCTTGCTTTTAAGTTTTTTTTTTTTTTTTGAATTTTTGAGGTTGAATTTCAGCTGCAGCAGTATTAACTAATTGCGAGAGAGATTATGTGAGTTGTTTTTGGTATATGGCGCAATTTTCGATTTGATGTTGGTTGGTGGATAGGGTTTGGATTTGTGTAGATCTGCTGCGCTTTGATTGCTGCAATCGATGTGTTTGAGGCAGCGACTTGATTCTGAACTATGGAGCATTTGTTCGTCAATGTATAGGAATTCGATTCGCGTAATACAGGTCTGGTTCGGCCCTTTGGGCTTCTGATTTCCGGGTAGGAAAATTTTGGGGATAAATTCGCGGATTGGGTGGTTTCTTGGAGGAACTAAAGGCGCTATTGATTATATGTTGTAAAAAAAAAAACAAATTGGCTGGCAATTCGTCGATCTTGTTGTAGGTTATTGGGTGTTGATTGATCTAGGGTTGGGTATTTAATTATTTGTTGAATTTTATCGAATTTGGGGGTGATCGGAGTGGTTGATCTTTTTGGGAGGGGAATAGGTTGATGTTTTTAGAGGCAGCCATGGCTGCGGGTACAGATTATTCTCCTCCATTAGAAGCTGGGAATAGTACTGAGAGGCGTGAGATTTCAGATGTAAGAGATGCTTTATCCGAAAACTCTGATGACGTTAAGCAGACATTGAGTGGGAAACCACCACGGCATCTCTCAGTGGCACGCCATAGCGCGACGTTACTTTCGCCCTCGGAATTGGTGAGTTGTGTAAATATCTCTTTATTTATCTTCTTTAGCTAATGAGCTTTTTATCCAATCATATTTTGCCCCTTTTACTTTGTGGTTTTTTCTTTTTTAGTGATTTAAGTGTCTATGTTTATTCTAAATGTTCTTGTGCATTAGTTGGTAGTGATAATATGTTTACTTCATATTCCTTTCGGAAGTGTCAGTTGAGAAGTTTTTCTTTGTGATTGGTAGTTAGAAGTTGCCAGTGCATTTGTTGACGCATCCATGAAAATCCTTGATTGGTAATAAAAAGTCAAAACGGTCTTTATGTTTGTTATTGTAGGTTCTTTTATTTATTTCGATCCATGAACTACAATGTTTTTTCCTGTTTAGAATCCCACAAATGTACACCAAGTAGGAGAGAATACTACTAGAAAGAATCCCTAAAGGAAGCTTATTTGATATTCATGAATCACGACCCGACTGTTTTCATACTTGCTGGCATCTTGGAATGATCTTGGAAGTTATTTCTGGAGTTGAATAAGATGATTTCAAATTGGATGCAGTGAATTACTGTAAAAAGAATTATTTGTTACCTTTGTCTAACAGTAAACACTTAGTTATTCCTGTAGACTCTAGCATCTGATCTCCCCACCCCTTCTCTCTCTTTCCGAGCACTTCATCTGCCCACATTAATATACATTTACACGACGAAATGTCATTCACCACCTGACAAAATTAGTCCCTTGCTGCAGACCTCATGCATTCTTGACGACAAGTCCTTGGGTTAAATCCTTTTCCCTTGAGTGAGCCTGAGTCTGTATTTGAACTCAATCCATAAAGAATCTATGCATACCCTCAACTTGGTCTGTTCACTTGCCTGTGCTACGTAGTTGTTGCAACAGGTGAGCCACTGAGTTGCCTTCCCCTGTGTGTTTGAAACAGTAGTTTTTATATCATGTGGCCTCTGGTACACACAGGTGCCCCACCCACAGTTTTTTTATTCATTTTATGGCAATTTATGAACTCCTCACACTCCCACTCCCAACAACCACCATAAAGAAAAACTCTTAGTAGAATGCAAAATCTTGTGTGCATCTGAGGCAGTGGCAGCTCCCTAAACTGGCCTTCAAATGAATTGGTTCCTTGTGCAATTACAATAAAAATGGGTTAAGATAAGTGCATGTCTAAAACACGTTTATGATCAGGGTTTTGGTGTAAGACGATAAAACAAAGGAAGATCCCATAGTATGAAGAAATTAACTGAAGGCATCATATAAAAAATATTAATTGCACTATCATATTTTGTAGGGATTACATGTCTAGCTTTAGTTTAACATCCTTTGCTTTATGATTATTCTGGTGCATAAATAATTATAGTAGCTTGTGATACGAGGTGTAGAATGGTGGTCCTGAGAGGCATGATGACGTGGACCTTATAAGATAATTGTTAATACTTCTTTTTTGGTTTTTTTTTTTGGGGGTGGGGGGGGAGGTGTTGTCGCAAAATAACATTAAAATATACATTAGACTTTAGTTATTAAGCCACAACAATAATGTTAAAGCACAGGTTTGTAAGAAAAATAAATAATCCTAGCGACAACAATAATAATAAATGAACTAGAAAACAACTTGGAGAAAGTTTCTTGAACATGTGAGACAGAAGCAAGAGTTGATCAAAAAAGAACAGACAGCAATAGTAAAGAGTTTTCTCCTTCGATCCCTTTTGAAAGATATATGCAGAAAATATTTTTAGCATATGAAATACAATTCCCTTGGCAAAGGTGCTAATGGTGCAGGCCAGCTTTTATAAGCATGCCGTTAATGAAGTTAATGATGACAATGTGAGAATGGTGCCAACTAGGCGGCTGGTGCTTTGGATTGCTATTTTTAGGTGTACCACGAACAAAAATGTGTATGACGTAATGCATCTTATCATAACAATCTCTCAATATTACATTGATTAGTAATAATATTTGTATAAAACTAATAGATATTACAAGAATAGAACAGACCATATGTTAGATTACAAATGCAAAAGACGTCATCCTTTCTTTATCAAACACAAAAATTTAATCTTATAACAAGATGTCAGAGTAATGAAGTAAGCAAGTTATAAACTATAAAATCTAATACCTCAACCTTCCTGTGCTTTTTTCCATATGAAGTCACCTTTTATATTTCCATTATATTTCTTGTGATTTTAAACACCAAAATTGAGTGTCAATATCTATATCTAAATAAATATACATAGATTAGCATTAAATATTGAAACTTGTATTTCAACGTCGAATGTATTGGGTAAGTTGGTATTTTGTACTTGTATTGATGTGAGTGATTATACTGAATTACTGATTAAATTTATTTATGCATTGTTGTGTCGTAACTTGATATGAATATTCACCATAACTTCGGAACTTTTGTGCAATGGTGGGACATACATCATTAATTGCTTTTTATGAGAAAGGGGGTGGCTGTTAGCTGCATAAAAATTGCTAGGTTGGGTGGGTGGTTCTGATTTCCAAAACAGAAGAGCTAACTTGTGCAATTGACCACCCCTGTCCTATCATGTTTATCCTTTGCGACACAGGTGTCAGGACTGTTCAGAGTTTTACTTCGTTTCCACCAACCAAACCCATTCACAGTGATGAATCTTACCTTGCAGTTGTAGGTTGATTTCTCTCTTTAGGAGAATATACAAATGACTGAGGAGGCCAGTTCCTGTATCATAAGCAGGGTGAGTAGGACAACATAAAAAATTAAGCATATCAGCCACCTTACTAATTAATACCCAATGGAACCGCGAATTGGAAGCTTTACCTTGATACAGTATGCTTGGCCCTAATACTAACTTTAAATAGGAATTGTTTAGTACTAAATTACTAATTGGAGGGCTATAAAAGAGGCATTTGGTCAGTAACAAATTTCTACTCTTCCGGAAATGTGGTTTTTGCTTATTCCTGATTCTAATGCTTAGGCGATGTTGCACCGCTTACTTTTCTTTCTTTACTGTCTATAATTATTGGACCAAGCCTAATAATCTTTTGTTGCACTTATAAAGGATTCTGATGCTAGAGTGACTGGAGCCAGGTCCCCAGCAGATATAGTTTCAAGCTATATGCCGGTTTTTCGCTGTGGAAGCTGTGCCGAGAAAGGCCCCAAGCCGTACATGGAGGACAAGCATATCTGCATAGACAACTTGCCTGAACATTTGAGTGATGCTGCTGGTTTCCCTTCGTCTGGAGCTTTTTATGGGGTGTGTAAGTTATATAGTGTTGATATTGTTTAGTGTTTTAGTTTGAAGTATTTTTTTTTAATGTAAATATGAGGAGTTGTGTCGGTAATATAAAAATATTATTTTAGGTTGAATGTTGACTTTCTTTGATAGAATAGAATATGTATTATATATTGGGAATCTTGTCAACTTATTATCAATATTACAAAGTTTAGTTTTCTCAGGGGTTTCAATGTGAACAATTGTGGAGGTTGTGTTTTAGCTTTGCTTAGTCAAGATTTCTTCGTCTTTTTTCTTTTTTGATCGGAAGATTTTTTTTCCTTGACTTTACTGGATCCTGTGTATTCAGCAGTACGAACTATATGTTGGGCAGGTGTTTGATGGTCATGGAGGAACAGATGCTGCATCATTTGTCAGAAATAACATTCTCAAGTTTATTATTAAGGACTCCTTTTTTCCAGCTTGTCTGGAAAAAGCAATCAAGAGCGCATTTCTTAAAGCTGATTATGCATTTGCCGACGAGAGCTCCCTTGATATATCCTCGGGTACAACGGCATTGACTGCATTCATATATGGAAGGTAACATGTGTCTTCCGTTATATTCCTTCCGTTTCCAAATCTATGCTCATTTTGTTTTGTTGTCATTAAAAAATGTTCTCTGTTCCATTTTTTTAGTAAAAAAGTATATTATTTTTTTGTATTTTTTTATTATAAACAACAAAAAGTAACGATTATTATTCATTTTCATTAAAATTTGTGCCTAACCATTTGAGCATACATATACGTGACCGGGGGGGGGGGGGGGGTGGTTATTATTTCCTCCATGAGTTGAATTTTATCAATCTTGACGACAAAACTCTTCTATCATTAAAACTGACGTAATTTGGATTGCATTGTTGTTATTTGTTGTAAATAGTAAGATACTTTGTGAAAAGGAATTGTGTAATTGTAGGCTTAAAATTGAAATTTTGAACTGAATATTTTCTTGCAAATCAAAGATATATTTTGTACTTCTTGTTCGAAATGCAAATTTGGTACATTGACCTAATTAAATTCCATTCCATTCCAACCCTGCAGAAAGATGATAGTCGCCAATGCTGGAGACTGTCGCGCCGTCCTGGGAAAGCGCGGCAAGGCGATCGAAATGTCGAAAGACCACAAGCCGAATTACACATCAGAAAGGCAAAGAATCGAAAAGCTCGGAGGAGTCATCTACGACGGGTACCTCAACGGGCAGCTCTCCGTGTCACGCGCCCTCGGCGACTGGCACATGAAAGGCCCGAAAGGGAGCGCCTGTCCCTTGAGCGCAGAGCCCGAGCTGCAGGAGATCGTACTCAGCGAAGAAGATGAGTTTCTAATCATGGGGTGCGACGGCCTGTGGGACGTCATGAGCAGCCAGTGCGCAGTCACGATGGCCAGAAAAGAACTGATGCTGCACAACGACCCGGAGCGGTGCTCCCGGGAACTCGTCCGGGAAGCCCTGAGGCGCAACACGTGCGACAACTTGACGGTTATTGTGGTGTGCTTTTCCCCGGACCCTCCCCTGCGGGTGGATGTGACGCCGAGCCGAGTCCGGAGAAGCATATCGGCTGAAGGGCTGAATCTGCTGAAGGGCGCGCTGGAAGGTAGCTTGTAGAGGTAAGATTTCGATTTCGATCCCGATCCCGATTTGCCGGAATTTATCTTAAAATCTTGTTGCCTGCCTGCCTGATGGTTTTCGGGTTTCAGTCTGTGTGTGTATATTTGGGATGTTGCTGTTGTATTCAATTGTTAGCTGCTGAGGATGTTTTTTGTGTCCTTTTGGTTGTGTGTATGTGTGTATATATATATTATGTGTTAGTTGCCCTTGTTATATTTAATAAAAAATTTATCTAGCAGTGTTTGGTGTGGTTATGTGAAGTTTAGTAGCAGCATCAACTTTTTTTTTTTTTTTTAAATAGAAAATATAGGTTTTACATGGAGATTTTCGTTTGAAGAATGAAAATAGTAAAAAGTTTGAATATTTGATGTGGTTTTTTGGAGAAATTATTGTTTCATGGATAGTATCAAAGCTTCTAAAAATATCTGTATAAATGGAGTGAGTCTTTATATGTGGATTCCGGTTTTTGACATGAACTGTTTTGATTAAAGAGTTTTTATTTGTTTTTAATCATGCAATTTTAGTATTTGTATTTTGTATAAGAATTTAAGGAATTGTGGGTATTGTTAATAACAAGGGATCGTCCTTTTAATCTAAAATCAATTGGTGATAGGTAGAGTGATCATTCACCTTTATAAATCAAATCAATGGGAGATTCTATATCTTTTTCAATGTGAGACAACATAAATCAATACTCAATCATGGCTTTTGATTATGATATCATGAAAATCAATTGGTGATGGGTGCAGTGGCTTTCGCTCCTAAATAAATTAGGGCGAAGAAATAGGTAGAATAGAGCTCACTATTTCCTTTAGAAATGTATTCGATTTTTTTAAATATATATATATATATATCTCACATTTATTATAATCAGAAGACCATTCTTTTTTATTTTCCTTTGTTTAATTTTCATTTGCTTTTGAGCGTATCATATAGCCATTTGTGTTAATAAACCATCCCTTCACTCATGCCCTTCAAAGTTTTGGAGTTAAGTTTTGAAAGTAATAAATATTAAATAAAAATTGATATTTGATGTTTTATAAAACTGTGTTTTATTTATAATAGTTTTTGTACAAAAAAAAAAAGAAAAAAAAAAGAAAAAAAAAGAGGTTAGTAGTCTATCTAAATAGAGCCTTCGGATTTGTATTATGCTCACTTCTAATTCAAATTTCTTATATATATATATATATATATATATTAGGGTTTAGTGTGTATGGATAAAAATTTTTTGATGAAATTTGAAAATTTTATTTGATTTAGTTGGTGTATATTTACAAGGATTTGAATTTTAAAAATTGTTTATTGGTTTGTTATTGTTATATATATATAATTTTTTTATTATTTTTTTATATATAAAATTTTGCAATTATTTTTTTTATTCTAAAAAATTTTAAAATTATGATAAATGCATGAGTTGACATGTCTTATCAAATATATATATATATATAATTACATTATTTAAATAATAGAATCCTTTCCATACACTTCAATTATTGACTTCATAATTGAATACTTAAAAATAGTTAGCAAATAAATTAACCATGTAGATGTATTCCGCAGTTTATTTTTTATTATCATAGTCAAATTTCATTAAAAAAAACTAAAAGTCCAGAGCAATGTTTGGTATATTATTTTGTTATATATTGCATCAAAATATTATTTTAAATGAAAATTTTAAACCAAAATCAAACCAATTTAATAATGAAATATAAACATGTTTTAAGATTGCAAATTCCTTAAAGAAATTAGGTATAAAGCGATGGTGGGACGTCGTCGTTTCATCATTTCGTCCACAAATAAATCTATAAAAATTAAAAGCACCAAAAAAGACAAAAAATAAATAAAGGAAAAATAAGGCTAGGATATGTTTGGTACTAATTTATTTTATTTTTCGATTAATGATATATTCTATTTTTTAATATTATACTCCCTCAAACTCATATTAATATTAACGTTATCCCTCCCAGATAAAGTGCAATATTTATTTTTGGCACGGATTTTTAGGTGTATAGTATTAAATAGGATAATTTAGAAATTATGTGATGTGATAGAGAGAGAAATATATATTTTATTATTTTATTTAGATGATGTAAGGGGATAAAGTGTGAGGTAAAAATATTGGATGATATTTGGGACATACCAAAAAAAAATGTTGCATATTGTTTAGGATAGAGGGAGTATCATTTTTCTTATTTGTTTCACTATTTTTTTTCAAAAAAAATTCATTTATAATCTCAATATCACTATTTCTCTTAAACAAATAAATATATTAATATCTTTAAAATCTCGTATATTTTATAATTATTTTATTTGTATTGTATATTTTATTATTAATATAGAATATATATTTATGAAAATATAATGTTTATAATAATTAAAATATTTTTTAAAATTCATTTTTAATCAAATCTTTTTTTTTTGTTCTCTAATGTATTTTTTTTTATAATAAATTAATGAATAATAGTCCTTTAAATTCATCTTTTGTGTTCAATTTATGATAGAAGTAAAATATAATTAATAAGTAATTAAAAAATATATTAATAAAAATAATTATAATATAATAACACTAATTATATATTAAGATAGCTAAATATTATAGTTAGGAAATTTAAAATGTACTATATAATTATATTTTCTAATAGAAAAATGACAAATAAAGTGAGACGAACATAAATACAAAATAGTAAATGAAAAAAGTGGGACAAAAAGAATATTATCTTACTCGTTAATACAAGATAATTGATTTTAATATTTTTAATGTATAATTTAATTGTATCTGTAATAATATATTTATAATTCATATAAAATTAAAAATATCTTATATCAATTAATTATACTTTTATTACAAAAAAAATTAAATATACTTTATTAAAAATATAATACTAAAAATATTTAAATATATATTTTTTTATTAATTATATATAATTTATATTTTTTAAATATTAACAATATTACTCCTGTAAAAATGATATAAGAGTTTTCTATTAATAATTTGCTAATTGATATTATCCAAATAACGAAACTAACTAGTATTCTCTCGTCCCGTATTTGCAATATTTTTTATTTTGATTTGACATTTGCAATATTTACAAAAATAAAAAATAATTAACACAATTTATTTCATCCTACCATTCAAATAAAAAAATAAATATACATCTACCTTTTTTATTAACATCACTTTATTTTTATTTTATTTTACCACTTAAAATTTTTTATGTCCTAATTCAAATATTGCTTCTTACATAACACATAAGATTATTATTTTCAGGTTGTGTTGTCACTTCACACTTACCGAAATAAATAAATCAATAAAAAAAAATAAAAATAAAAATAATGAAAATAATCCCAACCAACAACATAAAGGGTAGAAAAGAAAAGCAGAGCAGAAATGGCCATGATGTGAAAAAGATATTCCCAAGGCATAATTTCTCCATGTTCACACCCCATTTTAATGTTGGGGAGCTCTTCGCCGCAGATTGGATCTGCTTGCCTCGCCTCTGATCTCTTCCCGGAGTCAATTTCGTGGTCGGAGATGGCGAGTTGTGAATGAATGCTCTCGGATTCGGAGGTTATAACCTGCTTTTAAGTTAATTTCATTTTTTTGAATTTTTTTTTTTGTTGAATTTCAGCTCGAGTATGTGTTTGACTGTCTGTCTGATTGCGAGAGATTATATGAGTTATTTTTGGTATGTAGCGCAATTTTGGATTTGATGTCGGTTGGTGGATAGGGTTTGGATTTTATGTAGATCTGCGGTTTGATTGCTGCGATTGATGTGTTTGGTGCAGCGAATTGATTTTGAACTACGGAGCATATGTTCTTCACCGTATAGGAATTTGTTTCGCGTTATCTATCCATGTCTAAGATGATGTATTGGCTGTAGAATTTTACCTGAAATTTTATCTGCTTTATTTTCTAGGGTTTCTTATTGTATCAGAAATTTGGGGTCAGAATCAGAAATGTTCTAGGATGATTTACTTTAGAGAAGCCATTGAAATGGTTGGATTGTTTCTCAACATTGCATTTGCTTGCATTTAGGTGGTTGAAACACTTGTTTATAATCTTCTGGATTTCTTGATTGTAAAGGCTTGAGTGCTTAATTTGTTCATGTAGGTCAAGATACAAGAGCACGAAAAAAGTGATTACAATACTGAAGAGATGAAATGACCTCTGCAAGTATACGAGAAGAACAACAACTAACTGATAATGAAATCGAGTCTTTAAGTGTGTCGAAACGTATCATTAGAAGTATGAGTCAGAAATTGAAAAGAAAAAGTAACATAAGCGAAGATGCTGACGAGGCTGAGGCGACGAGTGTTTCTCTGAGATGTCTTACTCTTTACGGTAGAGGTGGAGGTTGCAAAGTAGGGGCTGACATGGGTGAGGAATTTGGGAATTCTGGGTGCCGAAGGAGATCAAGTTCGAGCGAGGAAGGAAAAGGGTATCCGGCGTTATGTGGGAAGGAGGAAGAAACTATCGACTGCTTTCCATACATAGTGAAGGAGAGATTCTTCCGAAAGAGCAACAGGAGGCTTTTGACGTATAATGATGCACAACAGAGCAATAGCATGAATGCCCGACTTCCGGATGACATTCTTGAAATGTGTTTGGTGAGGCTGCCATTGGCAAGCCTCATGAATGCTCGGCTCGTCTGCAAGAAGTGGCGGAGCTTGACTTCCACACCTCGGTTTATGCAGATCAGGAGAGAAGGGTTATTCCAAAGCTCGTGGTTGTTTCTGTTCGGTGTTGTTAAGAACGGATATTGCTCTGGAGAAATACACGCATTCGACATTGCCTTAAACCAATGGCACAAAATCGATTCTCCATCTCTCAAAGGGAGATTTCTGTTTTCGGTTGCTAGTATCCAAGATAACATTTTCATCGTTGGGGGATGTTCAAGCTTGACTAACTTTGGACGTGTGGATCGCAGCTCGTTCAAGACACACAAAGGGGTTTTGGTTTTCAGCCCCTTGATGAAATCGTGGCGTAAAGCAGGAGCTATGAAGTACGCCCGGTCGTCGCCTGTTTTAGGTATTTCGGAAGTCAATCCCGATTGTTTATTCTTCAAAAATCAACAAAATCGATCGGAAAGACGCTTCTATCGGCCTAGAGTCGGAGGCGTGTCTGATGTATACGAGGATCCTCACAGACTTTCTGTTAGACGCCAATCTCGGCATTCGCTTGACGAAAATGATTATTTAGCAGTCCCAACCAACAACCCTCTCAAGACTTTGAGGCAAAAAGTCGAAACTTCTTCCAGCAAGGACGGTAGGAAGTTTGTCATGATTGCGGTTGGCGGCCTTGGCTCTTGGGACGAGCCATTGGACTCTGGCGAAATTTACGATCCCGTTTCGAATAAATGGACAGAGATACAGCGACTACCGTTAGATTTCGGTGTGGCATGTTCTGGTGTCATATGCTACGGTACGTTCTACGTCTATTCGGAAAGCGACAAACTAGCCGGGTACGACATCGAAAAGGGTTACTGGGTCAGAATTCAGATTGCTTTGAGCCCTCCTCGCGTGCACGAATATTATCCGAAGCTGATCTCGTGTAAGGGCCGGGTGTTTATGCTTTCGGTGTCGTGGTGCGAAGGAGACGGTCAGATTGGTCGTAGGAACAAAGCTGTTAGAAAGCTATGGGAGCTCGATCTCGTGTATCTTACTTGGACTGAGGTGTCGACGCATCCTGATGCCCCGATGGACTGGAATGCTGCTTTTGTTGCTGACGAAGATCTCATTTTCGGCGTCGAAATGTTTAAGATTTTCGGACAGGTACTCGACTTTGTGACTATGTTTAATGTGTCTGATATGGAATCGGGCTGGAGGCATATCTCGAGGAATCACGTGGCGCACGATATGGATGCTTCTTCTTGCTTGACGAAATCCATGGCTGTCCTGCGCCTGTAGGTAAGAAATTTCATCTTCGTTTAATTGGTGAAGCTTTTATGGAAATGAACTGGCGCATAATCGTTGTATGTTTCTTTGTGAACTTGAATTTAATGTGTTTTATTATTGTGTACTAACATTTGTTTGAATACCGAACATGTTTCTGAATCGAACCGATTGGGTAATATGTTGAGAGAGGACAGGAAGAGCTTGACGCTCTGTAACGATCAAATTAAAACCATCTTCGTTTGATTGTCCTGCTGTGCTAGAATAGATGATACTAGAGAACTCTCGGATCTTGAATATATGTTTGTAGTTGCTCTTAGATAATTTCATGAGTTCGATTTAACTCAGCTTGTGATTTGGGTAAAAGGCAGTCGGAGAAGCTTTTTAAGCTCGAAAGCATTCGATGGGTTTTGTTTTGTTTTAGAACATGGCTTGTTTAGAATGCAATAACCTAGCTAGATCAAATAGTATGGATTAAATTAGGTTGTAGGAATTTTTATGTTACTGAGAACTATGAACATGTTATTAATTTGATTATTTCTAGTGTGGTAATTGTGTTTTTGGAGTATCTTTATTGTTTTGAATTTGGGTGTATTAAGGTGCATAATAATTGTTGGATTTTATGTTATGCATAAAATAAAATTAGAGATTGTATGCATTGCATTGCATTGCATAGTCATAATTTTGAACAAAATAATAATAATAAATGAACATACGCAATGTTTGCCGGGTTTTAAATAGTAAAAAAATTAAGTTAAAATAATTGTAAGATAGAATATAAAATTAATTTTTAATATAAAATAAAAATTAATATTTCTAAGTTTGGCTTTTTACTTTTAATTTCAATATTATTTACTTTTGTATTGTTTTAATAAACACATATATATATATTTTATAAAGTATCGTGTTAAAATATTATTTAATTAAAATTTAAATCAAATATCCAATTTTAAAAAAAAAAAAAAAAAAAAAACATAAGACGCCCTTTGCAAACGCAACCTATATAATTTAACACAGCACGTTATATCTTATTAAATAAACTAAGCTATTTAGAGTTGGGCCGAGATGGATTTTGTATGGGACCCGACCCATTTACAATGGATCGAGTTGAAAAAATGGACCGGATCTTGACCCGACTGGGCTACAATGGGATAGGTTGGCTCTTATATTGGGTTGACGTGAGCCGCCTTAGTGAATTGGGGCACCTAATCGGCTAGGCCGAACCGGTATATGACCCGGTCATGACTTCGGCCGGACCGGTGCCTGTCGGACTAATAGACTTGCCCGGGTCTAGTTTGAGTCGCTTTACCGGATCTATGGTCGGGTCTCCGTGGATGGACCGGTGTTGGGTTGGCCCGGGCTATTAATGGTCCGGTCCATGGTAATCTGGGCCGGGCCGCATATATAACATTTTAAATTTCATTAGAAATTTTTATTTGCATATATAATTTATTTTATTACTATTATCAAATCTTGTCGAAACAATAATATATTCATCAGCGTTTTTCACATAAAATATTTCATTGAATAATTATTTTGACTAATAAAAAATATATACATATCATATAATATTCCCTTACTACATATACATATATATATTGAGGTTAAATATTTGTCAAAGTTGTATTTTTCCTAATTTATATTATTAAAAAAAAAATTCTAAAAATATCAAATCAAATATTTATTTTTTTTATAGTACACTCAATTTTTTTTTTTTTTTTACATTCACGTCAATACCTATTTATATCGACATATCATATAACTATTCAAATTCAAATTTTTTACTATTCAAATCTCAATTCACAATTCAAACCTCCAAACAAACAAACACGTATACGAAATTTAGGGTTTGATTGGCCAATAGTTTTTCGGTTTTCAATATACATTTTATCATCTCATAAAAGTCAACATTTGATGTAAACTTGTAAAGGGTATGACTAGTACAGAACATAACAAAAATAAAAGTATTGGATGACTTATGTTTCATTCTCTTGTAACTGTTGTTCTATTGTTTATTTATGAAAATGCTATCACGCTTTAATAGGTGTATATATTAATCTTCTTTGTCTTCTTCTTCAATACAATAATAGATTGGGTTTCTGATTCGTCTCTGTTCTTTTAATTCTCTATTGTTTGATGAGAATATTCACAAAAATATTATTTTTTATATTATCGATATAATTTTTTATACATAAAAAAAAAAAATCTTTTAAAAAAAATTACAAAACATTAATATTGCGTGCTATTTATTAAATGATGAAAAAAAAATAGTAAAATATTAGTACTATTTTGTATGAAGATTATATTATCTATGATCATTTTTGTATTCACCGCTTCACACATGCTTCTTCCAACCAATGATGAATACAATAAGTCTCGCAAGGGATTGTCCGGTGGTGTAAGGGTTGGACTTGTGATCGTGAGGTCATGGGTTCAAATTCCGGACACATCCAGTTCATACTTTCGGGCAGCGACTGCGGATTCCCACATTATAAAGAAAATAATAATAATGAACACAATAATGATAATGCCTCTTTGTTGTAGTTTGAAGATTAATTTGTAAAGAAATGTTAGATATGAGTTTTATTTAAATAATAGTATTTTGTTAAATAAAATAATATATTTTTATTAAAAATTATACAAGTTTCAATGATTTTGATTTTGATTTAAAGTACATAAAGAACAAATCTACGTAGCCCTAACTATTTTGCAGTTTTGTTTTTTATTTATTTAAATATTTTTTTTTTTCCATTTCAAATTATTTTTATCATACAAAATAAGCAAGACAATAAATAGTTAAAAAAGCACAACTAATAATTATCCAGAAAATAAACGGATAACACAATGATTGTTATATAATAATTTAATAGAATTTTTATTAAAAGCACAAGTAATAATTATACATAAAATATATAATAACCATTCAATTTTATTTATTTATTTTTAATAGTAAAAACGTGACAATTTATTTTTTGAAAAGTAAAATTTTGACAGAAACAAAATCTGAAAGTATTTGGAAATTTAAACCTTGACGGTGTCAGATATAATATATTTTTTTTTTTAAAGTTGAAATATATTATACACCTACTGAAAATAAATTTAATATTTAGTTTTTCATATATGCGGGATTATAATAATAATTTTATACATTTTTTAGTATAAAATATATCAAGTCATCACGTAAATATAAATAATTAATATAAAAGTAACAACCTGACAATTTTATTTTTATAATAATCATTCAATTTTTAAAGTTCAGTTGTTAGCTTCCCCGGATCGAAATTTTATCGGGAATTCTATCGCCATTCATGATCAATTAAATGCATCTAAATATTAATCTTTTATGCCTACGGTGCAGCATTCGCGCCCAGAATTATGAAATATGTAAGCAGGATAGATATGTCGATATCATTTATGTTTTATTTCACTTCCTGCAGATCGGACGAGCAATCCCAATCCCATCATTTTCGGTTTGGCTGCAAAGGGATGGAGAAAACAGGGTGAAACAAGTGATGAATATATATATGCTGAAGCCTTCTTCTTTAAATCCAGCTGAAACTTTTTCCAGCAATAACTTTGTATGGAACTGCAATGGTGCAGAGAAGTCATTTCTAAATATTTTTATATATACCTCTTGAAAGTAAAATATTTAAGTAAAAAAAAAAAAATCATGCTCACACTAGTCTTTGTTATTATGAAATTGTCCAAAACATTATTATTACGAAATACAGTTCATCAATGTCTCTAAACTAAGACTACTTAGTACCAGCTCGCAAACAATCTGTTCATAACTCAGGGGAAGAAAAAAAAAATGCCCGTGAAAAAATTATTAAGCACAACATGACAACTATTTTAAACGTTTTAAATAAAATGTGATTAATTTGCATTATGAAAATATGTTTAACAATTAATTGACAAAAAATAAATGTTCACACGTACATCCACATGAATACTAGAAATCATATGTACAATTTTTTTAGTATAAAACTAAAAAAAGTAACAAAAAGTACATATTCATTTAAGTAATAGGTTGCAATATTTCAAAAACACATTCGACTACGCATACCTGCAATGCCCCTGTGTTTATTTGCAATAGTTTTATTTGTAAGAGAAAATAAAATATATTAATTGAGAAGATAAATATTGCATTCAAATAATATAATTCAGATAATTTTAATGTAAAATTTCTAATCCTCCTATCTTTAATTTTTATTTGCAATAGTTTTATAATTGTTTTTAATTTATAAAATAGAAATAAAAAAAGCTATAATCTTTTATAAAAAAAATTAGAATATTTCACATTAAAAATAATATTCCATCCGTGTCATGTCACTTTCATTTTTTTAAAAAAATTACACTTTAATCTCCATTTAAACTTTTTAATTTTATTTTATTTAAAATTTTAATTAAAAATAATTATTTTACTAATATATTTTTAATTATACTAAGCTTCTACTAAGGCGCATTAATTTAAATTCGTAAGCCCTAATTTTACGAAGGGCACGAATCCGCAGGCTGGGACCTGGGTAACCGTACAGGCTGGAGGCGGCGGAGACGGCGGTGAAGGCGATGAAATTCAGCGTGAAGGCATGGAGCAAGGGCGGAGCTCGGGCGGGGGTACTTCAGGTCGGCGGCAGCTGTTGTTTGGAAACTCCAGCTCTCCTCCTCACTACACGCAAGGGTTTGCCTTCCTTCATTTCCCCTGACCTGCTGTCTACTCTCCCGTCGCCGGACTCTCGCCTCCTCCAATTTAGTCCTCTTCACTTGTGCGTCACTATAATCATCTTCTTCTTTCTGTTTTTTCTTTGATTTTGTTTACTTATGTTCTATTTAGCTGTGGCGCGACGTTTCCGGATTGCGGATTAGGTATTCGTGATGGTGTATGATCGAGGAATTGGACAGAATTTGAATTGTAGTTAGTGTCGATTGTTTCCCTTGATTTTCGATGCGTTTTGCAGCGCAGAAGGAATCTCTATGAAAACGATATCCGAATTGGGAGGGCTGCATCAGATGCTTGGTTTGAAAGATCATGTGTTTGTGGCCGTCCCGAGGGATTCGATTATATCCTTGCCGGATTACCAGAGCGCTAACAGGCTGGGAGCTTCTTTCGAGACTCCTTGTGGTCGACTGCTGGTAAAAAACTTATGTATCAAAGTGTTTTTTCACTCAATCTTGTGGTAGTGTTGTTCAGTGCTGCTATGTTCAATTTTCTTGACGGATGGGATTTTGACAGATGAAACCAAAGCAGTATATGGAAATGATTTCATCGATGAAGCCGGATATATGGTCCACATTGGCAGATGAAGTCCCTGCATGGGTTTCTGAAAAGAGAAACAGAGCCTCGGTTGATCGAACTGTGAGATGGCTTGATGAATGCCTAACGTCGGATCTTGCTTCCAATGTAGGTGCTAAATGTGTTCCTATTTATCAGGTTATTTACTTTGATTTAATGAGCAAGTGAAGATACCTTTTAGGGAGTTATGATATGGTTACTTCCGCATCAGCCGACACTTATCATTGGAACCTATGAAATGAGAAAGTTATCATAGGCGAATGTGTTGTGTTGGTTTTCAATTTTTTCGATGCACAGAATATGTGCAAGACAGGGATGATTATCTTGTGAATTGTGTGAGAACATTGCTCATTGATTTGTTGTTAATATAGAGACACTTAAGTTGAACTAGCCAGTGAATACCAAAAGCAGTTGATTGCCTCCTAATTTGGCCATATTTCATCAAACCAGAGACGAGGTTAGATAAATCAGGAAATGCATCATTTCACTTGAATGAGTTGTTGACTTTAAATCGAGAAAAGCATTTTTATCAGCAATCTGGTAGCTCCTCCTTTTCATATTAAATTGTTTATCCTAAGAGTCTGGAAAGTGGTCCATGGGCACATGGAAATGGTTGAAAACATTGTAAAAACCTCGGCTTGTGTTTTAGGCATTTACTTTGGTAGCAGAATTGTGATATATTTGTAATTAATTAACTGACTTATAACTTGATATTGGTGAATTAAATGCAGTACTGCATATGTTAATTCTGAAATGTAGACAGGCGGAGCTGCATTTGGGACAATTGTGGGAGGCTCAAGAATTGATGAACGGAAGCGCTGTGCAGAAGAAGTTGCAAAGGGAAATGTGTCAGGTGTTCATAACCACTTATGTCTTTTGAGGATTTCTGAAAATTTATAGATGATGCCGACTTGTGAGCCAATCATATTATTTCACATTATAAAGAAATGCAAAAGCTACAACAAGTTATATATATATATATATATATGTATATTCATTATTTCATTTAAGAGATTTAATCTTTGAAGAAAAATGTAATAAATTACGAGATAAAATAAAATATGACTACTGCCAAACCTACTCAAATATTCAATATTCAGCTCAACATTTCCTCATCTTTTTAGGCTGTAATGCTTATTGTATGATTTCAAACCTGCCATTTTCATTATATTTACTTACCAGAAATTGTATTGTATAGGATTCTGCATAGGAGGCTTTGGCCTTGGGGAAAGTCTGGATGATCGCCCTGCTCTTCTCCGTGCTATTATTGTATGTATTTATCTCATCTCCATCAATAGCGTGTTGCTTCAGTGGAGCAGTATATCAAATTTATCATATTTATAACTTTCATGTCAAGCAAAGGGTGTCGAAATTCCATGTCATCTCGCATAAGTATTTAACCAGAAATTTGTTGCTTTATCATATTTGATTTGCATCTTAAGATAAACTTGTGCAACAGTGACAAAACTGGCACCACCAGGATAGAATTGTGTATGCAATCTAATATTACTATATCTATATATATGTATCTCTACGACAATATCTGTGCATATCATAATTTTTGTAACTTTTATGTACTATTTCTGGGAAACCATTATATTCTATGACAAATTTCCAATGACCAAGTGCCAGACGAATTGCATAGGTTGTCCTCTCATCTCAAATTGCTATGATATTCCTATTGTTCCATTTCCTTTATAATTTTTTTTTTTTTTTCTTATCTATGTTGGAAATTCAGTGTTGATTTGGTGTCTCTTTACTTGTAAACGCAGGAACATTTACCAGAAAACAAACCCCGTCAGATTTGTGGTCTTGGGCTTCCTGGTAATTTTTAGTCTTGATATTACTATTATACGTTGTTCCTTTTGTTTTGCGGAGTCTCTATGTCTTGGGCTCTGTTTTTGCTTATCGCACAACCAGCATGACACCATTTATTGGTTATAGAATCACAGTACTTGGTTTAATTTGATTTATGCAAATTGTGTTCACGATTATCCACTAAATGGGCCATTAAACCTTTGAACGTTTTAAGTTAGGAGGAGTTCGTTTATGGCCTTATTCATATACCACCATGAATGAAATTCCTCGGCAATGAATATCTTCTGTTTTTTAAATTTCAGAGGAAATCTTGCAAGGTGTTGCTGCTGGGGTTGACCTATTTGACTCGACGTACGGTACCAATCCTTAACTCTATTTAACGCTTCAATCTTGCCCAAAAGAAAAAGGAAAACTACAATCATGCTAACTTTTTTTATCATGTCGGATAGTTATATAGCATATAGATTCTATTGCGATCATTCTTTGGGTAAAACTCTGATATGAAGTTCAATCTCCAACAGATATGTTTACCATCTTACACTGGGAGGATTTGCCCTTACATTTGCTTCAGCGGAAAACAAGAAACACGATGTTTGTGATCAGCTAACTGAACTTACTGGGAGTGACGGCACCAAGATCAATCTAAAAGCAACAATTTACAGGTCATTCATCTTTTGCTTGTTCAATTTTTTTCCATCAAATTCTCAACTAACTTTGCCGCCGTCATAAACCTGTGATATACAATAAAAACTAGTAATGCCATATTAAACCTATGTTTACTACTAACCTAAATGTTGTCGAACATTAGCTAAACTTCTTTTGGAATGGGAACTATTGACTCTGTTTCTCGGTGACTTCTGTAAAGGATAAAAAGTGTGGTTTTTGGGGTGAGTGTTTTTTCCTTTTATTCCCATAAATGAATAGTACTTTCTTCGTCATCGAATTGTATGCTCAAATATTTGGGCATAAGTTTTTAATTAGTAATTGATATGATTTGACTTTTATAGTGAAAAAATGCAAGAATGATAAAAAAAATTCTTTACTAAAATGATAAATGAGAATAATTATTCCAAAAAAGAAAGTGTGACATATATTTGGATGACAAAGAGAATAGAAGATATTGAATGCAAAATTTTAGTTATATTATATTTGTAGTATGCATGCACTACTAGATGCTATAGTAGCATGGCATCGGCATTCAATCAAATGAATAATTTCTATGGCATAACTATTGTAGCATGATATGTTTAATCGGAATAGAAAGGGAGTGATTGAGATTTGGATATTCTTGCAAATGGGAGATAGTTTTTTTTTTTTTTTGGAACATCGATTAAGTGCTTAGATGTTGTGTTGGCTTACCGTAAAAATTTAAATTTCAACATCAACTAGATATGCTAAAAAAAAGTACTTGTGTTTGCTGCAATTACATTACTCTCGTCTCTTTGTCGATCATTGATTAGTGTTTATATGAGATCTCACTCGTGTAGTAAAAAAGGATCACACAATTTATGTGGCTTTTCGATATTCATTTCTACAGGAAAGACACATCGCCTATCGTCGAGGATTGCAAGTGCTACACATGTAAGAATCATACAAAGGCTTACATAAACCATCTGTTCAACGTGCACGAAATGTTGGCGCAGATTCTATTAGAAATGTACGAATCATCGACTCCTTGTTCCATCACTTGCACATTATTTTTGTCCATCATTTTATAACTATTTGTCCATCTCAAATGTTCTCAGCCACAACACCCACCATTACCTCGGATTCTTCCGAACAATAAGGGAAGCAATCCAAAGAGGAAGGTTTGAGGAATTTCATCGAAATTTTGTGGAGGCGAGGCGCAACTACTATTGTGGCTCCATGTAATAAATAGTTTATGTGGATGTATTATAATCGGTATTTTATATCTTTTATATATACATAAAGTAAATATAATTTTTACTAAAATGATAAATGAGAATAAAGTGAGTAATGTTTTTTTCAGGATGGATGAAGTAGTTGTCATGGAGAGAGATGGAAAGGAATCTGCATGCTAACTGCTAAGAGGTTTTAATTCGATTTTGTTGTGGGGCACATATCATGTTATCTGGGGTTTAGAGTTTGATTATCTGATCATTTGAATAATTCTGCAAAGTAAATTTTTTTCTATAAAATAGTTCTTTAGCGTGTCAGCCATGGCCATGTCAATATCATATCAACAACAAAGAAAAAATCAGATACGATATTTAAAAAGTAGTTTACCCTTTAAAATAATCAAACATGATAACTTTTATATTTTAAAGATAAATTTTGAATTAGAAACACCACAAACCTTCAAAAATAAATATAAATCGTATAATCCAAAATAATTAATTTTAGCTACACACATACAATACTCAAAAAAAGGCAAATGAAAACAATTTTAACCAACAAACACATAAATTAGCTACAAAAGCGCTAGTAGGAGTGAGAGAGAGTGTAAATCTAATTTCACCTTCATGAGATGTCGTTATGTTGCTTTCATCTTCTTCCTCAACTTCACTTCTAGGAGTGAGCCCAAAACAAGAAAACAAGACATGGTTAGTGTAATCGATCCTGCTCACACATTGTAATATAACACGGACAAAAATATCAACAAGTCGCCGAGAAGAAGGCCAACAACATCGAACACAAATTTCGGTGCAAATAATCCCCACACCTGAAACAAAAATATCCGAGCAACATTATACAAGTTTGTTGTGATGAAAACGGTATCATTTGAAGTGACTTCTTAAAAAAATATCATACTCCCACCGTCCCATAAATTATATATGTTTGATTGGACACAAAAATATAAAAAATAACGATATTTTAGTGTTAAAATAGAAAGATAAAACATAAAATGGTTGTATTACAAAAAAATTATTAAAAACTAGTGGGGCAAGTAAAACAATAGTAACAAATTAATTATTACTAGTTACAACAAGAATAATATAATTACAAATGGATAAAATTATTTACTATAAATAGATTTTGCATAAATTTAGTAGAGGACAAAAATATTTACATAATTTTGTGGGAGGGATTATAAAATACTTCTTGTTTGCATCACAAAACTTCACATCAAATATTATCTTTGAATTATTACCAAAATTCCAAAAATTTCAAAACTTCTATCTCAGTGGAGCATAACGGAGAAGAAGTTTTTGTACAAAATTTGTTCATTAAGTGTAAGTAAAACATGAAATAGGAGTGGTACCATCAAGTGTCGTCGGTGTATTGCGACGCACAACATTGTTAGTGTTGTCGTTACGGCAGTAGTGAGTCCATACATCAAATACACCTGAAAGATAGCGAGGGGATGATGATAGTATATATATATATATAGATAGATAGTTAACGAACGCATTGGGAATCAATGAAGTGGTCAAAACTTACTTGATATAATCGCAGAGAAAACTCTCTTTTGCTCTGCCTGAAAGAATCGCAACTTGCAATGAGAAATGGAAGTCCGAGAATTGGGAGAATGTGGGAAAGTCCAAATGTGTCGATTGTGAGAAGAATTGCTCCACGGATAAGGTTGAATTCGTCGAATCTGGGATGGATAAGATTCGTTAGTTCTTACCATAAGAAGTGATCCAATGCTAGAAAATAATATAAGGATTTTAAAAATAGCATAAAAAATTATCTTCAAATCGAAAAGGGTAATGTTTGTTTGTGTTATCGAATATATTTTCTCACTGTTCATTCTACACTAGAAGAGATTTCCCTGTAAAGATATATTAGGTCCATCCTCATTCTCCATTTGAAACAATAGATTCAATAATTATTTTCAATTAAAATCCAACATATCTCAAAATATCAAAATGAATTATAAAAGAACATAAGAGAAAAATAAAGAAATAAATAGAAAAGGCGAGCCCTACCCGATGAATGCAGCTGCGTATCTGAGGCCGTCAAAAGCACACCTGAATAAGGTCATTGGCAGAAAAGCATAAGATCTAAAAGGAAAGGGGGGCAAGAGATATGGTTGTAAGCTAGTTACAGTCGACAATACGATTATACTGACTAAATTGTACAAAATAAGATATATATATAATACAGTCAAATCAAATCAAGAACATGAATATTTACTGGTGTGTTTCTTTTGTTTTTTCTTTCTCTTACACATTTTCCCCAAAAAATTAATATACTACCCACATTCATTATTTTTATATTAGTTACACAATTCTCTATACCTCATATAAAAAAAATATCATTTCAAATTATTTTACAAAACAAACACACCTTACATATCGCAACAATATGTTCTATTTGTTTGTGGGTTTCCAACAAAGTTTTACTATTGAATACACTATTTTTTATTTGACAAAAACATCAAATCAAATATCCATTTTTTATATTACACTAAAAATAATTTTATATTAAAATGTCACATCTAACTCCGATTCAAAATTTTACTATTCAAAACCCGAAACCCAACAACCACATATAGAACAGTAAATGGCATCTTACCAATGGCCCGTACTGAAAAACATGCACACGGCGAGAAGGCTCCACTGAATTACAGGAAGTGCAGAGGACAGCGAAGATGAGCAAGAGTCACTCTTAGCATCTTGTTCCAATGCCATTAACCTAATCAAGCACCAACCTAGTATTCAAAACATACAAAATAAAGACATTCTGGTCATTTGTAACTCTTAACTTGTAGTAAGTCACCAAGTGTTGTTATACGAGAGAAAACATAGGCGGAGGAAAACACAAAACAAAATGTAAGAATATACGAACAAAATGTAGGCATGCATTGATGAAACATAGATGTGCTGTGGGTGCCAAGAAAATGATTTACGGGGTATAGAGCACACACCTCCAATTATCGATGCTAAGACAACCAAGGGACCTTGTTTTCCAGACAGTATAATGATCGTTGAACTCAATGAAGACAACAAGGCTAATGATCGTGCGAATGTAATATCTTCCACACTCGAAGCATTCCTCCTGACAAACAGTTGATCTACAGCCAATAACAACAGTTGCAGAAGTCCCGCGGCATACGTCAATTGGGGAATTAGGTTCCCTTTTACGCCCACAAGGAAATTATGCAGATTCCATAGACTACTATCCGAGGCCCAATGCAGAGCTATGAGAGCATAATTAAATATAGTTCCTGCCAAAACATATTTCATAATGCCCTGAGAGGAACAAGATGTCGTGCTCTTGTACAATAGATGTCCCACAATAGTAAGAGCTAATATCGGCATGACTTCAGCTACATACGTCCAGAACTTAGTGTCATTCACAATGCCGAGTGTCCTTGAAGGATCGACTTTCAGGAATAATGAATTGACAGCCTGCTTCAATTGCCCAAGCTCAATACTGATTCTGAGAAAAGGAATCAAAAGACAAAGCGCGAGCGCCTGCACCAGTTAACAATTGAATCTACATGTTATCATTCATTACACCAAGATGTTATATATATATATAGTAAGTCTGAATATATAATAATATAATACGAACATGAAAATATAAAGGGGATATCTACTTCAATCAATGTCTTCTTCTTTATCATCGCATGATGTAGTTGAAGTATTGCAGTTGTCCCCAAAAGAAAGCTAGCCACTCGGCCTTCTTCCACTGCATTTCAATGTAAGTATAGAGATAGTTAAAAGGATAATTAAGAATTTATGAAACATTGAAATGTGTTGAATAAGTTTATTAGTAGAATCCGTTTTCGTGCTTACAGATATAACTGTTGGAAAGGAAGCTGCAGGCACGGATCAGAACTGCTACACAAGCAAAATATGCACCAAAGGACTTTGTAAAGCTTCCGAATCCCAAAAGCTTGTCCATCTTTTTGATAAGGAATACATGCACACAAAGTGAACCTAACATGATGCAAAAACCTATGCCCATCATCTTTAAATTAAACTCTGTCCAATTAGATCGTGCCAGCTCAGCAACACTCTCCAAAAATGAAGAATATGCATCAACTTGCCGTTTGATGAAAAAATCCCTCTGACTCTTGTCGAGTGAAAGTTTCTTTGAAGTAATTGACCATAGCTCTCGTGCTTCTGAATAGAGCTTGGCTACATGCAGCAAGTCTTTTTCCGAAAATCCAATTAATGACATGGATGAATAGACATCAATGTATTTCTTTACCTACATAAGTAAATCCTGAGTCATAGAAAACGGTTGTAGCACTTTAAATTCTTCATAGAATAAAATTCAAATATATGCTCAATGTTGTCTTCCAAAGCCATGCCAATGTGCTTGGTCAAGTTGAGTGATATACATATATACATATAGGAATAATGAATCTTCTTGCTGAAAGTTAAATACTACAGCTAATTCACTAACAAAAACACGTGCTACATTAATAAGCAACCATTGGATATACAGCACTAAAATTATGAGTGAATAAGTTCCAAAAGTTCTTCTCAAGTTGTACATAATAAATTGAGTAAAAAGTTCGACTTAAAAATGTTATCAAGCTTCAATTCAGACTTGAATAAGCAACCACAGGATATAACAACAAAAGTAATCCATGAACTTAGCTAAATTAATCCCCATCGACTAGACTCCAATGTGGAGTTAACTTCACATGATGTGAGACATGAAACAAGACTCAATCCCCAATCATTAAAGAGACCAACAAAAAGAATGCGTGAGCTGGATATCATGCACAGATTATACAAAGTGACATGATGAATCCTTGTTAACCTAACCACTATTTGGAGTTTGACTTCATGTGACGAGATATGGAGTAAGAGTAAAAAATTCCCCTTCCTACCATATCCATTGTATTTAGAATATTGTAGAGAGAACAGAAAAACAAGAAATAATACAAAAATATGTACCTGCCAAGAATTAATACAGAGAACATTGACAAAATTTTGCATCCAATCCTCAGCATCTGAAGGATGTTCATCATCGCCAATGGCTGAGTTTTCCATGTTCCATGCACCTCTAGCTAAGGAAAACAGTTCGGAGTTAACACGTCCAATACTGAAAATAGGTTGAACTTATCAGTATTCCTTCAAAAGGAAAAAAATCCAAACCTGTTAGAGGAACATAAATGCAGTAGGTCTACAACACTGTGTACTGACCTTTTCCCATAAAACAATCTTAGCTTATAGAGCAAAATGCTATACAGCTTGGAAATTGAATAAATACATATTGTAAGGTTAAGTTTATACACTTCTGTGTTAGTATATTTTTATTTTTCTCGAGAATCATCAACTTCAAATTTTCTCATAGTGCATGCTGTGTGTCATGTGTCATATCTGGTGGGGCCATCCCTGCACCACAGAACTTAAAATGGTTTAACCCTGTGGGCATCCTCCCCATGGACATATGCCAAATTAGAAAATTAGGCAGCACTGTATGATGATTATGGGTTAAGCAAACAGAAAATGATTTCATTTAAGAGAATACAATTTCTTCACATGGCTCATCTCGTATTATGATTTAAGGGGAAAAGGTGCAAAAATCTAATGGCAAGTTTCACTTTATTTTAGGGCAAAACAGCTCAGCTGGTTTTCAAGAGAATTATGATTCCATCAAAAGACTATACAAGCATGACAATAGAAATGAAGTTCTAGAAAATGGGGTGGAATCAAGATATAAGTACAACAAGAAAAAAATGTAGAGCCTCGTGCAGTACCTTCCAAAAGGGAATGGAAGACCAAGCAGGGCAGATACAGTAGCTGCAAAATCAAGCTACAAAGATGGGCTAAATTGAGAGAATTCCTTGATAAACTTATGTTTTAGAAATCATGAAGAATTCAATAATGAACCAAATTAACATACTTGTTGGATAGAGCCAATACAAATCCTCCTTCCATGCTGTAAAATAAAATAAAAAAATACAAATCAACTAAAATAATTCAATCTTACACATCATAAAACGTTTAAGATACGTATACAGCATAGCTATGTTCATGTTTAGACATTGAGACAAAGAGTTTGTAAAATCAAGTAATATCAAGTTATCAACTAATTGAAATAGACTGAAGTCTATGCATTTAGAACTGTGCTCATTCACTTACAAATAAGGAGGAAAATTGTGTGTCAGTAGCGAACATACTGTATCAACTATCAAGACTTATAAAATATCAGTGATATCCTCTTTTCTATTATCTGAGTGGAGCATGGAAACACTGAACCTAGTTATCTGTTCCTCGTCCCAAAAACAGTCGCAAGAATTCAGGAGGATGAGAGAAAGGTTTCACAGGAAATATGCAGTAGTATCCTTTTCCAAATGGCTTTTAACAAAGATCTCTTATGAGTGCAAGCACTTTCTGTTAATATTTTCACACTTCAAACTATTTCCTAACAAACTTTTGTTACTAACCCACTAAGAACTCAAGCAATGTTCCTATGCAAAATAGAAATACCATATCTTGGTGGCAGGATGAACTACCAGCTGCAGCTGGTTGTGAAGTCGGAGGGTTCTTTGAACTCCATGCGAAAATTGCTGTTTCCACCTGCATAATATGCTTGATGTAAAAGTTTTAATTAGCTAATAATGTCCCCAAAGAAATTGAATATAGACAGCACCTCTTCGGCAGTGCCTCCCCCGTGATCACCATTGAGGGTTTGTCCATGATCTCCCATGACAAGAAGCATAGTATTTTCATGCAAACCACCAGGTCCACTGTGGCTCTGGAGCACTTCAACAACTTTCTGAAGTATTAAAAGTGACATTTTGTTATTAGTAAGGCAAGAAAAATTCACGTACAAAACAAAAAGAACTGTAATAAATACTGTATCCAGTTCTCATTTTCATGGCATCTAAAAAATTTAAAATGACCAGAGAAATCATTAACATTCCTCCACAGATTTTAGTTATGTTTATATATCTTCACAAGATTAAACAACTTACTTTTATAATTTCATTGTATTGCTCCAGTTTTTCTATCATTGGATTGGAATCAACACCATATATATGCCCAGCATGATCCTGTAACAATGTCCACAATAGGTTATGCATAACTGCATACACATACAGATACATACGTACAGATGGAGAGGAAGTGCAGAGAAAACCAAGAAATGATACATACGTACAGATGGAGAGGAAGTGCAGAGAAAACCAAGAAGCTATGGAATAATATAGATTTAACAGAAAACACAGGTGATAAAATATGGCACATCCGGCAAACTACTCTCCCTCTTAAACAGAATAGAGATGATATGAGCTCAATTAAGTAATTTTGTTAACCAAGTTGCCAACTGTTGGTGTACCTCAGCTGTAAATTGCCTGGGACATCAAGGTTAGATGCCTCCTGTTTCTTCGTGAGTGGAGGTTATCATTTTATTCCACAGAGATTTACAAGCTTGATTCTACTTATGATTTATTCATCAGTAGATTTTACTACATTCCATTCTATAGTGGATCGACTTTTCCAGGGATACTAAATTGATTTTACTACTCTGTTCCCTATACCGATGAGCTTTCACTGTTTCACTTACTGATGATAGCAACTACCTAATCAGTGGTGGGTGTCACAAGACAGCCCAGGGCAAAGGGAAAAGTTTACCGTGAAGATGAAGCTAAATTATCTTTAATAGTTAAACAAATAATGATTCTCTCATTGTTTAAAGCAATGGTGTATTACATAGCTGTTTAATTTTATTACCATGAAGATGAAGCCAAATTATCTTTAATAGTTAAACAAATAATGATTCTCTCATTGTTGAAAGCAATGGTGTATTACATAGCTGTTGAATTTTATTAGTTTCTTATTCGAGTCGAAACTTCCAGAACATTAAACAATTGTTCAATATCTTAAAGATAGTTGGAGAGAAATTACCCAAATTAATACTACCTACAATAATTAACGGGGAAAAAATAAAAAATAAAATAAGTGTATATAAAGCTTACAACACCCAGAAAATGTGTGATTAGAACATCCCAGTTTCCTTCATGTAGGGTAGGGAATAAGTTTGTTATGCAACCATTGTCTACCTGACCAAGAAAATATTTGGATAATTAAAACTTCAAGAAGAGAAATAATAGGTAAAAAGAAAACGGCAAAGATTGTAAAAGTTGATAATTAAAGATTCAATACTAATGGCACAAAACTGATATATCTCATAAATGTAAAAAAAAAAAAAAAAAAGCATGTCAGCGAAAAATAAAATTGATACCGTGTCAAGGTCCTTGACATTGAATGATGGGAAGGGATATGATTCGGTAAAATGATGTGGAAATAATTGCACCCATGTGTCGTCCCCCATCATCACCACCCGCTTTCCATTTTGAACAAACTATAAGCAAAAGTTTTAGTTAAAATACATATGAAAACCCCCCACAAAGGGAACAAAGATAACAAAATTAAGACTGGATGAGTTACGCCCATGAAAGGACAAGAGAAAAAGTGACAACCTGATATATCAAGTTATCTTCAGTAATTGCTGGTGCGCCAAAACTATTTCCCACATCAATAAATGTAGGAAGTCCACCAGTAGTTAAACCCTGAATATACAAAGAGACAATCATGGGTGAAGATAAGTCTCAGGATAATAACAAGGTGTATATTCATTCATTATCGTAAGAAAGAGTAAGGTTCTCACATCTCAATCAACTAATGTAGTTCAGAAAACAATCTCAAGACATAAAAGCTTTGTTTGCGGGTTTCCAACCCGGACTTTACTATTCACTATTTTTTCACACAAAAAAAACATCAAATCAAACTCCTATATTTTAAGTTTTATATTACACTCAAAATTAATTTTACATTCAAAAGATAAAATAAACACCAATTTATAACACATCAAAACAATGATTCCAATTCAAAATTTTACTATTCAAACCCCAAACCCAACTCCAAAACCCACAAACAAACACACCATTTGTTTCATGAAGATACCGAGCAGACATGTATAATTCTAAAAAATGAAAAAAGTGCTACAAAGAAATGATGAAGCGGATAGGTTTTATATAAACTTACATAATACAATTATTCCATTACGATTCTTAAAACGGGGCATAGTTGAATCAATTGAAGAGTACAAGTATACAATCTACGGAATGCTTGCAAAAACATTGATTTACATAAATTATTATTACCTTTAGGCGCTGCAAACTGGTAGTAGGAGGATCCGCTATAGCCTTGAAAATCCGAGCTGAAGACGAGTTCACACTAGCAAGCTCATGCATCACTTGCAACTTATCCATCCATGGTTTCTTCTCTAAAATAACACATTTACGATTAAACAAATACAGTTTTAAAAGGCAAAATAGGTGCTCACAATACTGCAACAGATCATACATAATCCATGTGGTCATGTAGCAAACTCCACATTACAAGGCATCGTATATGAACTAAATAGAAAAGCTCTTACAAGAATATACCAACCTGCAAAAACCGTACTCGGCGCAACAAAATCAAATCTACAAAAAGATTATAACCATAACCACAAACCGTTAAGACACAATCATAATCACTAGCATTCAAAACTCAAAGAATTTAAGTAATTGCAAAAACAGCACACCTAAGAGCATCAAGAACAATAACAACTAGACGACCGACAGCCGGTTTTGTCCAACAACCTCCGCTGCCATTCCCATCACGTGGATGAGAAAAGCAAGGAGACTCTGCAGCATCTTCACATTGACTATACTGAGAAAGTTCTGAACGGGTGAGAAGGAAACCTTTAGTGAAAAATAAAATGGCGAGGCAGTGAATCAGCATTATTCCCAGGAACAAAGCAAATCCCCATTTCCTCTCATTCCTCCCGCGATCCAATTCCTTAGCCATCACCGTTCTCCTCAGTAACAAAAAAATCCAATCAATTCAGACTAACTGAGCATTCTGAACCCGTTTATAAACCTCGGAAACAAGCATAAAAGGCAATGTTCTACGAAATCTGCTACTCCCAAAGCATATTAGGGTTTCAATACGCAACAAAATAATGCAGATTGAACCAGTTAGTGGCTTCCGATCCACAAGACCGACGCATTAGCCCCGATCGGGTCGGAAAAGAGTACAAAAAGCCCAAGAATCCGCAGTCTTCCGAATTCGTCGTCGCAGGGATTACCTGTTTCCTACTAGTCTAGTGTTGGCAAAATTTTCAAATCCAAAGCCTTCGAAATGTATTATTTCGTGATTTTTGCTCATTTTAATTTAATTATTATTTACTACTAATATCTTATAATAAAAAATAATATTCTTTGTGTTTGTTTGATGCTTGCGGAGCACACTTTTTATTTGACAAGTGGATACAGTAAAAAATTAATTTCATATTTAAAATATTATATCAATCGTATTATATGTATATTTGAAAACAAAACTTTTATTATTTAAATTGTAATCAAATAACACACTTCTAATATAGGAAATATCTTGAATACAAGATTCATTGATATTATATATAGATATTGCATAAACTTAAATTGAGTTGGATCATAAAATCGAACTTAACGAGCCAAACATTTCAATTCTTCAAATCTTAGACAAATTGAATATGTAGTTACTAATAATACCATGTCGGAGTTAGTGCACTTATATCTTACTTGTAACTACTATTGTATGTATATTTCAAGTCCTGTAAATCTCAATTAACACCGTAGCAGCATCAGCAAAGCAAAGCATCTAACAAATATCGAGAGCTATGGTTGCCACCAAATAAAAAACAACGATAACAACACTGAGTTAGGCGGGAACAGATTCACGGGCATGTTATGTGTACGTGTACATACATATATATGTCTCGCTTTCCATCGACCGAGAAACACAAGCAAGTACAACAACAACAACACACGCACACTTGTTTCAACAATACAGGCGGCATGGCCCGGCACTTCTTTCACTCTTCGGCAGCGCTCGCGGCACTTAGATCGACATTAAGTTCCAGAACCTAAAAACGACGAAAAAACCGATAAAAAACTTGTAATATGTCACAGCTTCTTCAAATAAATCCCGATGTTTCCATCATATATCTAAATATATATATATATAATGTATTCTCACCTTTCCAGTGATCTGAGTGTACATACTCAGCACATCCTCCACGGTGGACTCGAAGTGAGTGGTGGCATCATAACTCTGTTAATGTTATAGTTAGAGGTCAGAGCGAATAGATTAGGATGCCGTAGAGGAATTGTTGTGCAGAAACTCACTGTTGATATAAAGCAATGGTCGAGGGAAGGCTCGTTGACGGGTTCATATCTGTCATATGTCTCAAAGAAAAGCTCATCCACAGGTCCGAGAAGATCAATCCCCGGCTTCAGCTCGGTCTCCGGGTGATCGGTTTCCGCTTCAGTTGAGACAAAAGCGATGAATTTCCCTTTTGGCGCAACGTTGTGAGAATACGAGCAACAAAACAAATACCTGCGAGTCAACAGATAAAACGGCGTTTGAGATCAATTGGATTCCTTTACACTCAATTTTGAGTAAAGGATCCCGAATTCCTCCCGATCAACTTCTCAGTTTTCTAATTAGAAGTATCTAGAAACATTAAAGAGCTTTTTACTTGAAATGTAGCAACAATCATTTAGCCAACAAAATAAATACAGGAAATAAAATGATGTTGCTAATGTGCAATTTCACGATGAACATGTCACGCTATCATAACCTTCATATAATAATAGAAGGATGACACTAGTAGCATTTATGACTCTTTGTCGCTATCCAAAAGACGACTGCATGCTACATAATCTATTTGGGGTCAAGCAAGTTACTTACATATCCGATTTGCGACCCAGCTGTTTCTGAGGTAGTATAACTTGTGCTGAATGAGAATCGTTGGTATTTGGAATCGGATGGCTCATTATAGCAATGGCTCTGGCAACCTTGCCTACTTTCCTAACCTGTAACTTACGTAGCTTATGTTATGGTTCATTACAATACGAAATTGATATCGTGTTAAAACAGAAAGCTCAGTTGTCATGTCCTATTACGCGTGTCTAATGAAACTCTAAATACGTTAGCCAGGTAGGAGTTCAATTCAGACAACAAAGGTATGCCAAAGTACAATACTTCAAAGGTGCTTTCAAGCGGTGGACAAGTTGATACGACTAAGTTACCTTGTTGGGAAGGTAGGAAGGGTCGCATACAACTTTTTTGCACTTAGCCGTTTCCCCTTCCGATGTAACACCACATACCTTGCCTTCCTCATTAAACTCAACCTGAGAGTTGAACATTTCGTGTCAGGTATAACATGTTTTGTTTATGGCAACCGACAACAAAAGCAAGATTGATCGCAATAATAAATGTGTGTTAAGAGCTATTCAAAACCTAGTTGTAAAGAGAGGGCAAGAAAAATTTCCCATCAATTATGAATCTAATTCTTAGAAACCGAAGAAAATGAGCAGATAATCACATTGAAAAGAAGGAAGAAAATGTCGACTTAAAGAGAGCAGTATATGTTTTGTTATTGTTAATTCATAAAACATAAAAACAAGATGCCTTTTACAAGGCACTTTACAGAAAAAATAAAAATAAAAAAGAAAAAGGTTTAATACCTTGCACTCAGGTTTGTTCAACATATAAGTTCCACCATAAACAGCACTGAGGCGAGCAAATGCCTGGAGACAATTCAGACCACAATTACAATGAAAAGTAGATAGCATGTATCTGTCTTTAACAAATACACGCACATGCAGATATATATAGCTATACAAATACAGGAGGAAGATGAGCAAAGATAAATACACTGGTGGAAGATATTTATGAGGAAACGAGCACACATATAATAAAGCATGTGACTGAAAGAAGATGGTGTACCTGTGGAAGCTCACCGAGGCCATACAAAGGGTAGATGTATGGTGATCCTCCAGCAAAACGTGCTAAAGACTCGGCATAAAGCTATGGCATAAAGAAAGATAATTGTTATTTTTTGGAAAATTGAAATTCTCTACTTAATTACACAAGGTATAATATATTTTTAGAGAAATACAAATATCCCAATCTCAATATACCATAACAAACCAAATATGGACAAAATATAATATCTAAATATATCATATCAATAATCAATCTCTGAATCAAATAAATTTTTAAATTTGTACAAAGGCATAGAGCAAATTCTAGATGTGCTTTTGGGAGGTGAAAGGTTACCTTCATCCTCCGTACAGTGTCCAAAGCTGGCTCATCCAAGTAACGATCATCACGGTGGAGTGCCAAAGCATGACCAATAAAGTCCACAGTATTGTCATCTAGACCATACTTTCTGTGGGACATCAGGGAATGATATGCTCAAATTACTTGTGACTGATAAAGTGTTTCATTAAATATATAGGTAAATTATGAGAATACATTATAAGCAGTAAAGTTCTTATAATTATAGTACACATTTATACTTCAGCAGAAAGAAGACAGCCATTACCGCTTTAAAACTCCATTGCTACAATTATTATTTTATGTCTAGAGTCTAGTCACACGCCACATAATGCATGAGAAAAGAGAACATGAATTTGCATGTACCGATACGTGCTTGAATGGATCGAAACCATGAAATTTCTAAAATAGATGCCCTTTAGGAAATAAAAGAAAGTAAAAGGTTTGTCGGGCATACGCAATAAGCTCTCTGGTAGTAACTCTGGTCAAATCCATTCCTTCATGTGTTTTAGGGTCACTTTCATTGTAATCTTGGACATAAATGAAAAACTTTCGGGCACGGCGCTTTTCAAATATGCCCATTAGTGGAGATTTGAGAGCTTCCATGTCAGTTGCAGGAACCTTGTGAATCTGTTGCATTCATTTACCACAAAGTTAGGAGAGAATCTTCAATCGTCTATGAACCCAATACAAGAAAAATGATAAGATGCAATAATAATACCTTTCCTTTGTTGTAAACAAAGCTGCCATCAACAGCTTTGAAATACAAATATTTAGTAACGTCAGTATGAATGAGGACTCGCACAAGAACACCATTTGCCATGATATACTGCACCATGTCAAGATAGCACAATCACAAAGAAGTATCGATTGAAGAAATGTCTAAATGACATCCAGCAGTGTATAAACAATGCGAACCTTAGGGATCATGTCAACGTTATAGTCTCTACTGGAGCCCAGGTGAGCTGGTGGCTTATCGCTTCCTCTAAATCTTTTCCAAAGCTGTATGATCAAGAAGATCTCCAATTACAACATAATTCACGAGGAACATATCGACCTTTAACACAAGCATTAGTGTCGTAAGTGGCAATACATTTCTCAGTCAGATTAAGAAAGGAATACCTGAATGAGATTGAGCGAAGTAGACTCTCCACCATAATAGTCGTTGCGATCCATGTGTAGAACCTATTACCAAAGTAATGACAAGGTCAAGTTCCAATCAAAGTCAAAAGTTATGAAATCAAAGACCATAAGAAAAAAAATTAAGAAGGGGGGTTCATAGAACATGAGATTATAATTGAGCAAAAAATTAGGCACAGCAGCCTATTCAAGTGCGTACGGACAAGATAACAATCCAAAAAGTTGCATGATATGAACGGGATGCAACTCATCGAGCATGACATGCAAATGCCAATGGCACAAAGTGATCCGAACTCCACTTCAAATGATATGCTCATAGTGTAACTAAAACTCTTGCACAAACATCAAATCAACGGATGAAGAGTTCAACTTCTGAAGCTTAACTGAACTACTGATTCGCAAGCAAAACGCGAAGAATCACCCGATCAAATCCACAAAATCTGAACTAACTCTCTGAATTCCGAGGAACATTCAACCAATAGTAAATGTAAAACTGAACAAAAATTCAAACTAGCGGTAAAATCCCACCGCCAACAACTCAAACTCAAAATCAACAAACCGAATGCAACGCAAATCGTTACTCGCAGGGATTCTCAACATCCAAACTAAATCCAGTAGAGACCAAAAATAAAAACAAAATTAAAAAAATAGTAAACCTTCAGGCCATCGACGGACAGAAGCCCGCTGAGGATGCATTCCTTGAGACCCGTCCCCAGCACAATCACATCGTACTCTTCATCCATCTCTGCTGAAATTCAAACAATTCAACCAATTTCGCACTCAATCCACGCAGATCGATCGATTGGATCTCTGGCGCTGAAATGAAGACCAGGGTTTCCACCAGGACTCCTTCAGACTACTATATATATATTTGGTATAAAGCAGTCAAGAAAGCTTGGGGAAAGAAATGGCATCTTTACACTGTGCAATTCCGCAAAACTTTTGGATCAATATGCAAATAATATTTATATATTGGGCTCAAATGGTGCACAAATATTACAAGCGCTTCAGTTAATGGGCTTAGCTTTATTGGACTTCTGACACTATGGTGTTACAATAATACCCTCAGGCGGTGCGTTGATGGATTAGGGGTATTTAAGTATTTTCACATTTTGCACAGGTCGACTTCGAGTTACTATAATACCCTCGCCTGTGGCGTGCAGGAGCATGGATGATTACGTCTTTTCATATTAAAGATATATTTGACCTCGAAAATTCCCAATTCAAAAAATCTTTACTAACAATTATTTAAAAATAAATATATAAATAAAAGATTGATGCGCTGTCTCCATCGACTGTGTGTTACTTAGTGTGAGAGGAAAAGATGCCTGAAAATATCTTTTTCTGGTCCATTTTTATTTATTGCAATTATCAATAATTATTAAATCAAGACAAAGTTGAACAAATTCAAAAAATAAAAAATATTGATAATTTGCAAGAAATAATCAGGAGAAATTATATTAAATTAAATATAAGATAGTAGTTGCTACAATTTTAAAGAAAATTAATCAATTTTATTTTACTTAATTATAATAAGTTTAATGTAATTCAATAAAATATATTATCAATTCATCAATACTATTTGTAACATTTGAATAAATTTCAAAATTTCATGCGTATTTTCTGTATATTTTTTGTTATGACAATATTGATTAAGTATAATATTATATTTTTTTTTAAGATTTTTTTTAATTGATATATTTTTTATGTTATATACAAAAAATTATATTAATAAAATAAATATATATTTTTATTGAATAGTTTATTTTTAAGTAAATATAATATATTTTTGTCGTGGACGAAAGTATTATTTTAATTTTTTTAGTAACTTAATAAATAATAAAATATTTTATTAATTAGTTGAAGTATGGAAGATAGTTTTATAGTTTTGTCATTTGTATGTATGTTTAATAATATTGTTTGTAATTTATGTAAATATTAAGGATTACAAAATAAGCAAAAGTCAAAAGAATAAGCATAAGTAAAAGTAAAAAACAAACGTATAATTTTATATTTGGATGAATAATTATAAAAACAGTTTTTTATACAAAACTGTTTGGATATAATAAAGTTAAAAGTGCTTTTAAACAGTTAAAATTATTATATAAAAAATAGTAATTTAAATAGTATATTTTTTATTAAATTATTTAGAAATTTATAAATTATATTTAAAATTTTTAATTATCTAAACTAATTAAAAATATATTTATTAGATTTTTTGTATAAACTATACTTATATTTTTTTATAAAAATGAAAATTAAAAATATAATTAAATTTAAATAATACTATTCTACAAATTATTCTAACTTTATAAATTATATTTAAAAATATTAAATTATCTACTATATAATTATAATTTATAAAATTTGATATTTTCAATCATAAATTTTAAATTTACTTAAAATAAAATATATAAATTAATAATTAAAATAAAATTATATTTAAATTTTATATAAATAATTATTTTTATTTTATTATTTAATTTATTATTATTATTATTATTATTATTATTATTATTATTATTATTAGTAGATAGTAAAACTGCTGCTGTTGTTTTTTTAGGAAACACCCTCTCTGGTGCTTTTCAAAAATTTTTTGGAGTCTAAAAGTTACTTCGACTTTTGAGGAGAATCCAATACAAATATGAATAAATATTTTTTTAAAAAAATAAAAGTCAAAAGCACTTTACAGAAGCCAATCCAAACTGGGTCAAGTATTTTGAAAGTATTGTGTATTTATTTTACTATTATAAAAAAATGATAATTTTGAGTGAGATAAATAAAAATAGTATTTTAAATTGGAATGATAAAAATAGTAATTATAATTATTGTTATTATTATTATTATTAGAATCATATAATTATATCTTGATCTTATTTAAAAGCATATATAGTAATAATGTATTTAGAGGGTATTTGACAAACAACTTTTTTTCAAAAGTTTTTAGCTTATTAAAGAGTTTTTAGCTATTTGACCAGTAAATCAGTTAATTTTGGCGTGCGTTTGGCAATTAGCTAATAAATTTTAGTTATTAGCTGATTCAATTAGCTAGTTTGACTAGCTGATTCAATTAGCGGTTTGTATTAAAGTATACGGTAAAATAACTGTTTGACATTAGTTGTTTATACATAAAATGATTATTAAGGACATTGATAAGTTATTTTTAAAAATATTTAATTTTGTTCATTTTGGTTTGAAATTTATGAGAATTTTTTATATTAATTATTGAAAATTATAAAAATATTTATTTTTATTTTTATTATTTAAATTTAAGAAAATTATTTTTACCAAAAAATAATAATTTTTTTTTTAAATTATGTAAAATATAAAATAATAAATATTTCGTATATATATTTTTATTATGTTAATTATTGTTTTAATATATATATATAAATAAATTAATATCATTTGTTTTTTATTTAGTTTAGTTTTAAAAATTTATATATTTTACAAATAAAATAATTTATATGTAATAATTAATAATAGTAATTATTTTAAATTTATAAAAATAAAAATATAATTTAATAAATTAAATATATTAAAATAATTAATAAATAATGCTATAAAAATATATTTATATGTATAAAATAAATAATTAAGTTTTAAGGGTAAATAAAGAATAATCAAAATTAAAATGAAAAATCTCTTTCAAAACGCTGGGTAAACGAGCTTTTAAGAAATAGCTTTTTGGGTCCAAAAAAACTCTTTCAAAAAGCTAATTTATCAAACATCTAAATTAGTATTTTGACTGGTCAAACAGCTAAAAGCTCTTCAAAACGCTGTTTTCCAAACACCTTTTTGGTGTTTGGTAAATTTGGGTCCAAAAAGCTAATTTTGAAAAATGTGATATGGCAACGCTTCAGATTAGCTTTTCACTTTAATTTTTCTTTTTCCTTATTTGACCTTATAATTAATTAATTCTTTCACATATATCATATATTTTTTTATTACACTATTTATTAATTATTTAAATATTTTTTTTCTGATAACTTATAAATTCATATTTATAAATTTAAAATAATTATTTTTTTATATATCAATTATTTTATTTATAATTTTTATTTTTATTTTTTAAAATAAAGATAATATAAAAATATTAATATTATTGAATTAATTATATAGCATTTTTTATCACATAATATTTTTATTAAAAATGAATATATTTATTTAAAATTATAAATTTAATGTAAATATATATTAATTAAAAATTAATCTAATAAAAATACATATGTTAATAATTTTTGCTCTTTTATATTTTTACTATTTCTAATGAAAAAAAAATCAATAAACTTGTATTAATTTCCTTACAAAATATTTTTAAAATGATAAAAATAAATATCTTACTAATTTTTTTCTAATTTTTAAAATTAATAATAAAATTATAAACTCAACTAAATATTTTGAAAATAAAATATAAAATGTCCTTAATTGTCATTATACGTATAAACAAGTAATATTAAACCGCTATTTTACCAAACACTTTAATACAAACAGTAATCGAATTAGCTAACGACTATCACTATCTGCTAATTATCAAACACACCCTTAATAATGAAATATATAATAAGGCAGGTACCTATGAATAGCATTGATATGAGATATTAATATATTATAAATTTAAAATTGTAGGACATGTTTATTTATATATCATTATGTAGTATTATTCTATTTATTTATCAACTTATTCATGGTTACATAGGTGTTAAAACTTAGGATTTATATTGTACATTGTGCATTAATACTTAAAAGAAAAAAAAAAAAAAAAAACTTCCCTCGTCGTTACAACTCAAAATACCATATTTATTATTTTTTCTTATTCAAAATTATTAATTTTTTATTTTAGTAAAATTAATCATACACTAATATCAAAATACTTTAAATTTTTATTTAAACTATAAATATACAATTATTTTATACATAAAATAAAATAACGACATTGTAAAAAACACTTACAAAAATTAAATTAATTGTATCATATAGAATACCATGTTGTTTGTTCATCACATGCATTTATTATTGTAACAAATAATACATAATGTATAAAATATTACTCCCTTCGTCATATATATGTATATTCATTTATTTTTTAAACGGAGTTTTAGGAATATTAATATTATATTAAGATGTGGTATGAATAAAGTAGTAAAAATTAAAATAATTTTATTAGTATTGTGCGATATTAAAATAATGACATATGTGTAATATATTGTAAGTTGAAAGGGTATTTTTAATGTTAAATAAAAAGTACAATTACTAAAAAAATAAATAAATACTTTTTATGGGACAAACCAAAATAAAAAAAAAAATAGATAAATTGTTAAGGTACGAACAGAGGTAATGTAAATTTATATCTTATGCGTTATATGACATATATTAGTGTGTTGTACGGTGGTGATTATAGCTGTTTAGAAGTGTTATGGTAATTTATGGCTTACATTAAATAAAATACTATAACATAGTAATTATATCAAATCTTTTGTAGTAAAAATGAACATATTTATATTGAATTTTATGATATTAATATTTTTATATTGAATTATTGATTTTTTTTATGAATGTATAAAATGTAGTATATTAATGTATAAATATATATATATTATATTATATCATATAATATGTTATTCGTTTCACATAATTTGTCCATATTTTTTGTTTTCATCTGTCATATATAATTTGTATTTTTTTAAATATGATTATACACTTTAATTATATTTTAAATTTTATAATTTTTAAATTTTAATCAAATTATTAAGTTATCTTAATTTATAATTATATTTATTATATAATAATTATTTTTACTAATATATTTTTTAATTATTTATTAATTATATTTTACCTAAATTATCGTATCTCCATAAATTGACCGACCAAAATTACATGGGACGAATAATAGGATTTACAGGGGTCATTGAAATTAAAAACAATAAGTAAACAAACCCAAAACCCCTTTTTTTTTTTAAACATGCACTTTAATTTACAATAAAATTCATTTTCTTACATATAGGTATTTAATTATATCTTTTAATATTATACTTTTTCAGTCTGATTCTAAGAATTTAATTTATTTTTAAATATTAATTATTATATCAAAATATAGTACAAATTAAAAAGAAATTGTAAAAATATTTTTATTAGTGTTTTATAATACTAATAAAAGGATATTTGTATAATTTTTTTAAAAAAATATAAAAATATTTTAATTGCAAGTAAAATGACGTAAAATATAAATAAAATCCTTAGAATTTGACGGAGAGAATACTTATTAATTTATAGATATGCTCCAACTATAAATATTCAATTTATACAAAAAATAAAAATAAAATTCACTTTTACTTCGTTAATTTGTTGTATATTTAAAAAAATATTTTAATTTTTTTAAATCACAATCAATTAATTAATATAATAGTATTACATTTGTCTTAAAAGAATAGACTTATTAACCTTGGTTACATGGTTTAAAAAAATATTGATATTATATCAATAAAGTAGTTAGATTAAAATATAGATAAAAGTTTTTTTTTTTTTTTTTTTTTATTGGTGTGTTTATTTTGTGCTATTGTTGATTATAAATTTTTTTCACCCTAATAAAAAGTTATGTAGAGAATTATAAAAATAATGAATGTGTATAGTGTATTAATTTTTGGGAAAATAGGTACCAAAAAAATTAATAAAAAGACAAAGTCTTTGTCTACGTGAGTATGTTTTCGTTGAATGAAAAAATAACGACATTTGTATAATAATAATAATAATAATAATAATAATAATAATAATAATAATGACAATTTTATGATGACAATTTTGGTACAAACAAAAATGATACAATCATTAAATGGGAACGAATGAAGTACTATATTAATAAAAAGACAAAGTCTTTGTCTACGTGAGTATGTTTTCGTTGAATGAAAAAATAACGACATTTGTATAATAATAATAATGACAATTTTATGATGACAATTTTGGTACAAACAATAAAATTTTGGGTACAAACAAAAATGATACAATCATTAAATGAGAACGAATGAAGTACTATATTATTAAAATTGATGTTCAACTTAAACTAAAGTTTGTTTGGTTATAAATTGAAATTGATTGGAAATGAAGTGTTATTCTAAATTTTTGTTTAAATAATACCCCCTCTGCTCTATATCTATATATCCATATTTTTTTCACTGAAATTTTAGAAATATTAGTACTATATTAGGATAAAGTAGAAATAAAGGTAAAAAAAATAGATTAACCATATTAGTAGTGTATGATATAAAGATAAAGACATTTGTGTAATATATTTTAAATTGAAAGAGTATTTGTAATGTTAGGTAGATGTACAATTAGTAAAGAAGGAAATGAATACTTTGTTATAGGACGGACCAAAATGAAAAAATGGATAGATTGTTAAGGGACGGAGGAGTATTGATTTTAAAATTTTTAAAATTTAAAAAATATCATAATACTCTATCCGTCCGGTAAGAATGATATCATTTTATAATTTTGTTCGTCCCAAAATAAATGTATCATTTCTTAATTAAGTAATTATAATACCTATCTAACATAATAAATACTTTTACAATTTTCAATATATTACATAAATGTCTTTACTTTTATATTGTACCGTACTAATAGAGATATTTTTATCATTTTTATTACAAATCAATATAATATTAATATTAAAAAATTTACTTGTAAAAAATAAATAAAGCTCTTGTTTCGAAATGGAGAGGTAGTAGGATATATTCCACTGTCCCATTTTAATGAACATATTTTTCAGTTTTTTCTATTTTATACACTTTAAAATTTTGAGTAAAATTTATTAAATATTTTTTAAATAAATATAAATTAATTTAATTAACTACGTAGTCTAATACATCTTATAAGATTCATTCAAAATTATTTATTTTATTTTTTAAAAAAATAAATATTTTTATATATATTTAAAATTCTAAATTTTTTTATAAAATAAATTTACGTTAATTATAAATAAATAAATAAATATATTCTCTTTTTTGCTATATTCATACTATAAATATAAAATTTATCACTAACGAAAAATGTGAATTATTTCCTGAGAGAGGAGTAATTGATAAACGACGAAGAATTTAATAATTTATTTTTATTTTAATATATTATAAAAACAATAAAAAAAATGAATTCATCCTTTATATATTACTATAAATAATATGATGATGAAAAGTGTCATACATAAAAATAGGAAAAATATTTGAAGAAAATAAGAAAATAGAAGAGAATAGAATAGAATAGAAAGAAAGAGAGGGAGAGGAGAGGACCATTGACAGGGGGGGTGGGGTGCAACTACCACCATGGCTTCCTTCTCCATCTCTCTCCACTCATAATTATTTAGGTACCCTCTCCCTTCTCTCTCTCTCTCTATATTTATTATATCTATATATCATATCTCTCTGTGCGTCTGCGGGTTTGAGTATATGTATTTTTTTTTTTTTTTGGTTGTTCCATAGCAGAAAAGTTCAGGAATTTTGTGAGATTATAAACTTCTGTGCCTTCTCAACTTGTTCCATTTCGTTGTGTTGGGTAATTCCTTTTCTTTCTTGGTTTTTGGATTATTATCGTTGGTTTTAAAAATCTTTGTGGTTGTGTTTTTAATTGTTTTGTTAATCGTTTTGGTCGATTTTTGGTGTGTGAAGGTGATGTTGCTTTTGGATTGTTGCTGATGGGTGTGAAATTTGGTCGGTTAATTTTAGGGATTTTGTTGGCGAATTGGATTCCGCGAAATTGGGCAAAGGGTTTTGTGTGCTTCGGAAACACGGCGGAGGATTTGGTTCGGTGAAATACTGCTGCGGCGGAATCTGACGGATTTCTTCTTCCATTCAATGAATCACGGCTGTGCAAATTAGGTCGGTTTTTAGATTGTTGTGAATCGATTGGAAATCTGAATTGCTGTAGTTGTGGGGAGCTTGTACGGACAAAGAATTTTGGATTGTTCTTATATACATATATTTTGTATTTCTAGTGGCGAAATTCTTCAGGTCTGTGGTTTTCTATCAAAAATGGATGCAGATTGGGAGTTTTGAGTTATTTGGTGAGAGATTCTGTTAGCATCTTTGGTTGTTTTTAGGTATATTGGAATTGAGATGGAGATGGAAGAAGTTAATGAATTGGGGATGGAAGGTGGGGGTGGGAGTGAATTAGGAAGCCGAGGATCCGGTATCGGGGATCGGGTCAATGCCGATGAGCTGCGGTGTTCTGATGTCGAGATGACGGACACGGAAGCGGCTGAGATGGGAGTATCTAGAGTGAACAATAGTGAGCAGAAAGTTGGGACTGAGATTGCACTTTTTAGCTCGGAGAAGGACGATGGAGGGAGCCATGGGAATGTGGTTTTCTCGAGAGAATCTCCACTTTTAGGGAAGGAAGATCTGAGCATAAGTGGTTGTAGCTGTGGTGCGGAGAAGCTCAAGGCTAGATTGGCTGCTTCGAACTCAGAAACCGGAAAAAATGGGAGGAAGTTGAGTCGGCAGGAGAGGATTGAGTTAGGTCGTTCGTTTCAGGGTGCTGTGAGTTCGCACGATTGGGAGCTTGCCGAGAGTTTGATCTTGTTGGCTGATCCTCAGACTTTGAATGATGCGCTGTGCATCTCGTTGGATTCGATTTGGTTCTTGAGGACGCAACAAGAATTATATGGGATTACTGGATTGATCAAGAAGATTGTATCGAATGGGGCGTATGACTTCACTCGCGCCGCGCTCAGGACGTCATTTCTTGCGTCGTGTGTTTCAGCTTGTCAGAGTCGGACAATGAGCCTTGCTGACACAGTTAATGTAATGGCACAAAGGTACAAAACTTGTTGTTCCACACATAATCAGATTCATTCAATATGCAGTATTAACTTGTTTAGTTTCATATGGTTCTTTTCTCTAAGTGTCGACTGTCGAGTCCATCTGTGTTTAATTTTCTGAAAACCTAGGGAAAAATGTTTTAAATTAAGGCCGTCTTTAAAACTGGAATAATGAAAAATTGACATGAAGTTCATTAATGACTTAGCTTTACGTTTTGTCGTTGAGATGACGGTGAGAAAATCACCAACTGTTCAACTATTTTCTAATTAATGCTGTTTCTATTCACTATATAAATGTGTCTTTGTTGGTTGCAGCCGGTAAAGAAACTAAGGTTGAAAATAGAAATCAGTGTAGAGTAGGAGCACGTGTCATTGCTTCTGAAGTGATGACGTTCCTGTGTTTAAGCTAGATTGTGGTTAGCCAAGTCCTTGTCGATCAAGTGGTGAGGAATCCCGGCTATGATCCCGGATGGATGCGCTTGTGTGTGCGAAGTAAAAAAAAAACAAAAAACCTAGATATTGGTTACAGTTTACCCTACCTAGAGATCAGCTTATGTACAGTCAATGTAAACCATGAAGCAAGACGTAGCATGCTAATGGTGTATTAAATCTTGATCATATACATCATTGGGATCTGAAATTTAACTTGAACGAAAATTCTCTTGTGGTTTGTGCTGTTCGGTGATCTCTCTCTCTCTCTCTGAAGAAGCTTTACCTTGTTAAGTTGAAATTGATCGTAGTTTTCCTATTATGCTATTAGAGGTATCTCGGTTATCCAAGTCCAATGTTCTCTAACTTAACTCACTATTTAGAGCAGCTGCGGACAGATGGCATTCGGAGCAAAATAATATCTTTGGTAATTAATAAGGTCATTAAATCTCAGATAGTACCCAATTCACCCTATTGACTTTTTATTACTCTTGATTATATGCAACAAGGAAAAATTAAGACGCATTCTTATCTCTTCTTTAGAATACTTGCATTGTTTTGCATCATTCTGTGTTTGCAAGGATCTTCAATGTAATTTTTTATGATTAATAGAGTTTCGGGCAGCTCAAAGGCAAAGAGACAATATAATAAGAATATAAGATTTGGGTTTTTCGCAAAGCTTGTTGCACATCCTTAATTCATTTTGGTACTATTTGTTACACTTTTAGCCCGCGCACCTAGGAATGTCATGCTTGCATCCTAGCAGGTTGCACGAGAGGCTACAGGAATGCAATGGAGATGAAGTCTTGAAGGCAGAGGCTGGCGCAAAGGTTCAGAAATTTACCGATTGGGCTCTCAAATGTATAAGTTTTCATTCTCGAAGCCATGGGAATAAGGACAGAGTGGGTCACAATTCTCCTGTCGAGATCCAACTGCAGCTATCTGCTTTCAAGACCTTTCTAGATCTTGCGGGCAATCATCTGACAGGGAAAGACTTTACCGAAGCATTTGATGCTGCTTGCTTTCCGCTCACGCTTTTCTCTAGTTCATTTGATCCTAGTTGGGCGTCAGGCATATCAGCCACTGGAATCCAAGGATTGCTGGGCATTCTGGTTGAGGGAGGTGCAGATAATATCAATCAATGTTTTCTAGAGGCGTCACGGTTTGGGAGTACAGAACTAGTTCGCATCTTGTTGCAGGTAATTCCAGTGTTGTGTGGCTAAATAAACATTGTGCCTCATCGAGACACAATTCTATGCGTGTTCATCGAATGCTTTCCACTAGATTGTGCTTTTGAGCCTCGTTTTCTTTTTCCAGCTTGTTTTAGCTAGACGAACTTTGTTTCCACTCTAATTCCTTATTTTCTAACTTCGTAAGCTTTAGACGCTTTGCATCTCCAAACTACTTTTGCCAACCAATTATTTCCTAATCATTGAATGTGGCAATAGGCCAATAGCGTTCCTTACATAAGATGTTTATACGATTTTGGACGTGGCTTTTTTAAACTACATATTTAGCATAGAATATAATTGCAATTTTCTTGACCTCTTACATGTTCTTAGGCTTTCAAAAGGCTGCACTCACAGATAGTGTAGAAAAGAAAAAGTGCTTCACTGTCGGGACATTTTAAACTATACTAACTCTGCATCATTTGTGGTATTTCATAGTATCTTCGCGAGATGGCCGAAGTGAGCAATCGGTGATGTTGGTTTTAGTCGATTTATAACCATTTAAATACTAAAGATAAGCTGATAGATTTTCGGTGATTGAGTTCAGCATGTTATGTAGTCAATGAGGATTAGGTTTAGAAAGTAGAAACATGTAACTGTTTAGCAGCTCTTGGCTGCGTCGTCACTCCCCGCAATGTCAGTTCATTTAAATTACTCATACAAAAAATTTGACAATTCCATATGCTCGGTGTCTGAGTACACGTATTATTCCCTTAAAGATGTTTATACTACATACTTTAACAATAAAAACGTCTTATTGTTTTATGCTGCCTTAGATTGCTCAAAGGAACAGCTTGGACGTGGACGTCGACTTGGCCTTAGGCTTTGCTGCGCATTATGGTAAAATCGGCACAATGCAATGTCTAGTGGACGAGGGTAATGCCGTGGCTTTCTTGGGACCCCTAATGAGAGCCGCCGAGCGAGGTTGCTTGCCAGTCGTACAGTGGTTTGTCCAAAGGGGATGCCGAGATATGGAACTGTGTCTTGCCCTTACAGCCGCCACGTCGAGCAGTCAAGTAGAAGTCGCAGCGTATCTCCTCCCCCGCGTTCCCCAACACGTTCTTGCCGCCCTCAGCATCGAAATTCTGAAGGCTGCTGGCGAGCGAAGCGGAGGATCCCTTGACGGCGTAGCCTTCCTCCTCCGTTCCGACTTTCTAGGGGACCCTACGGCAACTTATTCCGTCGCTGACAGCATTGCCAGATCCGATGACGACACAGTCGCTCCCGAACTCCGGGCTTTTCTTCAAGAGCATTGGTCCGAGGCAGCGTTCATGGACGGGCTGACCCAAGGGGCGACGCATTTTTCGAACCTGGTGCAGATTTTGAAATGGGGGAGCTCCCCGATTTGCTTAAGGGATCTCCCGGCCCCCCTTAGGGTCGCCGTCGCCTATCTGCCACTGTACAGAGAGTGCGTCAAGGCCGGGGGGTGCTTGCTTTCGCAACGGCATCGAGGGCAGCTCGTCGATGCTGTGAAACGGCTCGGAGGAGGAATTCTGACAGGGCCGGATCGGAAGGATGACCTGCTCGCTGTTTTGGAACACCATCTTCCGTCGTTTCTTCGTCACGCTGCAGCTGCGGTTTAGTGAAGGTAGAAACTCTTATGGTTATGATATTTACATCTTTCTATTCTTGTCGTTTCGCTCTTGTGTTGTGCTAAAATGACGGAATTTTAGATCTTGCCGAGTTAGCTCTTGCCGTCTGCTGATTATTACCGAAGAAGGAAGCTGGCTGTGTACTTGGAAACCATATATGTCGTATCTATGAAAAGACCGTATCGAAATGATTGACGATTGCAGTCGAACAGGGAACTTTGCCCGAACCTGTATGAGCTGTTTTCGAATGTTAATGAGGCTGTAAGGTTGAGAAATGTCGCCGTGGTTTGTTGGTTTTGAATTGAAACCGGAGTGGAAATGGATCTCCATCCTAACCTCCGCTGGCGTCGATTCAATGCTTCTCTTAGATGAAAAATGATTCTTCTTTGCGATGGAAGATTATATTCTCTAAACTTTCGTTGTTTAATTGTGCGCTTACTCGAGCATGTGTACCAATACGTAACACACATGATTCGCTTAGTGTAATTTTTTTTGTTGGCGAAATTGGTAGGTTATTACGTTCGATCGGAAACTTAGCTGATGAGCACTCGAAGAGTAGCATCTGCTATTACGTTCGATCAGAAATTTAGCTGATGAGCACTTGAAGAGTAGCGTTTGCTATTACGTTCAATCGGAAATTTAGCTGATGAGCACTCGAAGAGTAGCGTCTACGGGCTTAGCTATTACGTTTGATCGGAAATTTAGCTGATGAGCACTCGAATAGTAGCGTCTACGAGCTCGGGTATTACGTTCGATCGAAAATTTATCCAATGAGCACTCGAAACCAACGTTATAAAGAAATAGAACATATGCAAGCGAGCAAAAATTCTGATATGAAATAGATGAATCATGCTACATTTTCAATTTCGACGAGCGCGACTCCTATCCATAACCGGAAAATGCTAGAGCACCGGCAATGTAGACCGGTTGCATGTAATCGATTTGATCCTCGAATTCGATTATATCTAAAACTAGTATTGTATTTCACTTATAATCGCTTTAAACGCGTAGAATCAGTATCGTTAGAACGACAATAAGTGAGATACAAGACTATTTTCAAACATATCTTTTTAAAGAATCGAAACAATAAGAGATGTCACTTACAGCGCCAAAATTGCACACCGTTACCCGTTTAGGCGTACGCGTAGGTGGCCTTACGGGAGTCGGAGGGCATGAAAGCCAAGAACATGAGGAGCGCCAAGATAAAAATCGGGAGGAGCAGCAGCAACGACGGCGGAGGAGGGAGCGGCGGGAGAATCAACGGTAATATAAGCAACGACGCCGTGAGGCAAACGAGCAGGCAGAGCGATTCCACCGGAAAGTACCGGAATATCGCTCTCCCTCTCGGTTTGCATAATTCAAGTTTCTTCGATTCTATGAACTGCGCAATGCTCGATGGCCTTCGGTCGAGCCCGTTGTTTGGCGCGATTCTTACATCCTTTGCTCCGCCGTTGGCGTACTGATTTTTAAGGTTGATGAAGCCGCCTTTCGACAATGCCAACCTCGTCGCCGGGGCTTTCGCAATGCTCATTTAATTTAGCCGCGGTTGGGGCGATTTTTGTCGGGATTACGTAGTTGTGTCACGGCGAGTGCGACGACGATGGCGGTGGCGGCACGGCCGATGAATAATTTGGCGTTGAAGAGTATGGTGAAGCAATGCTTCTTGTCTTAAAAAATGCAATGGCTGTTCAAAAAACAAAGGTAAGTTTCAAAACATACTTCATTACATCAAATATACATCAATATATTCCGACAATATATATATATATATCTATACACATTAATATAACATAAAAAAAATTCAATTCAATGTTTAAATTATTCTTAAAACAAATTAAATTAAAATTCATCCATAGTCAAATAATAATATGGCACACAATTTTATGAACTTGGTCTTGAAAATAAATTACAAAGAATTAATCATTCTTTTTTATGTACATTTGGTGATAATGTGATTCAAAGTGAGAATATATATTGAAAATAATTGTGTTTGATTTGTAATTTGATTTTTTATTTTTATTTTTATTTTAATAATTTAAATTTAATAATAATATATATATATATATACACATATACTATTTTTATTGAAAATCTTAAAAATTGAACAGTAAATTTAGGAACAATGAAAAAAGCAAAAGAAGAAACCGCCTTTTGCGACTAAAATGTTTTAAAACCAATCTAAAAAAAAATTGAATTTCTAATTAAAGCAAAGCAATTAGAGTTTGAAGCAAATTAAAATCATGAAACCCCATGAATGAATTATTCATTTTATAATGAATTCCATTAACATCTAAGATTAAGAAGAAATATATATATATTAATTACCAAGAATGGAAATAAAATTTAAATATGTATGGTATGGATATATCAATAATTATAATTACCTCTGAGATTTGCAGGCTGAAGAAGAATCAATCTGTGCATTCAGAAGAATACCTATATCTTCTTGAAAACAAAACCCCTTCTTCTCTTTTTGATCAGCTTTTAATTTCCCAAATCTTGAAAACCTAAATGAACACAACATATATATATATATATATAGAGAGAGAGAGAGAGAGAGAGAGAGAGAGAGAGAGAGAGAGAGAGAGGGTTTTTGATCTCTGATTTGAAGAAAGAAAGCAACCAAGAAAGAGATCGAGATCATATATATATATATATATATAAGAGGGTTTATTACATCTTAATTATTTGTTTGGATGAATTTTGCAAGAAAGTTCTCTGGGTGGATTCAGTGTATGAGATAGAGATAGACAAGTTGGGGCAGTTTCTGACAGTCAAATATTTCATTGTTGGAGTTGGGTTGGATTGGATTGGTTTGGTTATACTATTATATATGGAAAAGTGTATGTATATGTGTATCTATCTCATCTCTGTCTATAGTATTATTATTATTATTATTATTATTATTATTATTATTATTATTATATAATGAGATCATTGATTCATCATGCATGTCTAATGTCTTCATTCATCCTCTCCCTCCCTCCCTCCCTTCATATGGTTAGCTACTTTGCTACCATATGTTTTATTACATCATCTCTTTCTCACTTTATTTATTTTTTAATTTGTTCCATTTACCTTTGACATGTGTATTTTTCTTGTGAGATTTATTTTTCTGTTTTACAATTTCAATTTTTTTTTTCTCAAAAAACGTTAAATCAGACATCTATTTTTTATTTATTATATTACATTAAAATTAAATTTTACATTTAAAATATCACATCAATACATATTTATATCACATCAAATTACTATTTCAATTCAACATTTTACTATTCAAAACCAAAACCAAAAATCAAAATCTCACAAGTATATTGTATAATTAGTAAGTAATTAAAAAATCTATCAGTAAAAATAATTATAAAGTAAGACCAAGATGACTAAATATTTTAATTAAAATAAAAAATTATATATTATAAATTTTAAAATGTGATTAAAATGTATAATTATATATATATATTTTTTTAGAAAAAGAACAAATTATATGAGACGGATGAAAGAAAAAAGACAAATTAAATTGGACGGAAGGAAGTAATATGCAGTAATTCTCCCGTTCAAACTAATTATATCATTTTATTTGAGCAAAAAAAAAATTTTAAAAAAAATATATATAAAATTGGAGGAGTAAAGGTAAAATAAAAATATTATAATTTATTTTTTTAAAAAAAATATTAATAAATCGATTATTATTTATTAAGATATGAATAATAAAATTATGTAGAAAGAGTTTGTATTATTTATTCAATTTTGTTTTTACGGAGATATTTGATAAATGTAATTAAAAAATTAAATAAAAAATTAATTAGATATGACTGTAATCGAAAGAAAAAATGATTTTCCTTGATCTAAAGTTTTATTTATTTATGTTTTCATAACCAATTTGGTTTATTGAAAAAAATAAAAAATAACACACACATGGATGATGGTCATGACATGCATATATATATATTATATTATATTGTGACAGAAATTAAACAATAAGATCTAAGAAAGAGTTTGAATCTTGGGTGGTTGAGGGGCAAAGTCACGTGCCCTTCACGTGACCTTTTTCTTGATTCGTTACACATACAACTTGCTATATTTTTACTTCCTTGTACACTACCCCAACCAACTATTATTATTATTATTATTATTATTATTATTATTAATGTAGGAACTCAACTACTAATTTGAGATTTACATGCTCTGAAATACCATTATTAATTATAGAATAAATTTAAAAAGATTCATTAATTTAAAATTAGTGATGCATATTTAGGCAATAGTTTGGGAAATCATAAATTAAATTCAACAATCATTGAAAATGATTGAGAATGAAATCAAATAATTTTTTATTTAACTTAGCTAGGACTGCTAATCATAACTTGATGATGAGAAGGAATACATCCATTATTTATTTTGTAAAATTTTTATCATTTTTTTATATCTTTCTACAATAATAATAAGTACATACACACATATTACCATTTAACGAAAAAGACACCCACAGAAATTTTGTTCTTTTTGGAGTATGATTTTATTTTGACTTTACTTTACAAATATTACATTTTTTTAATTATATAATTTTATTTGGGCACATAATTTTTTTTTTAAAAAAAGATAATAATAATATTTTAATATTAAAATGAAGTAGGTAAAAATTAAGATGGATGTATTATAGAAACTTTATTAAATAGTAATAGATAAAAATGTGATAAGTTAGTAAGAAGAAAAATAACAAATTGATTATTATGTTTTAAACTAAAAATAATAAAAATATTTTTGGATAAAATTAATTATTATAAATAAATTGTCTATAAACTTAGTTGAGAAAAAAAAAAAAAAAAGTGACATAATCACTTCAAATAATTTTTTTTTTTTTTTAAAAAAACTCTATTTTAATTTTAATAATGATAAAATCCATGTGTATGTTTTATTCTAATCTCCACAAGATTTCAAAAATATGATCAAATAAAAATTAAAATTTTCTCTTTAATACCATAAGTTTTACAAATTGCATTTAACACCATATTGATGTATTTCAACTTCCACGTATGATCCGCTCTATTTATTTATTATTATTACTTTTAATAATGTAAAAATTCGTAATTGCTATTCAACAAATACTTTCAAACTAGCATAATCTGCTCTACTTCAATTATAGTATATATATCATAGGGACTTATAATTTATATGCCAGTCGTCGTACAACATAATATAATACAATGTATTATTAGAGGCAATTAATAAATATACAATGTCGGAATTAATTACAAACAAGTATGACATAATATTCTCTATGTGCATTAGTTAAACAACAACAAAGATAAATCAAGGCTGGAGATGTCTGCTTGTTTTTTTGGCAAAATTTAATAATAATAATAATAATAATATTACTACAACATTAATCAATTATTAAATTAAATTTTGTGACATGTTCTTAAACCACAATGTACGTATGAGACATTTTGTAGCCCCTAATGCCCACATAATCCTTCCCTTTAGATTCTCTTGTTAGTAATTATTGTTACATCAATTATTATTATTATTATTATTATTATTATTATTACTACTACGTGAGATAAGGTCAAGTCACCGCAATTAGTACACTAACTTGAAACAATTAATATTTTATTATAATTCACAAGACATATAGCATGTGTCAGTGTTATATAAAAATATGTGTTGTGTGGGTTATATATTGTGTTATGTTGTATAATTTGTTTATTCTGCAAAAATTAATTACATTATATTGTGCTATATAAAATTATATAATATGTTCTGTTGTATATTGTATTAATATTTATTGTCTGGTGATGTATTGTATAATAATCTGTTTATTGTGCTGAAATTAGAATATATTATGCTATGTAAAATTATGTAATGTATTATTAAAATATGTATTATATATTATATACTAAAATATCTTGTGGTAATTCTATTTTCTTTATAAATATATGTTGATTAGATAATCAGAACGGCAATTAAAACATCTTATTATTACCTCACCTTAGATCTTAGTGTTGATTAAAATTGTAGATCGTGATCGTTGATTTTAAAGATGTTTGTTGACTAAAACTGATGAGAGTAAAAGGCTAGCGAATCCCGTGTAGAATTATTTAATGAAAATGGTTTTATTCGGATCGACCCATATTGTGAGGATCAATTTCAAAACTATACACTAAGGGTGTATTTGTTTTGGAGTTTGGATTTTGAGTTGAGATTTAAATGGTAAAAATTTTGAATTGTAATAGTTGTATGATTTGAAATAAATAGATATTGATGTGATATTTTGAAGATAAAATTAATTTTTAGTATAATATAAAAAATGAAAATTTTGGTTTAACACAGACTTCACATATACCAAAATAATGAAAAATTTGAGTTTAGCGCAGACTTCACATAGGCTGTATTGATTAACCATACTCAATATATAATAATAATTCATAAAATTATGCTACAATTAATGTCAACATAATAGTTCATCTTAAGATAACAAAATGCGTAGCACTTCATCCGTCTCAATATAATAGTTTTGTTTACTATTTTTGTCCATTTTAAAACAATAGTCTCATTTGCATAAATAATCATATCACCATAAAATTATCTCTATTTTTTCAGTATTATTACACAATTGCCACTATTTTTTACACTATTGTACTCACAATGGCAAAAAAGTCATTTATCCATACTTTTTACCAACCACCAATATAATATCAATATTTCTTAAATCTCGTGTCCAACACAATAAGACTATACTTTTTGGATAGAGGGAGTACGGAGTATATGATAATAGTCCATATAGTAGATATTACAATTGATTTTAACAAATATGTATATTAACACAATACAAATAATTGATACTCCATTCGTCTCAATACAATAGTCTTGTTTACTATTTTTATCCGTCTCAAAACAATAGTCTCATTTCCATAAATAACCATATCACTATAAAACTACCATTACTTTTTCATTATTATTACACAATTGCCACTACTTTTTACATTAATATATTCACAAGGGCAAAAAAGTCTTCTAATCGTACTTTTTACCCATTGCTAATATAATATTAATATTTTTTAAATCTCGTACCAAACACAATTCAGACTATAATTCTGGGACGGAGGGAGGAAGTATAAACTAAGAACAACTGTTTATACACTATTGTAAATATTAGCACGTTGAAAATTCATATCATAAAAAAAATAAAATAAAATAAAATAAAATTGTTAGTATAATGTTATATATTTATATCTTACTTTCTTTTGGGCAGGCACGTGACTTAATATAATTTGGGCGTAGAGAAGTCAACATATGAATACGCAGTTGACCACATTTTGTCCTAATTTTTTCCAAGTCAACAAAACACTCCTGTGAAAAAAAAGAAGATTGGTGTTCATATATATCACGCATTTCTTATGTTTTCATTTTTTTTCCAATATATTATTTCGTCCAATGCACCCATAAATAGACATGTCATTATTATTATTATTTTTATTTTAAACTTTTATTATGCTCTATTTATATATACATCTAAAAATTCTTCATAATACTATCGATAGTAATATATATATACATTTAAAAAATACTATACGGCTATTTTTTTTTATTTAAAATATTGCATTTAAAAACTTATTTTTTATTCAAAATATTATATTAACATCTATTTATATTATATTAATTTTTTTTTTATTAATATCAAGATTCTCCTATATTTCAAAACTTTCAAAATTTTTACCTAAATAGTGCCATATATTTAACTAAACATCAATTGAAATGTGCACCTGAGTGAGTGGTTTGAAAGTATAGCTAGTATGGCACACTGTGATGATCTTTTTAAAACTCAATATATAGATATTTTTAAAAAGTGTGTTTGGATTTTGAGTTGGGATTTGAATTAGTAAAAATTTTGAATTTGAATAGTTGTCTGATGTGATATAAATAGGTGTTGATGTGATGTTTTGAATATAAAATTAATTTTTAGTATAATATAAAAAATAAAAAATAGGTGTTTGATTTGATGTTTTTTGAAGGAAAAAATGGGATAAATAGTGTATTTAAAATCCAATCCACCAAACAAACACACCCTAAGTAATTTTTTAATTTTTTTTAAAAGATATCATATTTTTTTTTCTCATAAAACAAGTACTTTCGTTCGACTCTAAGAGTCTCATTTACTTTTTGCGTGTCAGTCTTTGAATATTAATTATTATATCGAAATATTATGCAAATTAAAAAACTATACAAAAATACTTCAATTAACTAATAGAATGACATTTGTTAAAAAAATAATAATACAATTATAAACGGACAGAAAGAGTATATTTTTGTATATTTTTATTAATTTCAAATGTAGCCATACTGTTTGGCCCTAGTTAATTTGAGGTTTATTTTTTTAATTTATTAGTGTGCAATCTTCATAATTTCTTATATACATGATTTTTTTTTCTTATAAAATACCACATCTAATTTATTATTTAAATAAAAAAATAATGTAATTATTATTATTACAATTATTATTAATGATAATAATATAAATATCAAAGGATAGTTCCATGGGGGATGAGTGCATTTCTTGTGATGACTATTACTCCTCCTGATATGATACATCCTCTGCTTTCGTCACTCCCTTCTTCCACACCATCTTTATTCACAATCTGCACCAATAAATTAATTATTATTATTATTATTATTTTAGTCCTGGAATCTCTAAAACACTTATAGTCATCTGAAAAAAATTTGAAAATTTAAAATTAAAAAAAAAAAAAAAAAAATCTACGGACACAGCCACGTGAGCAACGAAGGTGCCACGTCAGGTGGATATCTCTGTCGATAAAGGACTAAAATTGCAAACAAACTAGACGACAATGATAAATGGTCAATGGTCAGTTAAGTGATTTTATATTGTCATTGTTATATAAATATATATTTAATGTAATACCATCACATTGTTGCCGATTCTTGCATTCTTATCGACGATCGCTTTCCTTATATAAGAGCCTTCGCCGATTCCGACAGGAATTCCGGCGCCGCGGTCTTCGCCGCTGCCGTTGTTGTTCTGCGAGGCGCATTTCTCGATCGGTTTAACCGTTATATCGAAATCGAATACACCGTATAAAAAAAGTAGTTGTATTCGATGAATTGCTTGCTTACAGGGTAATATGCGTCGGATCCGATGATGATCGAATCCTCGACAACGGCGTCGTTCCCTATCCTCGTCCTCATGCCGATCACCGAGCTCGTTATCCTGCATTTCTGCGGCACATGGCGAAGAAACCCGACTCATAAGTCTAGTTTTATTCGAGAGTGTCAAGTAGAAATGTTCGATTCATACGTTGAGAATGCACCCGTCTCCGACGATGGAATCCGTTATGACGGCGTCGGTTATGAGCGTCGGAGGTAGGTGACGCGGCAACGTGTACAACGGCCACTCTTTGTCGTAGAAGCTAGAGAAAGCGGAAAAAAGTTACCTTTAGATAGAAGTTTTGAAAAATATCGAAAATAATATAGAGTTAAATATATGATGTGATATTTTTCTAAAATACTGACAAAAGTTCAAAAAGTATCTATGTAAACAGAGCTAAAGCATACTCGACGGGGGTTAAATTGACTTACTTGTAAGCATTACTCATCCTCGGAATGGCCTCCATGTTCGCGCGATAGTAAGCAACGATGCTCGCCATGTCCTCCCAGTATCCATCGAACTCATACGTGTGAATCTTCGCCATAAAAAAAAATAAAATAAACGGTGAAAATAAAGATCGAAACGGGATGAAATTAGTATCGTAGAAGTTAAGAATAGCGCGCGATCTCACCTTCATCCCGAGCGATGTCGCGCCCGGGATCACTTCACTTCCCAAGTCGTTGGCGTTCGGGAAATGTATTGTAAGTAGCTCGATCATAACGTCTCGATCGATTACGTAGATTCCCATGTCTTCTTTTCGATCATCTCCTTTAGTCCGAGTCGAAACTGAGACAGTTATATCACAGCCGGATCTCCTGTGGGCTTCGACGAGGTTTCTATAATCCATTTTGTAGAGATGGTGACCCGGGAGAACCAAAAACTCAGCCACCGGATATTCCTCGAGCATCCATAAGCATCTTCTTATCGCGTCCGCGGTTCCCTAAATGTGACGAGACAAAAAAGACAACGCGTTACGAATTATCTGATGTGGTAATTGCGAGCGAAATTACGGAACGGACCCGGAACCATCCGTTGTTGTCGGGGCTTTGATACGCCGCGATGACCTCGACGATGCCGTCGTTGGAAAGGCGCATGCCGGAGTAGGCTCTCGAGAGGTGAGAGTTGAGGGAAGTCGAGTTGAACTGCGTAAGAGCGTATATTCGAGTCACGTCGCTGTTGATGCAGTTGCTGACGACGGCGTCGATCAGGCGGTAATTTCCGGCGACGGGAATTGCCGCCTCCGATCTCCTCTTCGTCAACGGATGCAGCCGCGAATGCGTCGAGCCGTCTCCGAACACGATGGCTGCGACACTCTGGACACTAATAAAATACACTTACAGTTTCGACGGGAAGAACTTTCCCGACGCTAGAACGGAAAAACGGAATCGTTAAATCGGAGCGTCACCTGGTTCGCCGGGGGATGAATCGAATACGAGCAACGGGATTGATTCGAGTTCTTTATCGGGAGATTCGACGGCGGCGTGATCGCACAAGGCTCCGATCCCGGATTGCGATGGAGATATCGAAGCGCTGTTGATTTTGGACATGACGAGGACAACGTAAACATGACGACGACGATGACGATGCCGGGTGGTGTCCGAAATTGAGAACCAACGAGCTTGAGCTTGTTTGCGAGAAATGGGTAAGAATATAACGAGGGAGGTTAGACATAAGACGGGAATATTGAGGTTTCTTCATCTTCATGGACACTTGAGAGGATGCTGTCTGAGATATTACCAGCAACCTCTGACCAACACAGCTTCAATATATACATATACACGTACATTGGTGTCGGACTACGATTTTTAATAAAATTATATATATATATTTTTTTTATGTCCGTAAAAATGATGTAATTATTATTATTATTATTATTATTATTATTTTGTTTGCTAATTTCATAGTAATTTAAATATTTTTATCTATTTATAATTTTATTATTTTTATTTTTAATAAATAATAATTAATTTATCATTCTCTTTTTTTTTTTTACTTATTATATTATTTTTTTTATCAATTATTTAATAAATATTCTATAATGACGGCAGCTATTGTACTCAATTTAAATAAACTCACAAGAAATACATACTATCGAAGATATGCAACAAATGATTTTTTATATTTTTATTTATTTTAATATTAAAATATTATTAATTTTTAATTTTCATGTTCAATCAAACCTATCTAATTTTGTTGGAAAAAAAGATAATTTTTTTTTTCACAAAATATTATATTAAAATATATATATATATATATATACACACACATGTGTATATATAATATGGCAACCTATATTTTGGTGTGGATGCATAACTTGGAAGAGAGGAAAATTAGAAAGAACATATTTTGTTGTCTCTTTTTCTTGGTGTGCTTTTTGTGCCCTTTTATTGGGCTGTGTGGGAAGCTTCTTGTTTCATTTGATTTCATTTGTGATTACAAAGAATATCGACATTACAAGGTATGTACGCCAACAATTACTTCTTAGTGACGCCTAAAATTAAACTAATATGAGCTATGTAAACTAGTATCATGTATTATTAGCTGATAAATAGTTGTTCATGTTGTTTAATGAGTACTATCGTTTAAACAGACATTTTGGAAGAGTTTTAAAGTTTTAAAAATTTAGAAAAGGTACAAAATTGATATTTTATGAGAGAAAATATAAATTTAATGTTATATTTTTTCAAAAATAAATATTTCCTCCGTCTCATTGAAAGGTTGTTATTTTCTATTTTTGTCCGTTCTAAAACAAGGTTACCATTTCCTAATTTAGTAATTGTACTATCTACCTAACATAGTAAATACCCTTCAAACTTACACTATATTACACAAATGTCATTACTTTTATATTACACAATACTAATAGGGGCATTTTCGTCTTTTTCACTACAATCCATTATAATACTAATATTAAAAAATCTACGTGCAAAAAGTAAGCGGCAACCTTGCATCGGGAGGGAGGGTGCAGTACAAAATGAGTGAAAATTCCCGAATAAACAGCTCAAATCCAATCACAAACCAAACAAATCCTTGGAAAGAAGATGAGAATAAAGCGGCCAAAATGGGAATAAAGTCATGTGTACAAACACACACTATATATATCCCGCAATAAAATTATATTGGGATCATTCTCAACATTTGTATTCAAAAAGCAAATATTTTTCACAGCCCTCAATTTATTACCAAATCCTGGTACAGATAGATGCAAACAGCTTCTAAAATGCAGTTATTAAGAAACAAAAGGCAGCTCAGGTAGGTAGCTCTTAAGAAAAAATGGTACAAACCATCGAGGCTTTTGCCCGGTAATGAAGTGCGTGCTTAAGGCTTCAGATGGTGTTTGAATAAAGACGCCATCTCAATCTGCAAAAGTGTGACCAACAGAGAAAATCGGACAAGAATCTTAGCTAGCTTCATCAAGATTAACTAATCAATACATTTACATAGTATCTGCATTTTGACTATGGCCAAAATCACATTTTTCCACAGAAAAGATAAAAAAAGAAAAAGAAAAAAGGGTTCAATGGTGTTTTTGTCCTCACATTATGCAAATCTATAGTTAAGTATTTTTTTCACTTTAGAACATTACATCTGAAATTTACTTTTCCATTAAAAAAACATTGCATCTAACAATTATATTTCATTCAGACAAAAATTCACATCCGTAGCATTCAAAATACTATTTACTCCATTGTTCGGATAAATAGCACATTGATGTCAAAATATCAACTAAGTGTCATATGCACAAATTTTTAATAGAAGTAAGGCGTAAAACTCAAAATAAACATATTGAGCAACCTGTGACACAAGTTAAAGTAAATGCAAGGAGCAACAAAGTATACAAAGTTACGACTGTATGAAACTTACTGCTGTCAATGCTGCTTCAGATCCTTTGTTTCCCGACTTACCACCTGCTCGGTTTAAAGCCTGCAGCCATTTTAAGGGAAATGTGACAAACTGTTGATCACAGCTGAATAAGATAGGGTTTGCTCACTTTGTTTTTTAATCAATTTCTCGCATTGTGAAATCTACAATGGAATATTTTTCCCCAATAAATATATATATATATATCACAAACTTATTTCCTATTGAAAAATCGCATCTTTATTTATTTTTCACTCAAAAAATTTCAAATCAAACTCGATTGCAAACAATGCAAAATACAAGAAATCAAATGTAAAGCCTAGTCCGAAGTTAAGTTTCTATATATTTGATTAAATTGTACAAAAAACACTACATATCTTGTAAACCGGTAAAAACACAAAATCCGTTAGCGCTTACCTGATCCATGTCTTCACATGTCAGGACACCAAATATGCAAGGGACACCTAAACAACACCACAAAAAACTGGGTGTAAGAGCTATACGGACCTTGGTCATAATTTTGACACAAACTGTACTAACAACAGTATTTAAGGATGTACAAATCAGTTTAAGAACGGCTTCTGGAGGCTCACCAGAATTCAGACCCGCTGATAGTACTCCAGAAGCTGCTGAATTAGCCACAGCATCGTAATGGGTGGTATCACCTCTGATCTGCAGTATGAAACCATAAAATAGAAGAGAGATTTGTTACTCCCCCCAAAAAAAAAAACAGCATAAAGGCAAAGAATGCCGAAAAAAATCATGATTGTTTTTAGTGTTTAGCAATTTTTTGGGTTTTTGTTGTTAGTTATTGAGAACTATGAAAGTATTCTTGAATTATTTACTTTTCTTGTTTTTTAATATTTTGTGAGAGAAAATAAAATATTTTTATTGTACGTATTGAGAACTGTAAAAATATTATTAAAATTGAAAGCATGAGAGAAAAACTTACAACGGCCCCAATGCACAAAACTGCTTCGTACTTTCTCAATTTCCCAAGCTTCTCTGCAACTAGGCCAATTTCAAAGCTACCCGGAACCCATACAACCTAGCGCATCAGAATCGAAGAAATATCGATGGAACTGGTTAACCAGAAAATTAAACAAATCAAATTTAAATTGAATCCAAGGAAATGATGAGTTATGAGTTGAATCTTCCAAGAATCAGAAATCAAACATACAAACACTAATGAAAGTTGGGATACTAACATCTATATCTTCTTCTCTAACAGAGTATTTCTTGAAAGTATCCAAAGCTCCCTCCAAAAGCGGCCTAGTAACAATCTCATTGAACCGTGCCACCACCTTCATACCACAAAAATAAAAAATAATAATTATTCATTGAACTTCAATCCACCAAATTACCTAAAATTATAATTAACCATTTATTGAATTCAAATTCACCAAGAACTTGACAACCAAATTCCATAACTAAATAAAATGAGCCTAAAGCACAACACTTGCAAAAGCTTCTACATTAATATCATCTAAAATAAGAACGAGAAGAGAAGCTTAAGATCAGAATTTAGAAAAGTTTAAAACCAAAGGAAGCTCAAATGTATTTTCTATGCAATCATAATATTATTCCCACTTAAATACTTCACATGCAAAGCCTAATTTTCATTCAAAAACATTAACATCCAAATAGTGTTTCTCATTTAAATCATCAAATAGGAAACCTATTTTCCATTCAAAAAATTACATATCCAAAACACACCCTTAACTAGTTTTTATGGTTAAAAGACTTCTTAAACTTCACAATTAAACACAAATAAAAGGGAAAGAAAAAAAAAAGGATAAAGATAAAGAGCGTTTCTTTTTAGCTTCAACCAAAAGAAGAAAAGAAATTCCCAAAAGACTTGTACAGAATTATCATACAACTTAAAAATGCAAAGCCTTTGAATCCAAGGGTCAATTCCCAAAAGGCAAGAACTTAATGCTCTAAAGATTGAAAGAAGTTTCGATGGCGAATGTAAACAGGGCTGCATTACAGACTATAGCAAAGCGGAGGCCCTCAGCCGAGGTAAGCGACCCCGTCAAGTGTCGAACAGCTAATACAGTCTGCGTCAACGATTCCTTCTTTCCCCAAAATCCAAATCCTGAAAAATCAACGCCACTGCATCAACAATATATACATACAGAGATTGAAGCACATAGACGCGCAGTACGTTGCACTGAATTTGGGTCGAAATTCAGCAGTAGAAAAGCGGGAATTAGGTTAACCTTGGGGAAGCTGGTGTTGGGGCGAGGCGAAAAGAGGATGAACTTTAGGTGATGCCGCCAAATTTGAGGGCTTGTGGAAGCAGCAAAGGGACGAAGAATGGATGAAAGGCTGGCGGCGATCGGAAGTGGATGAGGCGCGAGGAAGAAGAGACGACTGTGCAGCAAATGAAGCCATTTTTTTCCGTTTGTTATTCTTTTTTGAGGCTCTTTCCAGTAGCAGAATTGGGGATTCAAAAAATTGGGTAGATTTCGGAATCTATACTACAGGACGGTGTTAGGGCTAGGGTTTTCTGTTGTATTTAATTGATGATTAGAATCCTCCACTTAAATTATCTTATTTTAATTAAACACACAATTTTAGATATTATATAATTAATTATAAAAAAATAATTATAATTTTTAGTTATTATGTAATTATTTATAAATAATTAATAAGAAAAAAATTAATTTTGGTCTCAATATAATTAACATTTGTCAATTTTGGTCCTAATATAAAAAACTAATCAATTTTAGTTCCATTATAAACAATTTCAATCAATTTTGATCTCATTATAAACAATTTTAATCAATTTTGGTCTCACTGTTAAAAAAACTAACGGAAATTGCTGACGTGGACGTGACGCAGTTGACCTGAAAAGTACACGACCATATACAATTATACACGGCTATGTTATTACGTGACCATGTATATTTCAGTGTATAATTATACATGACCATGTTGTTACACGACCATGTATAATTCTACACGGCTGTGTACTTTTCTGTTTCGGTTTAAAATTTTAATTTTTTGTTATTTTTTTTTTGTATTTAGAATAGTTGATATAGTTAAAAAAAAATCAATAATAATCATAATATAATTAAAATATATCAATTTTAATTCAAATATAAGTATTTATGGAGTATGTTCTTAGATTTTGTTTAAAATTATACTATTTAGCAAAAAAAATTTCTCTTACAAACATCCAATAAATGTATTGAAATAATAAATTAATTTTAATACTACTGTAATATACAAAATTAAAAAATAGTTGTGTAATTGGATGTTTGTAAGAAAATTTTTTTTGTGAATAATAAAATTTTAGACAAAACATTTCAAAAGAATATATCTTATAAATTTTTATATTTGAATTAAAATTAAAAATTTTTAATTATATTATAATTACTATTGATTTTGTCTATTTTAATTATATTAACTATTTTAAATTCAAAATAATTTTTTTTAAAGAAAATATAACCAAAAAAAAAAAAAATTTAAACTAAAATAGAAATGTACATGACCGTATAACAATATGACCATGTATAATTATACACTGAAATATATATGGCAGTGTAACAACATAGTCATGTAACAACATGGCCGTGTATAATTGTACATGGCCATGTACTTTTCAGGTCAACTGCCACGTCACCTCCGTCACGTCCACTTCAGCAATTTCCGTTAGTTTTTTAACGATGAGACCAAAATTGATTAAAATTGTTTATAATGAGACCAAAATTGATTGAAATTGTTTATATTGATACTAAAATTGATGAGTTTTTTTTATATTGGGACCAGAATTAATAAATTTTGGTTATATTGGGACCAAAATTGATGAATTTTTTATATTGAGACCAAAATTGATAAATTTTAATTATATTTGGACCAAAATTGATTTTTTTTCTAATTAATATGTATATCAATAAAAATAATTATAAATCAAGAATAATATAATTAAATAAAAAATTTTAAATTTTAAAACGTGAAGGTATAATTAGATTCTAATATAGAATGAGAGTAAAAATAAAGTTTTGCTCTACCCTCCTTATTCAGCAGTCAATTAGTCGATTCGTGTCGAAAATTCGATCCGTTTATTATCGTGTCGAGTTCGTGTTAACCTGTTTATTATTATGTCATGTTCGAATTGACTCATGTTGGTCCGTATATAAAATTAAATTAAATTTCTTAATTCAAATTAAATAATTTTTTATTTTATGGTCGTCTTATATTAGTTTTTATTAATTTGTGCGAAGTTTATATTTTATATTCAAGTGATTGTGTGAATGGCTGTGAAAAGACTTAAGTAGCCCCAATTACCCTACGCGTGATCTTTTTGACATTTTTTTACGGAAAGAGTATTTTACGGATCCTTACCGCAGTAAATTCATAGTAACACAACACGGTTAAGTGATGACTCACAGTCTACGAGACACGACACGACAGTTACGCGTCGGAGCTGATGCGGAGGTGCCCCCACCACTGCCTAATGCTCGTTAACCCCCCTTCGGATTTGCAGCAACACCGCGTACGTGATCCGTTCTCTGGTTAGTTTCATTGATGACTTACCGTCGATATCCATTTTTCTGTTCGCTGATTGATATATATATATATATATATAATATGTGTGTGCTAATTGTTTGATTTTTTCCGTTGTTACTGTTGAAGTTTTGATTCGATTTGATTTTGTCGGCGAGTGACTGAGATAGTCAGCAGCGATGGTGAAGGAGACTGAATACTACGATGTGCTTGGCGTGAGCCCCACGGCCACTGAGTCGGAGATCAAGAAGGCGTATTATGTTAAGGTGCGGGCGCGATCTTGTAATCTTCTTGGTGCAACTTGTTTTCTGAAGCTCTTATAAGGATTTTCTTTAGTAAATGGTGTATTTGGTTGTGTTTTGGTGTGACTTTTGGATGTTTTAATGTGTTTTGAATTTGAAATATCTTAATTTGAAATTATGCTTTGATGATATTTTCTAACTGAAATTGGCGTTGGGTGTTTACTGTTGATAGTGCACAGTGGGATAACAAGATCGAACAAAACACACAAACAAACTACTTATCTGAATAATGTGGACATTACTTTTCGGGAACCCAGTTGAGAACTCTAAAATTAAGCGTATCCTGCGTTCTTGAACCTGCAACATAACTAGGGCGCTCAAACCCCCACCCCCCTTCTTTTGGGTCCTCGTGTAAGAATCTCATTGATCTAACACGGGGGTTTGGAAGGAATTGCTATGCTTTGTTGCGTCTACTGACTGCTCTGTATCTAGTTCATCATCCAAAATCCCTAGCTCCCCTATTGTGAAGAAGTCAGAAAATATATGCCTTTCTTATATTATGAATAATTAACATATAAGATTTGAATTGAAGTGCTACAAGTTTTTGTATGGAAATAATATTGATGCTCAAGAATTTGAGAAGCATGGAAAGATAATGTCTGTTGGGAAAGGGACATTTGGCTGATCATTAGGGAGTTTGTGATGGTTTCAGTGAAATTTTAGCTCTTAAGGTGAAACAGATCCCAACCATGATATCATTTACTGGTGTTGTGCTGATGGATTCTGGTTTTCTGTTACGAGACTATGCTTTTGATACCTAATGTTCGGTCAGTTGTATTCTTTGACTTCTCTAATGTCGTTTCATTTCAAAAGAGGTAGTTCTGGTACAAACTTAAGTTAAATTTCTGAATCCTCTATTTCTTTAATGTGATTGATTTTATTGTGGGTGTTCTCCTGTGCCAGTTTCTGCAGTTCTTTCTTTTCATTGTTTGGAAAGTCTGCTATTCATCATCAAGCCAATTAGTGTTGGTTTTGGTGTTGTTTTTCGCAACTGATAATGTTTAGTGTTGCAGGCCAGGCAAGTTCATCCTGATAAGAATCCAAATGACCCATCAGCAGCACACAAATTTCAGGTTACTCTGATTGAATTCCCTCCTTGTTAGCACATTCTTTTCCATCTGGTTTTCTAAACTCAAGCAAGAACATTGAAATGGTCAGCTCTGTATGCCTTAGTTTCATCAAAAAAAAAAAAAAGGAAAAAAGAAAAGCATACTGAAGGTCAGCTAAGAATAACAAGGCAAAACTATACCAATGTAAATGAATAAGTAAGAGTTCTAATTGAGCAGAGAAGGAATCTATATAGAGAAATATTTTGATTTGTTTAAATTGGAAAATAAATGTCACCCTTGTCCTTATTATCTCCAAGATAAGACTGCATAAAGAATTCAGTGCTATGTGGTATATACTGATACGGAAAGAAGAATGAAGTAGTAGCAGATTTACAATTCCTTAGTGACAGGTGTAATGAAGATATTCAAGATGAAGCATTTAGAATAATCTTAATATTAATATCTTTGTTGTAGGAGTATCATTCATTGTATAGTAGGCTTTTTAAGCCCCATGTCTCCACATTATTGGATAATGTGATTTTTATTTGTTTTTGTTTCATTTTGTTTATTCCATGTTGTGCTCTGCTTTTTAATATGCTTGTGAGTCGTGTTTGATGTATAACAAGTTTTGCTCTGCTTTAATTCTACCAGATTTTGGGTGAGGCTTATCAAGTGCTAAGTGATCCATCACAAAGACAGTCTTATGACGCTTATGGGAAATCAGGAATTTCATCGTCAGTATATTTGAAACTAAAACACATTTATCTTTTGCACGATTAATTTGTTCTCAATATACTGTATTGTTGATTGTTTCAGAGAATCAATCATTGATCCTGCTGCAATCTTCGCCATGCTTTTTGGAAGTGAACTATTTGAGGAGTATATTGGTCAGCTTGCTATGGCATCATTGGCTTCCATGGACATCTCCACAGAAGGCGAGGCACATGATCCTAAAAAGCTGCAGGAAAAAATGCGGGTATGTAAACTAATATTTCCAATTATTTTGCATCTGGGCTACATTTCATTACATTGCCAATAAAATCCAGTCATCACGTATAATAGAATTCAAATACTATCTATAGTTACAACAAGCGAATGTATCCCTTTGGCATGATAGCAGAAGTGCCAAAAAAAGTAATAAGAGCATTGAAGCTTGTCAAACTTTCTGATTTATCCTCTATTATTGTATTATCATAATTATTTTGGTAATTTCAGACTGTCCAAAGGGAAAGGGAGGAGAAGCTTGCTAATACACTAAAAGGTAGGCTCAACCTGTACATCCAAGGAAATAAAGAAGAATTCATTCGTCACGCTGAGGCAGAAGTGGCAAGACTTTCGAATGCTGGTAAGATACCCTGTCCTGTAAAGTTTACTTTTGTAGGTTTTACTATTCAGATACCCTATTTTCCAGAGATCTTTGCCATTTTGATGGTTTTCTACTGTCGCTTTTCCCATTTAATCCATTATGCTTCTATGTTAAACGGTTGCTTAGGATTTGGTTGGGATTGGGCAGTGTCTTCAAGTGGTAGAACATACCTTAAACCTCTGTGGATTTCTCTACTGTATAATTGAACAATATGCAATATAGCATTAATATACGATTAGAAACCCAACCTCCTCATAGAGGATGCAATCATTGGTAATTTCCATGCAACAGATTAGAATAGATCTAGTTGGTGATTGAGATTGTTTGACAAGAACATGAAAATATGTAACTTTTAGCACTATTTGTGAAACTATTACCTAAGGTAATTTACTTATGAATAGGGAAGGGCTGCCTAATAAATTTTTTGGTTAAAGGAAATGTGCGCTAGTTGATTCCTTTGCTGTATGACATAAATCTAAAGATGGATTCGTGTAACATGGGGATGGAAGAAGCTTCCATTCTCTATTAGATTTAGAGTTTCATGACCTAGCGCCTTAGCCTGAGGCTTTAAAGTTTTTCTAAGATATTCAACTTTACCATGAAGACAAATACCCCGAAGGGATTTGCATAGGACCTGCTATTCATAAAGCATGTGTAAATATCTGACAGAGCAAGTGTTCTTATGCTAGTCAAATTTCAGAAGAATATATAAGATGTCAAATTAGATTTCTATGGCTGTAAGTTTAAATTATTTATTCCTGATCTTTTATATAATCGTTTGCGGAGCCTTTACTGACTCCATTGCCAACCCATGCACACACAAACACAGTTGGGATATGCATTACATACATGCATCCAGGACAGCACTACTAGTTGCTGCTTTGTGACAATCCTACAGTTATATCTGTCTATTTTACCGAGTGACCAGATGCAACAGCCCTTAACCTGTAGAATCTCTATTTCTTATTACCTCGTGGTCTTTCACAGCATATGGTGTGGATATGCTGAGTACCATCGGCTATATATATGCAAGAGAAGCAGCAAAAGAGCTTGGGAAGAAGGTAATCTACTTGGGTGTCCCTTTTATAGCTGAATGGTTCAGAAAAAAAGGGCACTACATCAAATCCCAAGTAACTGCAGCAACAGGTTGGTTTTATTTTTTTCCAATTATTAATTTCACAGAGAAATTGTTGCCTAATTGAAACATGCTCCCTCCGTCCCTTTTGAAAGAGCCCTTTGGGGTTTGGTAGTAAATTAAGAAATAGTAGTATTTTATTGGATAGTGGAAGTGTATAAGAGATATTGATATTTTTGCCATTTGACTTATTGTATGAAGTAATTATATGTGTAATGGTATGTTTTAATTTTAATAAAAGCTAAAAGGTATTCTAATATTAGTATATGATTAATGTTACTAAAAAAGAAAAGGTGTACTTTTGAATAGGACGGACAAAAATAGTAAAAAGTGTACTTCAAATTAGGACTGATGGAGTATATGATTTTCAACGTTTGTGGCTATGTTATTTTTTTTGGAAAAAACAATGATTCCCCCTAAACACATCCTATGTGCATCTAATCAATATTTGAAACCCCCTTTGGGTCATTGATATATGATGGTGGGCTGATGGAAAATGAGAAAATGAGATATGTAACCGCCGTAAATTTAAAGGTTGAGTTTCTCAACGACATGGAGGAAGGAGAGAAGCTGTTCAATTCCTTCCTAAAAATTGGAGGCTGTTGTGAAAATTACCTGTGTCTGTTTCTTTCATTTTCGGAAATTATAACACGACTGTTGGTTGTCTTAGGAGTCATTGCTCTGCTTCAGCTGAAAGAAGACATGAAAAAGCAGCTCAACGCTGAAGGAAACTACACGGAGGCAGAACTTGAGGAGTACATGCAATCGCACAAGAAAGTGATGACCGACTCCCTCTGGAAGCTCAACGTTGCTGATATTGAAGACACACTCTCCCATGTTTGTGAAATGGTTGTCCAAAATTGCCTCTCGATTCCTTCTTTAATATCGACGTATTTCCTTCCGTCATGAGACGTAGTTAACCTGATGCATTGATCATCTCAGGTTCTGCGGGATAACAGTGCCAAGAAAGAGGAGCTCCGTCTCCGTGCCAAGGGTTTGAAAACCCTCGGCAAGATTTTCCAGGTCGGAAAGACATTGCTGAAAACCTTGTCATTTTCTGGTTATATGATTATATCTCTGTGTACAATTAATAAATAGTTTCTGCTTGAGCTTTTCTTGTGCTTCAGAGGGTGAAATCGGTTAATGGAAACGATGAGGAAAGCATGCAAAATGATCCACTCAATAAGTTGAGTAGAAATGTGCCAAGTGACAATGCAGCTCATTCAGAAACTTCTGCGAAATCTTTGAACAATGAAGATGGTTCCAACCCTGCATTCGCTTCCCAGGTATTTCTCCTAACTTTGAGATGTATCATAAACATTGTTTCAAATTTCTATCGGTATCGGAATCTCATGGCTAATGATACGAATTTTTTGGGAAACGCAAATAGTAAATAGTTGAGGGTTGGGGTGTAAAGAAACACATTATATTATATATATTAGAAATCAGAAAAAAAAAAAAAAATAAAATAAAAATTGGGTGAACAAACCCTAAGTAATCAAACCTTAATTTTATGACTATAGGCATAAAGCATGTTAGTAGAAAATGCATAGAGACAAATATGCTACACACAAGGCTAACAATAGCTGTTATTTATATATCATTACACTATGCAATAGTTATCATCAAATCATTGCATAATATATATGTGAGTGTATTTACTTGTGATTTGAGTTTTTCAATAGAAAATATATGTTGGGTGTTGTAATGTGAAAGGAAAATAAATTTTAAATTTGATATTTTTCGATATTTTAATCATAGCTCGAAAATTAGAACAAAACAGAAGTGTACACAATGTATTATTTCCTATGACACCTGAGAAAAGTACAGCTACTTGTGCATTAGTGATTTGATACTTGTAGGAATTGTGTGCTCTCTTTATTCCCTCTAAAAAAAAAAACATGAAATGCAATGATAATTTACAGAGCCCGTATGTAGAGTCTCCTCAGTTTCCGGGCGGTGAGTACAGCAATTTCCCAATGCCATCTGCGCCACCCGGTGCAAGCAAGCATCCTTAACCTGGTAAGAGTCACATTCTGTGGTGGATTATATCCAGGTATTTTTATTTTACCATTACTACTGTGTAGGGAATGTGCATTGTAGTTGTATGATTGTCTGCAGTAGAGTTCTGTGATCTGCATGTCTTTGTATTGTTGGCATTTTCATTTCACCCAGTGGGATAGCATTAGAAACAGAATAACTGCTGCTCTATTCGATACTTCTAAATAACTTGCAATAGTTTGTCGCATATAGTGGTGTATGGGAACAGGTACGGTGCTGATTGGGGTCTAATTAAATGGATTGGGTCTACTTGGACCCATTTCTAGTATAAAGAATAATCCCACCGTTCACAAACTAATGTCTTATTTATCACTTTTAATCTCTGTTTTATAAATGATGGAGTAGTTATTAATTAAAATTAAAAACAAATATTGAAGCATTATTTTCTTGCATAACCCCCAACACACATGGATCTGAACATGCATTTTCACAAACATGATTTTCAGCCACCCTTCAAACCCACCCCCCTAGCCCCAACTTCACCACACATAGATCTATCCTGCTCACATGTACATATATTCCATATAGTGAAACATTGATAGGCCTAACCTCAATGATTTTGGTATTATGCAAAATGACCAACTTAATTGCAATGAATAGATCTACCTTTAATCAAATTTAAAGCCATTAAAAAATCAATACCCGGTAACTATCAGCACTTACACTCAAAACATTGCATTAAAAAAATAATAATAATACCAAGATTAGAGGTATATCAAGACATTACCACTGTAGAATATGAAACATAGATAAAGAGTGTTGAGGGGCAGGATACAGGCCAGGCAGGTCAAGTTGATTTGTAACAAGGTCGAAGAACTCCGACCTGTGATCACTCAAGACTGCTTATTTTGTTGCCTGAGCAATCATGTTGCTTATAGAACTTGCTTGCTCCTTAGCTGCCTCCACAAGTGAATCCTGCAATTATGTTCGGTGGTGGTAAATCAGCAGTGCATTATAATGGTTATTAATCAATCACATGTCGGCTTTGACTAGAGGTCATCATACCTGTGCAGCTATTAGGCGTGCAACAGTTTTCTTGCTGGATTCTTGAAGTTCACCGGCAATCAGAAGTTCATCCAATATATAATAGGCCTGAAATTGCATTGGGTACCGACAAACATTAAATACATCAACAACAACAAAAAAAAAACCGGGAATCATAAACTTTGGTAAAAGTCTCCTTGCATTCATAAAAGGAGGCACTCACAACCCAACACATACAAAGAGTTATATGAAAACGAGCAAATGAACATTGAATGGCCAAGAAAGAAAAAGAACATGTGAAAGAAGACATGTATGACATAATAATGAGCTGATGTTATAATAATTGATATATTCTTCCCTAGACCAATTCATTAATACAATAATGAAAACATTGATGTGATAAAAACCAGGAAAAAGGTCGTGCAAAACTCCACCACAAAGACATACATACTCTACCATAGTTTTCGATGATTTAACCTCAATTTAATGGGCTTGGATCAGAGTAATGCACTTATGCAAAGACTCTGCTTCAACTCTATAGAGACACAATAACAAAAGCGTGATTCCCTTGTAGTGTGCGACTCAAGTATGTTTGGCACATACTCAATGTCAAGCATAATAGTGTGTGCCCCTATTTTGCTCGTTAAGAAAATTGTGCTGTGAAACAAGGAAATACCATTGTATGTGCAGGCAGGTCAAGAAGAGCATCTTATGCAGCAAAGTTTTGATGAGAGTTGCAATGTTTAATTTTACATGCCCTTTCCATTACAGCCGATGCACACAGCTAACACACTAGAAATTAAACCACTGTACTTCGTAAATCACTCAGACAACATGCAATCAACTATCAAGTTCTTCTAGAGGATCAGATAGAGTTGGCAATTCTGATGTAGGAGAAAGAAGATAGAATTGATTGTAGAAAGTCCCTAGGCTTTTTGAAGGACTAGCGGCATATAGGCACGGTGATATCTATAGGAGAGCAAGCTAAAAGAACAATACTAAACTTTAACTTCCACTAAGAAACAACGCAACATAGTTTGGAATTAGTCCATTCATATCATCAAGGAGAAGTGAATATTCGATCAAGGGCAAAAAATGGAATGATACAGATTATGTTTGTTGCAATATAAAGAATTAATAAGTAGATTCAACAACTACATTAGACTTTCAAATGATTGGGACAACTAGATAGTAAATTGGTATTCCATTGAATGAAACACAACCAATATAAATCACCCAAAAAACTCCACTACATGTGTATGAAATAAGATTTTAATTTCTTTAACTCAACCTACAAATTGAGTTTGATGAACACCAAGTCAGGAGCCTGAATAAAAGTTCGTCATCAATATAACTAGAAGATGAGTTACAAGAATATGAGAACACTTTAGTAGCCCTGAAAAACCAAGAAATAACACACACTACACAACAGGAAAAAAAATAGTTGGGGAAGATAGCTTAATAGAAAAACATTGAGTGAGTGGCTGCAGAGATAATTTAAAATTTCTGTTAGTGCCTTAACGATAGTACAACACATCCCACAAATTTTGTTAGTCACGTTCAATGACAAGGCAACAATGTCAGTTGTTCATGCAATTAGTGTTCTATGCAGCAGCAAAATAGAACTGAATTCATGCAAGTCAGCAAGTTTGGGTGTCACTTTATATGTTGTTAACATAAACAACCCATGTAAGACACCTCTCTAAAAAGACATGAAGAGCAGATGAATGAAAAAAGAAAGAAAGATACCTTATGGAAATTAAAGATCAAATCCAGTTCACACACCTAATGACACAAAAGAAACATCTCAGTACGCAATAATCAAGTGAATTCATTATTAATATCATTAAATATTTGCTTCAATCTGAGGCCTCACACTTCCAAAGTAACGGTCTAGTATCTCAACATAGTGATGGATAATTTCAAGGACCTCCAACTCATTATCATCCTGGTCGATACACATGCAGAAATAAAGGCTAGCATACCTGTAGGATTATAAAAAAAAAAAAGTGAAAAGGAGTAACCAATACAGCATGTAAGAAGAGCAGGAAAACAGATTTAGTTGCATAGAAAATATCATTCGATTTTACCTAAAGAAAAACGCATACTACCTCTTGTAAGCAACTTTGAATCCCCTCCACTCCACAAAATTACATAACTTGGGGCCACGAGTGAGGATTAAACCACTAAGCTCTCGAATAACCTTTACCAAGTAATCACATCAAGAACACAAATGTAAGACTTATCAATAACAGTTATATAAACAAATGAACAACCAACAATAATAACTTATTTCTGAGTAGAACAAACTTCTTTTTTTACCTTTGTTCGTTCCTTCTGAGAATAAGGTGAGTACCATTTTGTCAACCTTACTTTTCCTTGTCTGCTAATGAGAAGAACAAAGTGAATCTGAAATAAAAACAACATTTGAATCCCTTATTAACTACATCTGAAAAATGAATATTCACCAAACCTTCTACACAAAAAAATTAATCATAAATCTTTGAGCAACTGAATCATTTGACAAACGTAGTTCTTAACCAAGTGCCTTGGAAATGGCCAAACTCTAGTACCATAATACAACAAAATGGTTCCGTTAGCAACTGAAAACCATCGTCAATGTCAAGCACACACATTAATGGACGCATATTGGCATTTCGAGACCTGCTAATGCAACACTAGCTGAAAACAATTCAAATCGCTTTCTTCTTTTTCATTCAGTTCGCGTAATTGTTTCCACCCATTCTACACATTCGGGTTCAAATGCAAACATCGAGCGACCGAATTGAAATGCAAAGCAACAAATTAAAGAAAGATCGGCAGAGGTAATCGCATTTCAAGCACAAAATAAATCGAATGAGTAGAGATTCAATCGATTCATATGGCTAACGTCGAGAAGAAAATCGAGAAGGGGACACCCATACATACATCAATCTAATCATACCACAGATAACTAAAAATCACGAACTCTGTCATGCGGATCCAGCAAAGATAAAACGGAGATGCATACCATGGCGGTGGTAGGTTTCTTCCGGCGGAGCTGCTGCGCGTTTGATGGCCGATCGAAATCTCAACTCGCCTCCTTCTCTAGCGTCAGCTTTGATCTCCGAACGCCTTAGTGACCGTGTTTTTCAGTATTTATTTAGTATTTTTTAATATTATTAATAATAATTTTTTTTTATTTAATAAAAAAATTAATAATATATAAAAAATTTAAGTTAAACATATTATTATAATTTTAAAATATATAAATTTGCCCAAGATCCTAATGCCCTGATAGCACCAACAATGGCTCAATAATATAAGGCCATCTTCTGTCTCTGTCCAAGCTTTGTCTCTCCTCTCCTCTCCTCTCCTCTGTCGATAAAATTGTAATACACTGACCTTCTTTTCGAATTAAAATTTCGATTAAGAATCGATGGGGGTGTGGTGAGGGACAATCCCAGCGCCTCGCTCACTTCTTCTCTCTCTTCTCCCAAACCCAGCATTGGCTCCTTCCTTCTCTTCTCCAAATCCAGTTTCATCACGTCGCAGATGCTCTCCTTTCTCTTCTTCCACAAATCCAGTTGTTCTCCTTCCTCTTCTTCCCCAAATCCAATTTCATCACCGCCGACGTCCTCCTTCCTCTTCTTCTCTAAGCATAGGGACTGCCGGCCTGCCTCCACCATCCTAGGGTTTGCGGGAGAAGGTTTGCTGATGAGGGAATTGGAATGAAGTTTGGTGATGAGGGAATTGACGAAGAAAGCCACTGTAAAAGAATTTTACGCCCATAGTGGAAAACATCATTCGACACGCTGGCTTCGGTTGACACATCGGCGGGAAGGGCTCAATTGAGGCAAGAGCCATTGTTTAGTGCTCTAAGACCTAATACATCATTTTACACCTCCACGCCACAGCAGCCGCAGCCGCAGCCGCACTAGCCAAGGCAGCCACCAGGTTCTTCCTTTCTTCTCAGATTCTTCTTCTTCTTCCTCTTTCTTCTTCTTTTTCTTCACCAATTCTTCTTCTTCTTCACCGATTCTTCTTCTCCTGCTCTGTTTAGACTTGCCCAAAACGGTTTTGGTTCGATCCGCTGACTACGATTACAAACCGAACCGTCGATTACGGCTTTGTTAAAATATCAAGCAGTTCAACCGGCCGATTATGATTACGAGCCATCTATTACGATTGGTTAAAATGTTGAGCCGAAATCGAACGACAATTTCGATTACGATTTGACAATTTCGATTACTATTTTCGATTTCGATTTAAAAACTGTCGGTTAAAATTTGAACAGCGGATTTATATATACTTATTTTTAATAATTTTTTTTTATTTTTTATTTTTCTAAAAATTTAATTTTTATTTAAAAATAATAAAATTTCATTTTAATTTTATTTAGATTAATAAATATAATAAATAATTAAATTATAAAAATATAATAGATAATAAAATAATTTAAATTATATATAATTATATAATAAAAAATTATAAAATATAAAATATAAAAAAATTATTAATAGTATTATTATTTTTTAATATTATTAATAATTATTTATATGTATTAATATTATTATTATTATATTTTAAATTTTAATTATAAATATAATAATATTATTATAAAATATGTAACCCTAATGTTTAATCACGCATTACATCCACAAGACGCCGCAAGGCCGCAGCCGCGCCTCAGCCCCTACAAACAGGTTCTCCCTCTTCCTTTCTTCTTCCTCAGTTCCTCTCATTTCTTTCTTTTTTTTCTTCCAACCTCGGACCTTCTCCTCCTTTCTTCTTCTTCTTTTTCTGTGCGCCTGCCTGCCCCTGCCATGGTGAGATAAAAAAATAAAATAAAATAAAACCGCCAGTTCAAACCGTAAACAGGCGGTTTGCGGTTTGAGAAAATTCCAAACCGAAATCGAACCGTCGAAAAGACGGTTTCGGTTCGGTTTGTGTCGGATTTCGATTCGAATCGTAACCGCCGGTTCATAAACCGTCGAACCGACGGTTCGAACCGACGGTTCGAAACCGAATGGGCAAGTCTCTGCTCTTGCGCGACGGACGGCCAGATTAAAAAAAATAATAATAAAAAAAAACAGTTATAGCCGAACCGCCTGATCACGGTTTGGAGAAACTACAAACCGAAACCGAACCGTCGGAACTCCGGTTTCGGTTCGATTTGCATCCGGTTTCGGTTCGAACCGTAACGCCGGTTCAGAAACTGTCGAACCGGCGGTTCAAAACCGAATGGGCAAGTCTGAATTTAGTTGTGACCTGCAGTAAGTCCTAGTCATTCTTTGGAATTTCAATATAGTCCACAGAAAGAAAAATTTTAAAATTGCTAATTCCATAACATATAAATAATAAAAAACAAATCAGCTTACGAATTACGCCGACGATTTTTCAGGGGATTCACCGGCGAGAAAGTTCCGATTGCCGTCATTAGCAGCGGAATAGTAGCTGGATGAGTAATGATTTCTCCTCATAAACTTATTGATTCAGTTCCTTTTGCTAATTTATCGGCCACTTATTAGCCTACGAACTGGGTGAATCTGCTTGCTTTTGTGTGCGCGACGGGATGGTTCGCTTTGAAATGTAGCATTAATTATCTGAAACTAGAAAATTAGTGGAAAATTAGCTACTTGTGTTTCACGGGGTCAAATTTTGATTGCAGAAATTTGTGTACTACTCGTTTGGATCTCTGGCTATTTTTTTATTGCGTTGAAATTGAGGTTAGTGGCTTCTAATTCACTGTTCTTATTTGATTGAGTTGATCTGTTGTTGATGGCAGGATGGGAGAGCTTAGGGTTGACAAACATGTTAAATACATTCTGTCTGTTGAAAAGGTGCCCTTTGTACTCGTCTCCTTCTGTTTATGTTACTGTATTTCCCCATTTTTAATTTGTTTTTCTTTATAGAATAAAACTTGTGTTGTGGACTAATAAGAATTAAAGCCTATGGTTGATGTCTGTCATAAGGGTCTAAATTAAGCAGCTTGGAACGTTTCTTCATTCGAACTTTGCTCTGTGTTGAAGTTCATCTCAAACATTTCTGTTTTCTTCAGTATAAACTTTTGTGATATTATTATTTCCCTAGGCAAGGACTAGGCACAACTCAAGAACTAAATTGTCAATTACAGTCTGTCTTATAGTCATGATTTGGATGTATTGCAGTTAGTAAGTTTATTAGAATCAGGCAGTGTTAGGGCTTTTTTGGCTCTTAATTATTAATAAAAAAGAGTTGCAATGCCTTTTCCTTTTCAGAAAAAGGATGACTTTGAGTCTGTTGTGATGGAGCACCTAAGACTAAATGGTGCATACTGGGGATTGACAACTCTTGATATCCTAGGAAAGCTTGATGTAGTGGATAGAGATGAAGTTATTCCATGGATCATGCAGTGCCAAGATGAATCTGGTCTGTATTCCTTATCAATTTTTACAGTAATCTAGCAATAGTGTACTCGGTGAAAGAAGGAACTTATTTCACTGTTTCATTTTTCTTCTTTGTTAACATATGCGCTAATTGTGTGTTGGATGTTGTCCCCACCCATGAGCATTCTGCTGATTTTGAGTAATATAGTTCTGATAAATTGCTTTAAACCCCTTTTGTTTTGTTCAACCAGGTGGGTTTGGTGGCAATATTGGACATGATCCCCATATCTTGTATACACTCAGTGCTATTCAGGTTTTGGCACTTTTTGACAAGATAGATGTTCTCAATGTCGAGAAGGTCGCAAATTGTATCTTTCAATTATAAATTTCATTCGTAAATGCCAATCTTGCGGTTGTTTGCAGTGGTTAACAGGAATGTCCAAAACCGTGCTTGAGAAAATTAGTTAACTGAGTTAATAATTTGTGTTTCATATTGCTAATAATGCACTGGTTTATATAAGTTGCATATGAAGATGCTTCCCACCTTAAAAGTTTCTCTTTAATGCTTATTAGAGAAAAAAAAAAAAAAGAGGCTAAAATTGCAGAATATAATATGTTGATTAACTTAACTGGCTACCTAGATATTGCCAGCCTACAAAATGAAGATGGATCTTTCTCCGGTGACATTTGGGGTGAGGTTGATACAAGGTATGCTTTTCCATTTATGCTTTTATTTTCTGTTCCCAATAGATTTATAATTGTTCCATATTTCAGCATATAAGCTTATTGTTCTTAATTTTTTTTCAGGTTTTCTTATATTGCTATATCTTCTCTTGCATTATTACGTCGCTTGGACAAAATAAATGTTGAGAAAGCTGTACAATACATTGTAAGCTGCAAGAATTTGGATGGTGGATTTGGTTGTACACCTGGAGCAGAATCCCATGCAGGACAAAGTATGTTTTATTTCTCCAGTTTCTAAGTTTAATTGCGTATTGTTACCGATTACCAGTAGTCAGCAGCTGATACAATTGTACTGGAAATCTTCCCCCTTATAATTTACAATCTGATATGCAGAGTAGTGCTAGATATCTCTTCTCCTGCATATACTAACAATCTAACGAAGAAAAAAGAAGAAAAGGAACACTTGTAGGTAAACTAGAAATGGGACTCGGGAAATAGACAGTATCGATATACGCTGTACATGCATTTTCTATATGTCCAAGCTCCCTGCTGTTATGTTAATCTATTCGTCGAATTTCATGTAAGCATTTATATTCACTGTTAAATTGAGGATTATGTAGTGTTATGCTTATAGGGTCAGTGTAGCTACGGAGTCTGCGCTGCTTAATAGTTCTATTTTACAAATTCCATGATCTCCCGTCATATTTAAGTTATTATTGGCTGTGAAGTTGGAGTTGTTTAAAACTCTTAAATATCAATATTGAGAATAACTAAGGAAATATAGGAATCAAATGCTATTGGATTAGTGCCAAATAGAACAATATCTATTGAACACACTGCATTTGAGAGCCGACAGTTTCTGTTGTTACATTACCATTGCAGTTTTTTGTTGTGTGGGAGCTCTTGCAATCACCGGTTCACTCCATCACGTTGACAAGGACCTCCTCGGGTGGTGGTTGTGCGAACGACAAGTCAAATCAGGAGGTCTTAACGGGCGCCCGGAGAAGCTTCCTGATGTAAGAAACTATTATCATGTGCAAGCTTAACTATCATGAAAAGAATAGAAAACCATAATAGCTGATCTTCCCAACTCCAGGTCTGCTACTCGTGGTGGGTTCTTTCCAGCTTAATCATGATCGACCGGGTTCACTGGATCAATAAGGAAAAACTTGTCAAGTTCATCTTGGATTGCCAGGTTATATTTACATTCCAAATCTACATTTTCAAAACCATGTTTAAATACTTACAACTTTTCGACAAACATTGGCGTGCAAATCTTTTAACAATGCAGGATTTGGAGAAAGGAGGAATCTCGGACAGGCCAGATGATGCAGTTGATGTCTTCCACACCTATTTTGGCGTAGCCGGTAACATTAAAAAGAAAAAAAGCACACTATTTTTCGACTATTTCCAGTCTTTTGTAATCGACACCATCCCTCTTTCGGCTGCAGGTCTCTCACTTCTCGAATATCCTGGATTGAAAGCTATTGATCCAGCTTATGCGCTGCCCGTCGATGTGGTGAATAGGATTTTCCTTGACAGGTGAAATTTTAGCTGCAGCTTATGAATTTGATTTATATTTTCTATGATATTTAAATTTGCTAAAAGTTTCAGTAGAAATTGATGGTATTTTGTGTTTGTCTTGGTGGGATTTTGGGTATATGATTATTGTTCACCAGAAAGATTATTATTGAATGCACAAATCCAAAACTTGATTCAAGATTATTGTTCAGCACTTTAGTGTTAGTTTAGTTTGAAATTGATTTCACTTTTTCGTTTAAATATTATTTTGATATAATATTTTACAGGAACAAATAATAATGTACTTCTATTGAATAAATATCATTGATTTTGGTTTCCAATGGTAAAAACAAACCCTCAAGTATGGTGTAGATTACTACTCCATTAATTAAGATAGTACAGTGCTCTGGGGATAGGGACAGAGACAGTGTTTCTTTAATAAAAAATTCTCAAATTACACAATTGAATATTTGGGATTTTTTTTTTTTAAATTTTTTCTCTCACAATTAATATATAATTAATAATTTTGTATTCTTTTAATTTTATTTGATATTCTTTTTGTCCAACTTATCATTTGGTTCTTTTATTTTCGTGCATCCTATTTATTTAGTCACTTTTTTTTTTAAAAAAAAATAATAATTATATATTTTAATCTATTTTAAATTTGTAATTTTTTTTAATTTTAATTAGACTAGTTGTTTTAATTTTAATTTATAATTATTTTATTATATGATATTAAATATATTAATATAATTTAGGATTTAAAATTCATTCGAATTTTTAATATACCAATGGAAGGCATTCGATTAAAATTTATAAAATATTTAATACAATCAATTCAAAAATTTTACAAAAAAGAAAGGAAGAAATCAAATTTCAATTTGATTCATATTTCAAATATTTTGATCACTCATCTTGGAAAGCTAATCTAATGGGCTTTTTTTTTGGTTTTTTTATGTTGATTTCAAAGTATTTTTTTTTTATGTTAATACCAAAGTATATTATACTTTTCACCTGCTAAATTTATATGCACTTTTTTTATAGCTATTATTAATTTTTGAAATATCAAATTAAAATTTATTGAACACTTATTTACAATAAATAATATTATTTATATTATATTTTTTGAACTTCTATAATTTTTTAATAAAATATTTAATTTTTTAATTCTCGTATCAAATTTAAATATTATATTCTAGAAATAATTTTGAATATATACCATATAAATTATATAAATATATATTATACTTTTTATAATATTAATGAAATTTTGTGTCGAAAAAAATTATTTGGAGTAACACCGAAAGAAGTGTATAAAATTTTGTTGACAAACGGAAAAGAAGAATAAATAAATAAATAGCATCCAATCAAATACAACCAAAACTGGTTTAGATTATCATATGTTAAAAGTAAAAATAAATAAATGGATGGGTATTTGATAGTGTTGTTTTAATTTTTAAGAAGAGAATTTGAAAATATTAAATTAAACACAAAGCCCGCAAATCGAAATCTGTATTGGCGGTGAACTGTGAAGTTGATTATCTTCATTAAAACGAACAAGAATATTCCATTTATATACAACCAAACCAAAGCCTTCAAATTTTTGCATCAAACTAAAAATGAGGCCTCAATACAGCAATCTATGATCTATCTACAACTGGAGATTCTTCGGCGAAGAAACTCAATTCTATAAAAGAATCACACTTAATGTTCTTATTCTGCGTAATATATATCTTTTGTTTTTTCCTTTTTAGGATATTACGCTTCCTGCCTAATTTTCTAGCTAAAAAACCTTACTGTGGATCATCAATCGAGAAGCACAGTACCTTCATTAATCGTTGTAAGCCTCATTTTGAAGGACAATCTCGCCAGTTTCGACCGTCGGGAAGCAAATCTATGCAACTTCCTCGTGGAACGAGATCGAGAATTTCCAGCCGTTGATCCTTTGCTAGCTTTTTCTACGTTGACGGTGATGGGTTGATTGGAACTCTGATCTTCCACATTCACCAAAACAGGGGAAATCCGAGCTTTACTTGTTCGCCGGCGACTCGAATTGGCGGCGTTGAGCGCGATGTCAGCCTTCACGACTAAGGCAGCCATATCGGAGGCTACTAGCCGATGCTTAAGCTTCGAAGCCGGGAGGAGAAAGTAGATCTGCGCCGGTTCCAATTCGGCGTCCAAATCCAGCGACGGAATGAAATCGTCGAAATCCAAACCGTCGGAGCTGCAAACGAAGAAGGAATCCGGCGAACATCCTTCGTAGTCCAACACCTGCGACACCGTCGCCGGAATCGGATACTGCCGCAGCTCTCCGGCGAGCGTCACCAAATTTGCGCACTGTTTTTGGTGATTCGAACTGGTACTGCAATCGGTTTGAGAGGAGAAACATCCACCCATCTTATCGAGCAAAATCCGTCCGTCGTCGGAGAAAATCTGTTGAATCGGCGCCGCGTGTGAACTGATTGATTGAATTCGTCGGAGAATTAAGAAATTGAGGAAGAAGAAGGTTCTGGAGATCACGTGGTAAAGGGGGAGTGAGGGGTAAGGCGGTGGGGGTAGGGGTATTTATAGGCGCGTACGAAATATGAGCGCGGCGGCTTCCTTGCATTGGGGCTCCGCTACGCGCTGACGTCTGAGCTGTCAGATGACGTCATGGATGAGTCACTTCCTTCTCACGCAAGTTCTTCTTTGCTGCTGTGCCTGTCGCTATTATTGTTACTATTATTAACTGTACTGTAATTATTTAATTTGTGAGTGTTTACCGGTTAATAATTTTGAGTATACTGAGAATAATAATAATAATAATAATAATAAAAGTATAGTGTTAATCTATAAAAATAAAACTTTTATTTAGGTCAAAATAAATAATAAATAATAATAATAATAAAAGTATAAGTTAATCTAAACCGTAATCAAGCATCCCTTTAGTTAAAATGCGCGGCAATGTGTCTGCATGTAATATATAATTAGTCTAATATGATTTATTTTATTAAATATATTTAGTTAAATAATTTTTATATCATTAATAAATAAATAATGTAATGTAGCCTGTTGTGTCTTTCTTAGCGATTCGACACAACGGTGATGTGAGGAATGAGAGGTTTCTTCTTTGACATTTCCGTCGCAATCCAAAAGAATGTGTGCGACCTTGACCGTTGACTATTCTTATGTTCTTTTTCTAATTCCTGTTTGGACCCCCAATTATTCGTATTTTCATTTCACTCCAAAGTCGTCTATAGTGCGGTTTGTTTTGTATCTCATATGGTTTTGTTTACTTTTCTTTCTTCATTTTAGCTTTTTTCGAAAAAAAAGCTTGCATTTTCTAATTTTGTTATTTTCAAAATTAAAGAATAATTGATGTTAATATTCTTTTAATTTAGAATTATTAATTGACCGCAAGGAAGTTATCATAGCAATTAAGAGAAAATTGCAAATAATATATTTTATTATTATTTTTGTCCTATATTTATTTTGTTGGGAAAATATATTATAGATGTTTGTAAAAGTCGTTATTTCTATCGTTTAGTTGTACGTGGTGAACGTCACTCGTAGTCAAAGAACACGCATAGCGACTTTTGCAAATATTTTTATCTAAATACATAACAAAATTAATAATAGAATATACATGTGAAATATTTTTTACAATTTTATCTAAAAATTCAGTTGTCTAAAACCGGTCTAATTGCCAAAGTCTTGGATTCGATTTCGGATTGGTGCATGTACATTGTGAGTGTATGGTAAAAAAATAATAATAAAAACAATTATATATATATATAACAAAATACAGTCCAATCGCCCACTGCATTGTTATTATTAGCAGTACTAAGCCAACTCCTTAATTTAACATGTGCCTAAAACTTTATAGATTGTATAATATAATATATACTATTTTTTAAATTCTTTTATAGATTGTGCTCTAGGGTGTGTTTGTTTGGGGAATTGGATTAAAATTCTACTATTCATCCTATTTTTTTCCCAAAATAATATCAAATCAAAAAACTATTTTTTATTTTTTATATTATACTAAAAATCAATTTTACATTCAAAACATCACATCAACACCTATTTGTATCACATCATACAACTATTTAAATTCAAAATTTTTACTATTCAAATCCCAATTCAAAATTCAAATTCCCAAACAAACACACCGGTCTCTCCTAATTTTATAATACTAATAAAAAGTATTTTATTCAGATAAATGACAATGAAATTTGTTCTGCAGTCTTTTATCTCTACTTTTGTATTTTTATATTTTATATTGAAATTTTATTTCAGACACATATTTATTTATTTTGAACATAGTTATTTAGATAATATAAAATAATATTTAAATCTTATATTATTAGTTTGTATATATATAGTATTATTAGTATTTTAAAATATAAATTGATATATATAATTAAAATATTAAAATATATGTTTAAATAATTGTTAGGGTGTGTTAGTTTGGGGGATTGGATTTTAGATTTAGATTTTTGAAAATTTTGAAGTATGGATTTTTAAGTAGTGTTTGTTTGGAAGTTTGAATTTTGTAATGATTATGGTGAAAAAAATTATTATTTTATTGAAAAAATAATAAATTGATGTGATAGTTTGAAATGAATGGTATTTAATATTGTTAAAGAAATTATAAATAATAATGAAAGTGACGTTTGATTTGATATTTATTAATTAAATTTAAATTTAATTTCTAGAAATTTTTGTTTTCTTTTATATTTTTGGATGATGTAAGTTCTTGCAAATTTGTATTATTTATTCAATTTTTTTTTCTAAAATTATCAAATTAAACATTTTTTTTATATATCATGCTAAAAATTAATTTTACATTCAAAGCATCGTGTCAACTCTGATTTATATCGCATTGTAATACTCCCTCCGTCTCAATACAATAGTCTTGTTTATCATTTTTGTCCATCCCAAAACAATAGTCTCATTTCCATAAATAATCATATCACCATAAAATTATCCTATTTTTTTTTTATTATTATTACACAATTGTCACTACTTTTTACTTATATTTACTTTTTACCAACTACGTGCCCAACACAACAAGACTTTATTTTTGGGACGGATGAAATACTATTTTTCAATTCATTTTTTTTAATATTTCAACCCCAAACACACACAACACTATTTTTTTATTCTGCGATGGGATGCGCTGATAATTTCTGAAAAGACAGACTGTTATGGAAGGGAAGTGGACTGCAGAAAGGAACTAGACTCTAGGGTAGAGATTAATCGGATTTTGAGGAGAATTGAGTGTACAGTGTCTATATACAGTAAAATTAGACCAAAATTGCCTAAACGAACACACCCTTACTGTTATATATTAATTAAATATATATAATATAGATGCTGTATTATTAATAATATATTTTTATGTAAGATAAATAAATAAAAAATATATATATTTATTTGTTTATAATTAATTAAAAATTAGTTTTATAAAAAAAATAAATATAGATAAAAATATTTATTTATTAATGAAAGATAAAAATAAAATTGAATAAATTGATTAAGGGTGTGTTTGTTTGAAGGATTTTGGTGGATTTCCACTATTCATCCAATTTTTTTCCCCCAAAAACATCAAATCAAACACCTATTTTTCATTTTTTATATTATACTAAAAATCAATTTTACATTCAAAACATCACATCAAACCCTATTTATATCACATCATACAACTATTCAAATTCAAAATTTTTACTATTCAAATCCCAACTCAAAATCCAAACCCCCAAACAAACACACCCTAACAAGAGAAACAAGTCATTTGTTTTAAACCAGATTAAAAATATAAATATATATATTTATGTGATATTTTAAATATAAAAGTAAATTTTAATAAAATATAATAAATAAAAAATATATATTTTATTTTATATTTTTTTATGAAAAATAAAATAAAATAGTAAAACTATGATAATTAATAACACAACTAGCTTATGAAAACACATCCAATCAAATATGAGCTTCTATGTACCCATCATGTGTCTCTTCACACGAGTTTCGCTATCAACTTCCTATTGTGTATTTTTTAATGAATATTTATTTAAATTTAAATATTATAAATATATAAAAATATATCCCATCCGTTATTCAAGTCTATGCTCACTTTGTTTTAGGGTTGTCATAAAAAAATATTCTCGTTTCTTTTTTAAGTAAAAAATTATTACACTTTTATACTTTTTTTTTACTATAAAAGGAAAAAAACAATTATTACTCACTTTTATTAAAACCCGTGCCCGGCCAAATGATGCATAACGGAGGGAGTACTATATTATTTGAAACGTTGTATTCGATGTTATTCAAGATGAAATTTTCAAAACAACTTCAAATATTAGCATATACTCCGCTGGTCTCAAAACACAAAAACAATTGTCTCATTTTTATTTTTGATAACTAATTTTTTACAAAATCATCTCCACCTTGTTACATAAAGTATTGGTATTTTGGTATTTAAAAATATTTTTACATCTACTGTCAGTCAATATAATACTATTATTTTTTAATTTTTGTGTTCATCTCAAATGTCCTTCTGTTTTGAAACGAATAAAGTAATTATTTTATATTTTGATATTAATAGGCATATATCTTTGAAATAATAAATATTTTAAAATTAAAGTAAATTAATATGTATTTTCAGTATAATATAATGATTAAAAATACAATTAATAATGATGAATTAATGATTGAAATCACATCTGAAATTATTCAAAGAGACAAATTATTGTGGCAAGCTTGGTCCTTAAGCATGTGGGCCAAGTTTGGGTGACTTTTATTCATTTATTTATATCTAAGACCCTATATTTTACTTGAAATATCGTATTAAAATATTTATTTAATATAAAATTTTACTATATTTGATATTTAATATAAAATTTTACTATATTTGATTTTAAATAAACGATAGACAGACGTGTTTGACAATTAGTTGATAGCCGTTAGCTGATTCAATTAGTTGTTTGTATTAAAATATTTGGTAAAATAACTGTTTGATATTAACTGTTTATACGTAAAATGACAATTGAAGATATTTATATTCTATGTGTTCTTTTGAGTTTAGACTATTTGAAATTTTTTGTTATTAGTTATTGAAAATTGTAAAAGTGTTATAAAATAATATTTATTTTTATTATAGTTAGATTTCAAAAATAATATTTTTTATTGAAAAATATAAATAGTTTTTCTTATTGAAAATGATGTAAAATATAAAATAATAATTTTTCGTGTATATATTTATTAGCAGAGGCGGATGTATGTGCAGCCCCCCTCCCCTCCACCCCTTATCATTTTTTATTTTTTGTTTTTATTTTATAATATATAATATAAAAAACAATAAAAAATTTAAAAATTGCTAAAAATTGATAGAATATTTATGTGAAAATTTAATTTTGAATAATAAAAAGATTATATCATAATAATTTTATGATGCTATAAATATAGATATGAACAAAAAAGTAAGAAATAATAATTAAAAAAAAAAAGAAAAATCTTCAAAAAATTCTCAACCAAATGCATAGGAGATGATATTTTTAAAAGTTAGTATTTTTTACTATTTATCAATTTCATTTAATACAAAATTCATATTGTAATATGTAGTTGTTATGTAAGTTGATATTTTGAAATATGATAACTCTATTGATGAAATTATTGGATAACAAATAGATTTTGATCGTTTTCGAAATTTGAAAAATTAGCCCCCCTCTCTCAACCCAGTCTGATTCCGCCTCTGTTTATTAGTGATGTGTGGAACAATTCAAAATTTTAAAAATAATGTAAAGTATTTTAGTTTGATTTTTTAAATATATATATTTTTTATGTGTTTGTATTAATATATTGTATGTTGAAATTATTTGTGGACTATGTAATGTACTATCAATATATTTGTTATATTTATATTATATTAATATATATTTTGTATGATTGATTAATACCTTAGTAAATGTATATTTTATACTCTCTCCGTCTAGTTAGAAAGTATACATATTTCTATTTTGGGACGTCCAATTACAATGTAACCATTTCATTAAATACCTCATTTTTTCCGCAAATACCCTTACTTTACATCACATCGTAAGGGCAAAAATATCATTTTACTACTTTTACTTACCCACTATAATTAAAATATTATTATTCTTTAATCTCCGCGCCAAAAGTAATTGTATACTTTTAGCTTTGACGGAGGGAGTATATTGCAAGTATTTATAATGACTAATTGTAAATAAAAATCAACATATCATTACAAAGTGTTTCCTTCGTTCATAAAATAGTCTGAAATTGATTTTTTTTTATTTAAATAATATTTTATACAAAAAATAATATATATATTTTTTTAATAAAAACCATATAGACTAAATAGTACAAGTATTAATTTGAACTACAAATCAATGAATTTATTGCTTTTGATGAAAAATTTTGCATTCATTAAAATTAATAAAAAAACAAGAGTAACATGTATAAGCATTATGAGTTTGTAAGTATATGTATAGAATGATCGAATATAGTACAAATTAAAGGAAAACCTTTTCTCCGCTTCCTACAACATAACAACCCATCAATTTTGCAAATTATCTTTCATCGATACTTAATCGGCAATCATTGATATATTTCTATAGTGTTATATATTATTATTATTATTATTATTATTATTTTTATAGAAAATATCATGTTAAACCATTGTTATACAAATTTAGAACTGAAATTATTTAAAAACTTGAAAATATAGTGAATTTGTAAATATGGTAAGTTTTTTTTTTTTAAAAAAATATGGTAAGTTATAAAATAAAAATAAAAAACTGAAAATATTTAAGAATTTGAAAATATAGTAAATTTGTAAATATGGTAAGTTTTAATATAAAAATAAAAAAACTGAAAATATTTAATAATATAGTAAATATGGTAACTTTTAATATAAAAATAAAAAACTGAAAATATTTAATAATTTGAAAATATAGTAAATTTGTAAATATGGTAAGTTTTAATATAAAAATAAAAAACTGAAAATATTTAATAATTTGAAAATATAGTAAATATGGTAAGTTTGTTTTAAATATGGTAAGTTTTATATAAAAATAAAAATCTGAAAATATTTAATAATTTGTAAACTAAAAAGAATTAATTAATTAATTAAAATTCCTTTTTTTTCCTAACGGTCATTTGGTACAATATATATATATTTGTAAAATGAAAAGAATTAATTAATTAATTAAAATTCCTTTTTATTTCCTAACGGTCATTTGTTACACTATATATATATATGTATAAAGATATCATACATACAAATGCAAGAACCAAACACACCCACAATTTCTCTCTCTCTCGGTTGGAGTCTTGGAGAAAGGTTTTGGCCATTTCCGAAAGCATTCAGATTTTGAGGGTGTGAAGGATCGGAAGGTTGTTCTATATCAATGGCTTCAATGATCAGTCTCTTCTCTTCTCTAAAGCACAAGGTTAGTTCGGTTCTTGATTTCTCTTCTCTTCTAGGGTTTTTTTAATTTCCGATTGAATTCTTGTTTATTGATTATGAATAAACCAATCAAGATCAATAATAAATTCATCAAGCCATCTCACAGTTCGATCAACCGAGGCTCTGTTTCTCTTTTCAGAAACCCATGCAGGGACTTCATCTGCCAATGTGGACCATATATCCGGCTTCATCGATGAAATCATTTCCATATACTGCTTTGGTTTCATCTGTCAAAATCCCATCCGTCAAGAAAATTGAACATAGCAGCACTGAACAACACTACCACAAGATTGAGTGAAAAAACACTTTGATACATAAGTTTTTTACCAGCAGTCGACCACAAGGAGTCTCGAAAGAAGCTCCCAGCCTGTTAGCGCTCTGGTAATCCGGCAAGGATATAATTGAATCCCTCGGGACGGCCACAAACACATGATCTTTCAAACCAAGCATCTGATGCAGCCCTCCCAATTCGGATATCGTTTTCATAGAGATTCCTCCTGCGCTGCAAAACGCATCGAAAACAAGGGAAACAATCGACACTAACTACAATTCAAATTCTGTCCAATTCCTCGATCATACACCATCACGAATACCTAATCCGCAATCCGGAAACGTCGCGCCACAGCTAAATAGAACATAAGTAAACAAAATCAAAGAAAAAACAGAAAGAAGAAGATGATTAAAGTGACGCACAAGTGAAGAGGACTAAATTGGAGGAGGCGAGAGTCCGGCGACGGGAGAGTAGACAGCAGGTCAGGGGAAATGAAGGAAGGCAAACCCTTGCGTGTAGTGAGGAGGAGAGCTGGAGTTTCCAAACAACAGCTGCCGCCGACCTGCAGTACCCCCGCCCGAGCTCCGCCCTTGCTCCATGCCTTCACGCTGAATCTCATCGCCTTCACCGCCGTCTCCGCCGCCTCCAGCCTGTACGGTTACCGAGGTCCCAGCCTGCGGATTCGTGCCCTTCGTAAAATTAGGGCTTACGAATTTAAATGAAGCTATAATATAATTATTTATATTATAGGGGTGTAATTAGTAGATAATTAAAAATATATTAGTAAAAATAATTATTTTATAATATAAATAATTATATATATTAAGATAACTAATTAATTTAATTAAAATTTAAAAAAAAATAAAATTAAAATGTTTAAAATGAAATTAAAGTGTGTAATTATTTTAAAAAAAATAAAGTGGCATGGTATGTAGTACGGAGAGAGTATTATTTTTAATATGAAATATTTTGATTTTTTTTAAAAAAAAATTATAGTTTTATTTTTTTTTATATTTTATAAGTAAAAACAATTATAAAACTATTATTCCAAATAAAAATTAAAGGGGAGGAGGATTAGAAATTTTACATTAAAATTGTATTATTTGAATGCAATATTTATCTTCTCAATTAATATATTTTATTTTCTCTTACAAATAAAACTATTGCAGATAAACCCAGGGGCGTTGTTGGTATGCGTAGTCGAATGTGTTTTTTTAAGTATTGCAACCTGTTACTTAAATGAATATGTACTTTTTATTACTTTTTTAGTTTTATACTAAAAAAATTGTACAAAAAGAGAATATGATTTCTAGTATTCATGTGGATGTATGTGTGAACATTAATTTTTTGTCAATTATTTGTTGAACATATTTTCATAAGGCAAATTAATCAAATTTTATTTAAAACGTTTAAAATAGTTGTCATGTTGTACTTGATAATTTTCTCATGGGCATTTTTTTTTCTTCCCCTGAGTTATGAACAGATTGTTTGCGAGCTGGTACTAAGTAGTCTTAGTTTAAAGAAATTGATGAACTGTATTTTGTAATAATAATGTTTTGGACAATTTCATAATAACAAAGACTAGTATGAGCATGATTTGTGTTTTTTTTTACTTAAATATTTTACTTTCAAGAGGTATATATAAAAGTATTTAGAAATGACTTCTCTGATGCACCATTGCAGTTCCATACAAAGTAATTGCTGGAAAAAAGTTTCAGCTGGATTTAAAGAAGAAGGCTTCAGCATATATATATTCATCATTTGCTTCACCCCGTTTTCTCCCTCCCTTTGCAGCCAAACCGAAAATGATGGGATTGGGATGGCTCGTCCGATCTGCAGGAAGTGAAATGAAACATAAATGATATCGACATATCTATCCCGTTTACATTTTTTAGAATTATGGGGCGAATGCTGAGCTGGAGGCATAAAAGATTAATATTTAGATACATCTAACTGATCATGAAGTCAAGGTGCAAGAAATAGAAGCTCACATAATCCTTTGAAATGCTTTGACATTTTCTTGCAGAGTTTGCTTATCTTCGTTGTCTCCAGCATAGAAGTTGTAGTACATCTTTGGAATGCAACCTTAGCAAGTTCTTGGAACTAACTTACATTTACAGGTTCATCAGCCATTAATAAGCACCAACTATCAAACAAATGATTCAATAGCCAGCGAGATTTGCTGGATCATAAATCTGAAATTGAAAAAAAAAAAAAAGTGATCACTTGGCTCGGTGGACATTAAAGGTTAGAAGTATTTCTATATAACAGAAACGAAGAAATTATCTCAAGATAGATATAGATATATATGTGGCTAATATTTATACTTACATAATTAGAGATAGCATACCGTATCGTACCGTATTGTATCGAATATTTCGATATGGTGAAAGTACGTACTACCGGTATGTACCGCTTATACCGAAAATTTTGATTTCGATACGATACCCGTATATACCGAAAATATAATAAAAAAATTAATAAATATCACTATTCTTCACCAAAAAATATTATGAAAAAATTAATAAATTTTTAATGGTCTATAATTTTTTTTGTTATGATTTTTTTAAAAAATAATATGGGTACAATATCATAGCCGGGGGAGTTATTTTTTTTTTTGTTTTTTTATGTAAAGGTCAATTAACGAGAAATGTTCCTATCTCTCTCAGTTCAGATCAGAGCACCAGCATTGACGCTGACAACCTCTAAACTTAGATAAGCCACAGGTGCCTGGGAATCAACATCTGGATTAATAATATTGATAATTTTATAATAAATTTAATATATAAAATTAAAAAAATTAAAATGTATATTTAAATAATTTAAAAATTATATCGTAATGTATCTATGAGTATAGAGTATTGTTTAGCAACGCATTTTCACAATCCATGCGATTGATCCTTGCGGAAGCTGAATTCGTTTCTTCCCATCGCATCCGGTGATCTGGTGCATCTGTGAGGTTGATTTTGATTCTTCATCCAATTTTTCTTTTGTGAGTTTCTGTTGCGGCATTGATTAACATGGATGAAGAGTACGATGTGATAGTGCTGGGGACGGGCCTCAAGGAATGCATTCTCAGCGGTCTTCTATCTGTCGATGGCTTAAAGGTTTCCCTCTTTCGTTGGATTCACGCGATTGTTATGATTGTTGATGATTTGTTTAGCCATTCGTTGCTTTCACCTTTTTTCTGCGTTGTGTGATGGCATGTATTGCAATGTTTGTGAATCATGGGATTTGTGGCTATTGAGGATGGGTTTCTTCGTTGTTTTTGAGAATGGATCGTGCATTTTGCCCTATTTTTTGTGGAAATGGTGCAATTTTGGTATTGATAACCAACTTTGTTGCGTCTACATTGAGAAATGTTTAAGTATTGGAGACGACATTGATACAATCCTTTGTAGGACTGCCCCCAATTATGAACTTGCAAAGGATCCGTTTGTTTTTTCCTACTGCTTCATCTTAATTACGATTGACTGTGAAACATATGGATTTAAACATGTATCCTTATTATTTCCTTTATCAAGCAAGGTGTTTGTGGTGTGATTCAAAATATGTTTTGTTCTGGAAAATGTGTTCTCTGTGGTAAAATGTGCAATTTAGTTTTTACCATCAGTATGCGTCGTGCTTGAATAGAAATAGATTCTTTTGTTCGGTGTGACATAGAATTCAATATATATATACAAAAAATATAAATTAATAATTTAAAAGTATGATAATCAATAAAATAAAGTCTGCTGGAAATACACTTGGGAGACAAGTTTGTGTTTTTTTTTTTTTTTTTTTTTTTTTTTCTGTAGCAACTCCAATTCTTTCTATTTCTAGCAAAATTAGGAGAGAATTGAAATAGAGAATGAAAAATAATTTATTTCTCAATTTTAAATTTCCGGGTGGATATAATTTATTTCTCAATCCTAAATTCTCAGGTCAAAACAAACAAGAAAATTGTCAATATGTTTATTTCCATTTCCCCAACTCTCTGTGTGTACCAAACTCACCCTTAGTATCATCCTCGGACCTGTGTGGAGCTTGAGACGGTGAAGGATGATTATAAATTTAGCTGATTGTTCATCAGTGTCATCTTATGCATAGACACATTGTTTTCTATCATATGAATATTGAATCCCTTTATTTCAATGTAAAACACTGATTTGCACGACCACGCCTAATTTGCTGTTGAGTGAGCTTGACATTGTTGAAACAGGTTTTGCACATGGATCAGAACGACTATTATGGTGGTGAATCAACTTCACTTAATCTCATCCAGGTATTGCGTCTGTTGAGTTTTATTGTAGTAGTGATTGAATGTAGCAGGTTCAAACATGCTCACATGATGGATTGATGCATATGCAATGACCCTTGTATGTTATTCATCTCTTTCTATCATCAGCTGTGGAAGAGGTTTAGAGGAAGCGACAAGCCCCCGGAACAATTGGGTGCCAGTAGAGATTATAACGTTGACATGATCCCTAAGGTTTTGGTTATTCATAATCTGTTTATATCTTTTTGGGACCTACATTCTTAATATGTATTATTGATTGATAACACCACATTCATTCTTCAGTTTATCATGGCAAACGGTGCCCTTGTGCGCGTCCTCATTCATACCAGTGTTACTAAATACTTATCTTTTAAAGCTGTTGATGGAAGTCATGTTTACAACAAAGGAAAGGTATCTCATTTTTTTTTGTTCTACATTGTTTTCTTTAGGAATTTCCTACATGTTTCGCGAACTATACAAAAGATATTGATGCACTCTTGAAACAGGTTCACAAGGTACCTGCAACTGACATGGAGGCTCTGAAATCTCCTCTAATGGGTATCTTTGAAAAGCGACGTGCCCGCAAATTTTTTGTTTATGTCCAAGAGTACAATGAAAATAATCCCAAAACACATGAAGGGATGGATCTGACAAAAGTCACGACTAAGAAGCTCATTGCGTATGTCTGTGAGCCTTTCACTTTTCGATTTCAGCACTGAAATAATTTTCTTGTAAAATACTTTCTTCTTACCTAATGCATTATGTTCTAATTTTACCTGTCAATTTAGTGTGCAGCTTTCGAGTTATTAGAACAACGGAGATTAGCATATGCTAATATACATTTGTTAATACTTGATTGACTTTTGTTATAGATTATTTTTTTCCTTATCCAGCACAATGGATGAAAATGAAAGCCTCGGTAATGCTATTCTAACATCATGTTAGGGAATTGAACTTGATTGATTGATTTATCAGATCTTCTTAATTAATAAATGCGAAATCCTTGTGCATTCCCACATGTATCGTTGTCTTGGTATGCCATCTTCTCCCGACGAAGTTTTGAATTATTATCTGTTTTATCTTCTTTAACTTTCAACTTTCTGATTTGCATAAATCCTCATTTTTAACATCTGACAGAAAATATGGTCTTGATGACAACACTGTGGATTTTATTGGCCATGCATTAGCTCTCTATAGTGATGATCGTTACTTGGATGAACCAGCAATAGATACTGTGAAAAGGATGAAGGTAATCAATCCAATTTGCCTCTCAAAGCGAGAATTTACGTCTAGTATTCCTTTCTTAACCATTGAATTTTATTTATGACAGTGAAGCTTGACTCTTGAAATGTACATATATAGTTGTGTTATTTTACAACTACGGCGCTTGACTTCGCTAAAGTCACACGCTTCACCTAAGTGCATGGAACACTTTTCTCTTATGATGTGGTTATTACATGCTCATTTTTAATCCAACAAGTCTTAATTTCTTATACCTTATGAAATTTCTTCCCATCAAATCCATTGTTCTCTCATTCCATTTTCGGATATTTCTTCACTATAAGATTACTTGATATGTTATTTATCCTATAAAGTGTCTTTGTATGTTGTTGTGAAGATTTCAGTGCTGTTATGTTTTCTTTATGTACTTATTCATTTGCGGCACACCGTGCGCACATGTCATTGCTGCAGAAAATATTGTCAAGCTACAAGATGCACTTTGACACGCTGCACTAATGTTCCATTCTGAAATCCTTTTTCCATTTTCTTTTTTTGGGTAGCTCTATGCCGAGTCTCTGATACGTTTTGCTGGAGGATCGCCTTACATTTACCCTTTGTATGGCCTTGGAGAGCTTCCCCAGGTCTGCCACTTTCATAGTTTACATATGCCTGTCTTCGTATATTTTGTTTGATGTATTTTGTCCTCACATATTCATCAGCTCTTCAATCTCTTAGTGTTAGTTTGTAAGTATATTATGAACTTCAGTTTCAATCAATGAGTATTTTAGTAATGTTACCAGGCATTTGCTCGTCTGAGTGCTGTATATGGTGGCACCTACATGTTGAACAAACCCGAATGCAAGGTATTAAATCTTTTCCTTCTTCTCTTCCTGCAACCTTGAAAAGAAGACAAGTTAGTTTATAATAGGGAGTGAGAAGAAGGGGGAGTTTGCTTATGTTTTGAGTGCTTTAATTCTTTTTTTTTTAATCACTTTCTGTAGATGAGAATGATGTCTCACAAGTTGAATTGGTATTATATAAAGCTTCTTTCCAATTTTGTGATAACTTCAGAAAATATGTAGTGTCGTGAAAATAAAGTTCATTGGGTCCCTTAGACATAAACTTTTGGAATTTTGAAAAAAATTGAGAATAGTAAATTTGATGGAATGCTTTAAAATTTTTTATAGTTGATGAATAGTGTCAAAACTTCTATTTTGAAAATAATATTTTAGATGTATATATATATATATATATTTGCCGTAAAATGCGTAGTACCTTGAAAAAACTTGAGAATCTCTTAAGTGGTTTCATTACTCCCAAACCAAAATGTGACTTTTGCAAAATGTGGACAAGCCAGAAAAAAATTCAGTTACATATTTCTTTCCAAAGGATTCACTTTCATCTATGCTGTTGTTGATATTGATAAAGGCAACTGTTACTTGAGCATTTTGATGTTATTCTTTTACATTGTATTCTTATTGATTGCGGAAGATCCTTATTTTATCTTGATGTTGTGTTCCGGCAATTAGCAAATTAGATATGATGTTACACTGTTTTATGTGTCGCAAATCATTCAAATATCAGGTAGAGTTTGACGGGGATGGCAAGGCCTGTGGTGTTACATCAGAAGGTGAAACAGCTAAGTGCAAGAAAGTAGTATGTGATCCTTCCTATCTTCCTGGAAAGGTATTATCATTATGACTTCAATACACATATATGGACCTCGCCGATGCTTGTTCTAGTCACTGCCGTCTTTTCTACTCCATTTATCATTTTGGAACATTAAACTCTATACTCTAATCAGATCACTCACCATGATGAACGATAACTCTGTGGATACTCTAGGTTAGGAAGGTCGGAAAAGTTGCGCGCGCCATTGCTATAATGAGCCACCCGATCCCGCACACCAATGATTCTCATTCAGTGCAAGTCATTTTACCTCAGAAGCAGTTGGGTCGTAAATCAGACATGTGAGCACCTAAATTCACCCTCCGAAATATATGCTTAAATATTTAGATACGATTTTTAATAAAAATGAACAATAATTGTTACTCTAAAAAAGGAAAAATTTCCGTGGGAGATGAAACGAAAATATTTTTATGATAATCAAAATGAAAAATGAACATAAATTAGACGATGGGGAAGGAGTACTAATTCAAGTACACACCGGCCATCAGCCGATTGTTGTATAAGGCAGTCGCATCTGGATTTAGTTCGACGAAGTTTTTTGTTTGCTGTTCAGTGTATTTATTTTCTTTGCGACAAATCATTCTATTACATATTAATGTGATTGATTGGTACTGCAGGTATTTATTCTGCTGCTCCTACTCTCACAATGTTGCGCCGAAGGGGAAATACATTGCATTTGTCTCGACTGAAGCAGAAACTGATAATGCTGAGACTGAACTGAAGCCGGGCATCGATCTTCTTGGACCTGTGGACGAGATTTTCTTTGAGACATACGACAGATATGAGCCGACCAACGAACCATCGCAGGATAATTGTTTCATATCAACTGTGAGTTCTTGACTATATTATCGCTTACACTCTCCCTAATAATGTATACGCTCACCGAGCTTTACATTACATTGCAGAGCTATGATGCCACAACACACTTTGAATCCACCGTCGTGGATGTGCTGCATATGTATACGCAGATCACCGGGAAGGTGAGGACTCAAATTCATCTAAAAAATAATATTCTTCCATGCATCATTTTTACAACCCGAGACTCGCCTAGAATTGAAAAAAAAATACACTTTTTTCGCTGCTTAGTCGTGATCTTTCTTGAATTTGCATCAGGTTCTTGATCTTAATGTCGATCTGAGTGCTGCCAGCGCTGCCGAAGAATGAGTGTCCTGTCCCGATGTGTGCTTAGGACATTTATCCGGTACAAGATTGCTCGTGATTTGAATATATTAATGTTTCCTTTTTCTATTTCAGCTCGTTTATCTTTGTTTCATTGATACTTAAACTTTAGCCGGTTGGGTTTTGGCTCGTATTATAAGTTGAAATTTACATGAACAGTTAGTTGATTATGCATTTTCACCTAGAGGCTAGATGTATTGTTTGCTTAAATTTTAATAGTTGACTTGTTGTCAAGCAAATTTTACGTAACTTGAATTTGAAGTATGCAGCCAAGAATTGGATTGAAGTTTATTTATCCTATTGTTTGGAGGATTGAATTTTAAATACACTATTTATCCTATTTTTTTTCAAAAATATCAAATCAAATATCTATTTTTTATTTTTATTATTATTTTTTTTATATTATACTAAAAATTAATTTTACATTCAAAATATCACATCAATACCTATTTATATCACATCAAACAACCATTCAAATTCAAATCTTTTACTATATTTCTCAATTCAAAATCCAAACATCCAATCAAAGGCACCTTTAATTGGTAAGGCCTAGGCCGACATCACTAGTGTCTTTTGTAAAATAACATATCATATTTAATATATAAAATATAATATTATTTTTTTATAAAATATTAATTAATAATTATTTTATTTAAAATGTAAAGAAATATATTGAGTTTATTCATTCTAAAAAAACATATTATCTTCAATAAAAATATAGTATTACATTATTTTAAAATAATCTCTCTCTAAAAAATAAATATCACTTCTTTGTTATTAAAATATTTGTTTTTTTAATATTTTACAAAAAAATAATAATATATTTTTTATTATAAATAATTAATGTATTTTATATAAAAAATAGAAAAAGGAAAATCTATATATTTTTTACCTTAATATAATTGAAATAATTAATAATTTGTTAAAATATATTTTAATTTGTTACGTAAATTAATATATTAAATAAAAATATTTTAAAAAACTACAGGTGCATTTATACAGTAAAAGATAATTAATATCAGAATTCACCATCCAACGGCGGATCATATTGTAAATCAATTAGCAGATCGACGGCTACGATTCAATACAGAACAAACTTGAGCAAGGAGATCCGCCGCCCTACACGTATATATCTCTGTCTGAACAAAACGGAGGCAGAGGAAATCTGCCCACCCAGCACCGTCGGCGATCACCGTCGGCCGCCGAGAACTTGGATTCCTACACCAGCTGTTACTGCGCGCGCTGCAGGTCCCCCAATTTGTATGCTATATTTTTTGTTTCGCGGTCTTTTTGAACTCTAGAATCAGTCGGAACCCTATTTCCGTGTCTGTGACTATACATGTATTGATTCCATGTGTCAATTGTTTGATCATGTGTGTGCCAGTTAAATTGCGGTTCGTAACTATAAATTGTGGTTTCGATTGCGTAGTTAAAACCGATATGGCGACGGGAGAGAGTTCCGTTGAAATGAGTCAGGAGGTGGAAGCGCCTGAACTCTCTAATGGAAGTGGCGAAGCGACGAGTAAAATTGAGGAACGGGAAGATGTTGAGGAAAAAACTGATGGAACACAAGGTAAAGCCTATGGCTTTGGCTGCTATGTTTGTATGCACCTATGAGTTTCTTTTGGAGTTTTTTTGATAAAAGAGTTGAATTTGAATCTTGTGTGAATCGAATGAATATAAATAGAGGTGAAAATTATTCAAGTTTTAGAATCTTGATTTGTACGAATTTGGATTTTTTTATACAAATGGAATGAGCATTGTAATGTTCTAAAAAAGTCTGTATTACAGAATAAGGGATAATAATAATACATTGCTAATGAACATTGCAGAAGCAGCAAAGAAGAAGAAGAAAAAGAATAAAAGCAAGTGAGATAAAGACAAAAACTTTTCAAGTATTTCCCTCTCTAATATGGAGTCTACTAACTATTGGATCACACATTCGCAGGAAGAAAAAAGAGCCCCCTCAACAAACTGATCCGCCAACCATTCCCGTGGTTGAACTTTTTGCATCTGGAGAGTTTCCAGAGGGTGAAATTCAACAGTACAAGGATGAGTATGTGCCAATGTAGATTTCATATATATATATATATATATATGTATATGTGTTGTATGATCTTCTCTGGTATTTGTCAAGTGCTAGTGCAATTTCCAGTTCCATACACTGATTTTGTATATATTTTCCTTGTCAATGCATTTTGCATCTTTAGCAACTTCAACATTGTTTTCATGCTCATGTTGGTTGCTAGTAGCTATCTACACTATACATGAAAAGCCTGATTTCATTCCAGCACAAATCTCTCTTTCTTTGGGTTGCTGAAAACTGAAACTAGGGTTTTCATATATGATGTTACAATGTAGTAATTTGTGGAGAACAACATCTGAGGAAAAGAGAGAATTAGAACGATTGGAAAAACCAATTTATAATTCAATTCGACGTGCAGCTGAGGTCCACCGTCAGGTATCTTAACATATATTTGGTATCAAGTATTCTTGCATTCAGGTTGAAGAATTTGCATTTTGCTAGAGTTCCTCCAAGTTAAATCTTGCAATGCTTGTAGGTTCGAAAATATATGCAGCAAATAATGAAGCCAGGGATGCTGATGATTGATTTGTGTGAGACCTTGGAGAACACGGTTCGCAAATTGATTTCTGAAAATGGTTTAGAAGCAGGCATTGCATTTCCTACGGGTTGCTCTTTGAACTGGTAATAATGATCAATTCAATCTAATATTAGTACTTTTCTTTGTCTAGGTTTTGAGTCTTTTACAATCCGTTTTTGTATTTTGGTGTATCATCTTTCTGGTTTTGTATTTCAGGGTTGCTGCTCATTGGACGCCAAATTCTGGAGACAAAACAGTACTTCAATACGATGATGTGATGAAACTGGATTTTGGAACTCATATTGACGGTAATATAGCCTGTGCACTTGTTGTCTGACACCATTGATGTTGATTGGTGCCTTCTGTGAGACCATCTATGAACTTTAAAGTTACCAAAAGTACTGCATCCAACACTGCCATTTATTTTCAGGGCACATTGTGGATTGTGCATTTACTGTTGCATTCAACCCCATGTACAACCCACTGCTTGAAGCAGCGCGTGAGGCTACTAATACGGGAATTAAGGTGAGTGGCTGGCATGATTTATCATGGATTTTTCCTGTTTTTTTTTTTGTAAATGACTTTACTCTAAGCTTAGGAGAACAAGTGGCATGTGATTAAGCATTTTGTTTCTGAGACAGGAAGCTGGAATTGACGTGCGTCTGTGTGATATTGGTGCTGCAATTCAAGAGGTGATGGAGTCATATGAAGTTGAAATTAATGGAAAGATGTTCCAAGGTATAACTTTAAATTGCCATTCCAAGCAGCTTGTGGGAGATTAGTGCCGTGCTGTCTCTCACAAATGTTTTAACTTAAATGAAAATTTCCGGTTCATGTTTGTGTTTTATCAAGTTAATCTATTTAATGCTTCAAGTAACAAGAAGTAGAATAGATGCTTTATTGATATTTTTAAATTTTATGACTTTTCTCCTTATTGATGATTCTTAGAACTATTGTATAATCGAAGTGGTTTTGGAATGTCATAGCCTGTATTTCAATAATTATCTAAACTATGGTGATTCTAGTTATTCTAATAATTTGGATCGCTCGGCTTTTCTGGCAGTCAAATGTGTTCGAAACCTGAATGGCCATAGCGTCGGGCAATACCAAATCCATGCAGGAAAATCTGTTCCCATTGTTAAAGGAGGAGAGCAAACAAAAATGGAAGAGGGAGAATTCTATGCCATTGAAACTTTTGGATCCACAGGTTTCACATTCTCCTTTTTTCTGTTTAATGCGAAGGTAGTTTCTGAATTTATTTTAATCGGATTTGTTTCTTGTATGCAGGGAAGGGATTTGTCCGTGAAGATCTAGAATGCAGCCATTACATGAAGAACTTCGACGTCGGTCACATTCCACTGCGGATGCCCAGATCGAAACAGCTGCTGGCAACAATTAATAAGAATTTCTCTACATTGGCGTTCTGCAGGCGCTATCTAGATCGCCTGGGAGAAACCAAGTACTTGATGGCACTAAAGAACTTGTGCGATGCGGGCATAGTCCAGGTACTAATTATTCGACTATTAGTTGCTTTATAGCTTTATATGACAGGTTAGAAAAGGATGTTCTTACATCCATTACCGACAATCTTGAATTCAGTAGCTTAGTTTGTTTAAATGCAGTTTTTATGAGTGTTTTGAGGCGTAAATAGTGAGTTTTTTGTTGGTTTAAATAGCACATAGCCGCCACCCAACATTGCCTTTTTCATTATTGATAAAAGAAAATGATTGAAATATAATAAAAATGTACAAAACATCCTGTGTTTTATTTATTGCGAGCAAACTTTACATTAACACAAGAAGGTTTCATGCAATAAATAAAACACAAAGTGTTTTATGCATTTTTACTAAAAACACAATGGGGTAATATATAATTTACCCTATTTTGAATGGAAAATATACCTATATGTATGTTTCTATTGTTATGTTTACAATAAAAATAGGTTTTCAATGTTATGTTTTGAATGAAAAATAAATTTTATTTTACTATATATGCAATGTGAATTGTTGAGCACTTTATCTTTGAGTCAGAGATATAACTATAAGAATTTAAGTCACTGTTCTGACATCCCATGATATTTGCTAAGGTTGTGAATCATTTTCAATACTCCATTTGTTTTACCGTGTTTGGCAGCCGTATCCTCCACTCTGTGACATCAAGGGTAGCTATGTCGCGCAATATGAACATACAATTTTACTTCGTCCAACGTGCAAAGAAGTAGTCTCGCGAGGATCTGACTACTGATCAAGAGCCCCTAGGTACGCCTATGTAGCTCCAATCTTAAGTATTTAAGAATTCTCTACATCTTTGTGATATCCTAAAAAAGCCAAAAACTATTGGGGATCCCTTTCTTTCGTGAGCATATGTTATAATTTAAGGATTGTTTTCTTGATTGCTCGGTAGTAACTGTTGACAAAACATCCCCACCCGCACCCCGGCCGGGTTTTTTCTACCAGTTTTTCCTTGCATTTGTTCTATGAGTAGTTTTGTTAATGACTCGTAGAATTAATTAGATTTGACTCCACTGTGTTTTGATTTTTGGTTTAGACCGTTGGTGTGACATTTTATTAGAAATAGAAAATATATCAGGATGTTCACTTGGTTAGATGAATTGATTGTTTGTTTGTTTGTTTGTGCGCGGTTGATAATATAAAAAATAATATTTTTGGTTGAATAGTTATTTTTTATGAGTGGATAATATATATTATATTAATGTGTTTATATTTATATTTTTCAATAATATTTATGGAGAATTGTATTATTGAGAAATATTATTTGAACAAACTAAATATGTTTTATTTTGAAATTGTCAGATTGAATACTATGTATTTTGATTTCAAATCAAAACCATACGCATCTATAATAGGAGTGGTAAATGTAAGTCTGGATTATTATTATTATTATTATTTTTCATAAAATATTATATTAAAATACTATTTAAATAAAAATTTAAATTAATATTTTATTTCAAAATAACTTCAAATCACAATCAAATAGGTGTGTTTGTTTGTTTGTTTTTTTTTTTTTTTTTTTTTGTAAATAAAAGATTATACTATTCAGTTTATAGAATTTATAATAAAAATACTACTATATTTTATAAAATACTACAGTAAAGTATTATTGATTTTTTTTTAATAAAATCAGTATTATTCTTTTTTTTTTATTATTATTATTTAACACACTGATTTTATTTTTTATTTTTATAAATAAGTATATAATCTTATATATAATATTTAAAAAATAATTAAATAATAAAAAAATTCCTGGAACAGACCCAACCTAAGCTGAACACAGGCCCGGTAAGATAATATCCCTTCCTATTATTTATTAGTCATTACAACTGCTTTTAATTGAATGCTTCGCTAACACATATAGATAGAGATAGAGATAGTATAGTACAGTACTATATTAAATACTAACACTTAAATATTATACCATACTTTGTATATATAGGCAAGCTTAATTGCGCGTTATTTTGATTATCAAATTAAATACAATAAAGATGAACTATAAATATATTATTATAGACATCTCACTGGATTAGGATTCATACTATTTATTTATTTTAATTGTTAAATTGAACATATGTTTTTTTAGGCTGATTATAGTGTTGATTTGGATTAATAATTACTCCCCCCCGTCTCACGTTAGATGTCTGGGTCAATGTAGATACGAGAATTTATAATAAGTATAGTTAGTATTATCTTATATAAATAATTATAGATTAAAGTTAAAGATAACTAATTAGTTTAATTAAAATTAAAAAAATTAAATTAAAAAATTTAAAATGAGATTAAAGTGTATAATTATTTTTCAAAAACAGCTGGACGAATAAAAACATGGTAAATGGTAGGTGGGACGGAGGGAATAATATTTAGTAATAGCATACATAATATATTATTAGAATTGAAACATTTGTATCACATTCATTTTATCTAGTAAATAATAATATTAAAAATATTAAAATGAAGTAGATACAAAATAATATAAGCGTATTATAAAAATCGATAAAAGAAATATATCAAGTAGTGATGGAAAGAGTATTATATTTTAAATGAAAAAAATATTATAAGTGAGAAAAAATAAAAATAAAATTCAAATTCAAATTCAAATTTTAAATACTCTTATTTTAATATCGAAAGAAATAAGGAGATAAATACGAAAACCCCTCATGTTCATAGACGGACAGGCAGCCGATGTTGAAGGAAAAGTAGGGTGGAATTTTACTCCACTTAGCACGTGTGACGTCACGTGTTTTGTAGGAAAAAGCTCCCTTCATTTCGTATTAATTCAGTCAATACGTCTATTCGAAATCAATTTATTTAAGGGTGTGTTTGTTTCAGAGATTTTGTCCAAAATTCACTATTTATTTAATTTTTTTTTAAAAAATATCGCATCAAATATTTATTTTTTATTTTTTATATTATTTGTTGGAACAATATTTTTCTCCAACTTTTTTTGGCATATGGTTCTTCTTGTTTTTCCTCTGCTGCCTTTCTTTGTTTCCATTCAGGTCATTTCAACAGACTGCAACTCTGCTGGTCTACTCTTCTCGATTTGGGAAGCTTAAAAGAGACAAAAAGAATGAATTTTGGGGTGGTCAACCTTTGACAGAATTCATGCAGGAATACATCATTCCACTTTCGTGTAAAGGGTTTTAATTGAGTTTGTCCTGTATGCTTTGTTTGGCTGCTTCTTGGTTTTGTTATGTGGGAAGTATTGTGGTAGTTGTATGGGTTTAGAGAGAGAGAACTGTTGTGAGAGAAAGTAAGTTAAATCATCTCAACCCCAACCCTTCCCTTCTCCATGCATTGAAAGAGTGTTAGACACATTTACTTGCCGGAGACATTGTCGGAGGAAGAAGAGATTGGAAATCCGATCAGGAGATTCGTCCAAAGTCTGAGCAACCTTGCTATCTGCTAGTTGTCAGTACGAGTTCGTGACAACTTATACCTGTGGAGGGATTTTCTTAGGTGGTTTGCATTATAGTATGAGATAAAGGAGTTTTGGGCTGTTTAGTTCATAATCAACATTGATTAGTGAACTTCTCCTGGATTGGAATCCCCCGGATGTAGGTTGGTTATAACCGAACCGGGTTACTAAATATCTTGTCTTTTATTGCTTTGGATTTTGTTCTTATTTCGTTGACAAGATAATGTTACAACTGTGATTTTACCACGCTTCGGGAGTTGGCCCATTTGGAAAAGTGTACAAGAATTTATCGGGGTTGCACTTATTCCATCCCAACATTATTCTAAAAATCAATTTTACATTCAAAATATCACATCAAAGCCTATTTATATCACATCATACGACTATTGTAATTCAAAATTTTTACTATTCAAATCTCAATTCAAAATCCAAACTTCCAAACAAACACACCCGATAATTACTCTGTCCATCTTGTTAAAATTCTTATTTAACTTTTACGTCATTGTACTTAACATTAATAATATTTTTGTTTTTATATAATTTTTTGCAAAAATATTATTATAATAAATACTAATAAAATATTTTTGTCAATTTTCTTTAATTTATACAATATTTTCATATAATAATTAATATATAAAACATGCAAAAAGTAAATAAATTTTATAGCGGAACGAAAGTATTTTTTTATTTAGTTATTGTGATTTTTATGTAATTTAATTTGTTTTACCATTTATATATCATTACAAAAATATTATGATCATTAAAAAAATAAATTTGATTTTGTATTATTTATTTTAGTCTATCTAGTATATCTAACATAAAATATTAAACAAACACATGTGATTGTTATATATTTAAAAATCATGTTAAATCATAAAAAAGAAATATGTATTTTTATAAGATTCTGCTTTAAAAGAAAACTAAAAATATAAATTTTTAAATGATCACACTTTTTATTTTTAATTTTTAAATTTTGTTCACATATATTATATATTTGTGGTAAAACTGTACACAATATCATGTACAAAATTAAATATTAAATATAATATTTAAGAATATTTTGGATTTAAAATAAATAAATAAATAACGATTGAAGTAAATTTTTTAATTAATATAAAAATATTTTTGAATTTAATATTTTAAAATATAAATATATTAAATGTTAAAGTATTAATTCGAGTCTACAAAACTACACATCCTACAATATTGTCAATACTTAGATTTGGTATTTAAAGTCAATTAACTATTAATATACATAATATAATAATATATATATATATATTTATTTATTGTATAAGATTTTGAAAATTACATCTTCTTGAATATTCGTCGGCACATAAGCATTTATTGAAACAACCTTCCTTTCTAGAAATAATAATAAATAAAATAAGTCATTGTCAGTTATTTATTTTTTATTATTTTTATCTGAATCAATTTAAATATTTATTAAGAAAATATAAATATAAACCCAACATATCCCATATTATTGTATGAAAAAATATAAATATTTAATATAATTCTACATATTTTAATAAATAAATATCTATATAGAAAAATACTTCTTTCGTCCATTTTCTATTATCCTAAAGTATATTTACACGGTTTTTTAGGTGATTATTTTTCCTTAGTGTATATGGTAGAGATTAAAAATAATAAATGAATTAAGGGTAAAAATATAAAATTTGTGTTTAAAAAAAAATAGGACAATAGCTATTGAAAGTCCAAATAGAAAAGTAGAACATTAGTTTGCGGACAGAGGGAATAATAAAATTTAAACATTAAAGAAAACACTAAATAAAGTCATATCTTATATTTAAAGTACTTTCTTTTAAAACTTAAACTTATTTGGTTTGTGATTAAATTTATTTTAAGGTGATGTTTTTTTTTTTTAAAAAAAAATATATTTATTGAAAACAAAAATTAAATGGTAAAATTTTTTATTTGATATACAAATCAAACAATTAGAATTCAAAAATTAATTTTGTACATGCAATACTTATTTTTACTATTACAAATTTTTATCTAATATAAAAAAATTATTAAAAATGATTTTAAAAAATAAAAATTTAATTTGATATTAAATAAAAAATCACAAATAATAAAATCTCAATCAACACTTTTGATGACTTACCCTATTTTATAATCAGAAATATATATAATTAAATTCGAATCCCAAAATAAATGAAATAATATACAAACAGAGATAGGTATAGATATACATACATATATATATAGAGAGAGAGAGAGTGAGAAAAGAGAAAGAGAGAAGAAATACAGAATAAACTTACCGTACAAACAATTTGAATTAAATGCTCCATAGTTAGAGAGAGAGAGAACAGAGGAGAGCATCTGAGCATGGAAATGAGCTGTTTTTTGGAAGAAGGTTTTGCTTTGTGATTCCTTCAGATCTGAACAATTCTCTCTCTCTATATCATCGCCACCAGATCTCTCATTCCTCGCCGGATTTCCCCCGCCGGCGCGCTCGGTCAATGTAACTAACATTATCTGCACCGACGCCGCCTCATTCTGGAATTTCCGCGAGTTTCGGTTTGGTTTGAGCGCGGCGGATCTGGAAATCGAATTTTTCTGTCGGTTCTGAACTCGTGTTGATTTGTCGGCGGCGGCGGTGGTGGTTGTGTTGCAGATAGTGATAATTAATATAATTTGGAGATTTTTGGGAGAATGGAAGGGGAGAAGAAGTCGTCGGCGGTTTCCGATGTAGGGGCGTGGGCTATGAATGTTGTTAGTTCTGTTGGAATCATCATGGCGAATAAGCAGGTCATGTCTTCCAGCGGATACGCTTTTAGCTTTGGTTAGTTCCACACTTACACCTCCCAATTTTTGCGCTGATCCTTTGTTATTGATTCTGTATTTCTACTGCTCGTTCGTTTTTCTTAGATCTCCTCCAAAAATTGATTCAAATTCTGTATTCTGTTATGCCAATCTCCTTTTAGCATAAATTAGATAACCTAATTGTTCATCACTTCTTTAATATTGTATGACATCAGTTCCTAATCAATCCTATATCGTTTCGGATCTCTTGCTGAACCTGATTATGCAGCCTTATTTATTTATTTTTTTAATTTTTTAAAGATGGATGGATAAATGAACACTATTTACTCTGTAACAGGTTTTCTTGTGGGGTTTAACACACGCAAACTATGGTTTAACTTTTTCTTTTGTTTGATTAATATATAATCAGTGGACATATCTACATTGTATTTAATATGATTCAACATGTGGCATGTTAAATTTCTTATGTGGCTCAATGGATTTGTTATAACGGTTCGATAACAGTACTACTTTAGATAATCTTTATCTTGCAACTTTACTGCATGTTTTAATGGATTTGATATATGTTTAGGTAACAGGGTTACTTTGATCCATTGAAAAGTAGTTTGAAGGAACTAAACATTAAGCACATGTTTACTATAGGATATTAACTGATCTTTATGTTGTAGTTTACTGCCTAAAGTTATCTAGTCTCCTACAATAAAGAAATATTAAGTGATACAGCATACATACATTCAAGGGTTTCCGATAAAAAAAAAATAAAAGGGTTTATGTAAGGCAGTCATTTATTAACTTCAGTTGTTTCTTTTTTGATTCCTATGTTTTTTTTTGGGGCGGGAGATGCTAAAATATGCACTGCTATGAAATCTAATTCAAGAACAAAAAGGTTCTATGTTCTGAAGTGATGGTCCTTGTTTTGTATCCAATCGAAGCTGGCCCATTGGAGTTTCCTTATCACACTTGATGTTTTACTTCATTGAAAACCTTCAAGAAAGTTGAAATTTTCATTCTGTTGTGTAAAATGTTGCGTGGTTCAACTCTGTGATGTCTGATTAATCTTCACATATTCCAAACTCAAATTTGACGATTAATTGTTATTTCTTGTTCTGCTTTCTGCAGCCACAACATTGACTGGTTTCCATTTCGCTGTTACTGCACTTGTCGGCATGATATCTAATGCCACGGGGATGTCCTCTTCAAAGCACGTCCCGCTGTGGGAACTTATCTGGTTTTCGATTGTAGCAAATATGTCTATCACTGGGATGAATTTTAGTCTCATGCTAAACTCGGTTGGATTTTACCAAGTATGATTCAATACCACTCCTCCTATATGTTTGTTCTTAGGTACATGGCAACTTTCAAATAGTACTTTCAAGTGTTACTTGCTCTCTTAATCTAGTTACGTTTTGATGTCATTTTTGTCGAGTGTAAAATATGTTTCTTCAAACCCGTAAGTTACTGAACGGAAAATTGGCGCAACTCTTTAAACTAATGAAACCCAAGACATTCAGTACTTGTATTTTTTTTGTACCTTTCTGTTTCGTGCTCTCTGCATAAAGAATATCGGCATTTAGCATTTCTGCATCTAAGTTTTTATTGACTTTGTTTGGATTACAACTATGACGCCTTGAAAATTTATTTTAAGTATCACGAAAAGGGTACTTGATTATGCTTATGCAATCATATTGATAGGAAAGGAAATTTAATTGAAAAAATATTTTGTAACGGTGATTGTGGTATTAATATGGTTGCGCGAGCTCATTTCTATCGATTTCATATTGTTCTGAATCCTAAATCCGATTGGGTCTGAACTTCATTACATATCGGCATTACTTGTACCCTTTGTTAGTCACATTTTTGCATAAATTTCTTACTAGAGCAAAGTCTTGATACTTTCTTGTCTAGAACCAATTTGTCAAATATATAATAATAATAATTATTATTATAAAAATATTGTTCTTTTTTCTCTGGATCGAACTAATCTCGTCTTTCTTTTGGTGTAGATCTCAAAATTGAGTATGATTCCAGTGGTCTGCGTAATGGAGTGGATCCTTCACAATAAGAAGTACTCCAATGAAGTTAAAATGTCCGTCATAGTTGTTGTTATCGGCGTTGGTGTTTGTACTGTGACTGATGTCAAAGTTAACGCCAAAGGATTTCTATGCGCTTGTGTTGCAGTTTTGTCAACATCTTTACAGCAAATTGTGAGTACGATTCATCGATAAGTGGTACACATATATATATATATATATTTTGTACATTTATGCTTGTGAATAATTGATGGTATGCTTTTTATTACAGTCGATCGGCTCGTTGCAGAAGAAATACTCGATCGGATCCTTCGAACTATTAAGCAAAACAGCTCCTATCCAGGCCGCGTCTCTCCTCGTGCTCGGTCCCATAATCGACTACTACCTTTCCGGAAAATTAATTTTGAACTACAAGTTCACCCCTGCAGTCGTAGTAAGTATCCCTTTCGATTTCCTGAAACTAGAGCTGTAAAACAAACGAACAGTTTGCGAGCTTGGCTCGGCTCGTTTGAGCTCGTTAAGAACTCATTCGTTAAACTAAACGAGCTGAACACGAAAATAAATTTTGGCTCGTTATGTTCACGATCGAGCTCGAGCTTGTTCGCGAACGTTCGATAATATTTATTAGAAAAATTAAATTAATTTTTTTTTATATTTAATAAATATATATTTTTATAAATATTATATTTTATTCTATTTTTTAATTTAAATTTATTAATAAAAATTATAATTATGATTAACTGAATTTAAATTTTTTTAAATAAATAAAATAAATTCTAACATGAACAAAAATTTTACTAAATCAGCCGAGCTAAAACAAAAATTTCAACTCGTAAAGAACGAATATGAGTCGAGCTCGAGTCCTTAAATATGATAAGCTCGACTCAGTTCTGCTCCGTTACAGTTCTACCCGAAATGAAATCTAACGAAAAGTCGGTCTACATTCGCAGCTGTTCATCCTCTTATCATGCACGCTTGCCGTCTTCTGCAACGTGAGCCAATACCTCTGCATTGGTCGATTCTCAGCCGTCTCGTTCCAAGTTCTGGGCCACATGAAGACCGTGTGCGTCCTGACTCTCGGGTGGGTCCTGTTCGACTCCGAGCTGACATTCAAGAACATCTCCGGGATGGCCGTCGCCATCGTCGGGATGGTAATTTACAGCTGGGCCGTCGAAATAGAGAAACAACAGCAGGGAGTTATTCCCAAGTCGATCCCGAACGCGAAGAACAGCCTTACTGAGGAGGAATTACGGCTGCTGAAGGAGACTGTCGACGCCTCGTCGGAGGTTAAGGACTCCGACGGATCGATGAAGGTATAGGCACTTCTGATCTTTCTTATCTGGGTGATTATCATTGTTGTTTTTTTCTCTATAGTATTGTTATAGTTGGTGTAGTATAATGTTAATGTTATAAACGTTTTGTGTGTGTGTTTTTTTGGTTTGGTTTGGCTGTGTCCGTTTTTATTAGAGCTGCGAGTTTGTTGCTGTTGCTATTCCAGACTCTGAGAAAAAAATCAAAAAAGCGTATAGAGAAAAATATATGGAAATTTGGGTACAAAACGCGCTTTATTAGTTCTGTGGAGTGTGTGCGTATTTATTAACTATTATTATTATTATTATTATTATTATTACTTTATTTATTTTTGGTATGTGCTATAAATAATGTTTAGTACATTTTAGGGTTTTTTGTTTACCGGTTAGGATGGAATTGGTATGGTTATTTTTGTATTTTAATTAAGTGGTTATTTTATTACTGTTGAAGTTATAAAAAATGCATATAAACATTAATGTAAAAACAATAAAAATTAATAAAAAAACACAAATTTTTTCTGCTATAGTATTTTTACAATTCCAGACGCTTAACGAACAAAAGCATTTAACCATAAGTACTAGTAATGAGATGAGCAAATTACAGAATCACCCTCCTCTTCCATTTCATAATCTTCAATGATCATTATTGAGTGATTATCTTCCGTTACATCAAATAAATTAGCGTATGTATAAAACTACAATCAAAAAGTATTTAGCATTCAACAGACGTACCAGCAGCAGAGCAAGCAAAGAGCTCGTCGCGGTGCCTCGTCTCATCGGCACGAGTGTCATTGCAACATCGTATCACCTTGTAATGCCCGTCGCTCCGCCTCCAATATCTGCAACAACGGATGAAAAAAAGATCTCGACCAGTAGGATGATAAGAAAAGTAATCAACACCACAAGCCTCGATGGGACAACCTGTATGATGCCGCGACGTCTCCATCCACATATGTTGTCAGGAAAATTGAAAGAAAGGGATACGGCGCCAACTTTTTGTCAAAGATATTCACACAATCTGCATGGAATTATGCAGAAGCTGATGTTTTTACTGTTAATATGCTAAATCGATATATTCAGTATAGTATGATAATACCCCAAATATAGCGCGACAACATATAAAAAATAAAACCAATTTAGGTTAATATACTATTATTGTATAAAAGCTAAATAGAAGAAGATGGCGTCGAACCAGTAGTAAAAAGAAATTCAGCCCCCCGCCCCCTATCCAAAATATTTGGAGGCTAGTTCTGCCACTAACCATGTGTTGTGTGATCATCAGAGGGTGAATCACTACAACGTGCCAAGTGCCGACTAGGGATAATTAGTGCAAGAGTGAGCTATAGTACCTTGTTTGTTTGTCGCCACCTTTAGGACAATTATCCATTATGTTCAGACATGTGGTTGCGCGAAAGCCGTCTTGCCCAAAGGCTTTGATTTGGCGACCACGATATCGGAAACCCGAGAGTGGCGCACCATCTCAAATACAGGAGGGCGGTGGCGAGGTATTCCGAATCTTTGAAAACCTTCATTATCTGTGATTCGGCTTCCAGGTCTTCGGAAAATAATAAATCCTCGTACTCTGACGGGAGCTCTTCGAGAGTGTCGTCTTCCTCGGACATCATTCTCATACATAGAACCTGCAGTGCTTCCATGGCGGTGCTGTAATAACCATTGTTTACATACGCAAGGAAAACGTGACTGCAGGTAGATGGATTGGGCTGGATTTTAGCTTGATGCATCTGGTCTGTGATCAGCTCAATGACGTCGATTCTTCCCTGAAAATTATTTAATGGCAAATAATTGTTAACAAATCGAAATTCCTATCTTGGAAGTAGGGTATGGTTATGGAGGTTGTTTGAAAACAAATTACCTTCTCACAGGCTACTGAGAGGATAGTATTATACAGAACTACATCAGGTAGAAGTCCCTTCGAGCACGCCTGATCGAGTAGCTGAAGTGCTTCATCGAAATTATTAGAATTCAGCTGAGCCTGGAAAATAAAAGAGATTTCACTTATTAAGAAAAATGATGTTTTTAATAATTCAATGCGCCGAGGAAGTATAAGAAATGATAAATATATCAATATACTTCTGCATAATCTACACTTTTAACAAGAAGTGAAAAGGCAATGAATACGAGCATTTGCTAACAAACACGAACATTAATCAGCATTCATCATGCATTTGTTCTGTCATTTTCTGCCGTTAGCTTAAGCCAGGGTTCGATTCATTTTCTAACTCACTTCCTAGCATAGCAATAAAATCTTCTCTTAAAAACTAGTGAGTGATTATTGCAAGAGAAGTCTTAAACAAGACCTGAAAAATTCATGAATCTTATTTAAGAAATTGTTCTGAGACCAAAACTATTTCGAACTTTTTATTAACAGTTTAACATCAAATAGAATTTGTACGACTTGAGTTGAAGGATAATACCTTTATCAGGGCGGTATAAGTTAGTACATCCGGGAAGATACCGTGCTGGATCATCCTGGAGACCAGTGCACAAGCAGAGCTGTAACATGTCATAGTGCTACAACAATTGATCATGATCTTATAAGTCGCTGCGTCGGGAGAGGGTCCACTTGAAATGATGCTCTTGAATATCTCAACAGCTAAGCGGCTCTAAACCAAAAGATTTTCGTCAGTAATTAGATGCTTAAAAGTATAGTCCACAAAGACTATATATATATATATATAAATACCTACCTCTTTAGCCTTAACGAGCACATGTAGAACAGTGTTGTATATAGAAATGTCTAAAGGACTATTTCTGTTCTCTGCGACATGTAGGTGCTTAATCATCTCCTTAATCATTCCTTCCATTCCGAGAGCTTTAAGCTGCACAAAATTTACGTGGCGCTAACTGCCCATTTCGATAAAGGAAGCTTATTTACGTTCTATTACAAATAAATATGTAGTGAAAAAACACCTACCAGATTCTGCATGGATAGAGGGCTGTGTTGAATGTTCTGCATCATCATATCCTCTTCTATGATTGATATCCTTTTAGCGGTAATAGCCTGTGATAGTTCATTTCCATCTTCATACGGTGAATTGACGTTTCCAAATAAGGAGAACATCAGTTCGTATGTTCGGATATCAGGAAGGACCCCCAGCTCTTTCATTTTAGCCAATGCCCAAACACCGCGTTCAGGTAGATCCTGCAACAATTTCAGTGGTGAGATTAGTGGAAGCGAGACTTTTGCAGTCCATCTGAAGAAAGTTCCATGGAAAAATGTATCGTAAATGAAGTTAATTCATTATTGGTGAAAACAGAAAATCTATCATCATTATGATCACTCCAATACCGAGTTTCATTTTCTCGAAATTACTAATGGACTACAAGATCTGAGCTACAGCCACCAGAAAATGAGGAATGCTATAACTTCAAGTTGGAGACATGTTTCAAAATAAATATTCAATATATTTAGGTTTTAGTTATCTATATTATTTTCTATTTTCATGGTAATGTAAGATTTTAGTAAAATTAGTTTTGGTAAAATTACTTTTGTGAACTTCCTATGGGTCATTGTAGCAATTTAGATCCTAAACTTAAAAAAATGGCATATATAATAACATGATGAGTATGCCATTTAATGACCATTTGAGACTCTTCCAGCAATTCAACTATATTTCTTATATACATTTCTCATGCATAGGTAAATCATGCAACTGTCTTTGTACATGACATTATGTTTAAATGCCAAATGGATACATACACACATTTATCATATGTGGGTGGATTTTGGCATACTTGAAGATATATGGTGACCAAAATTTCTAAAAATACTAAATTTAAGTGAAGAAAAAGGTTACTTACCCAAAATTTCATTTTATTTTCAGTTATAAGAATGCATTTATTCTATATGTAAACACAATGTTCCTTTAAACTATTCATTCGGAAAAAATTTCTAGGGTTAAAAAAGCAGCCAGCTGGAATATTGAAGTAGGTACTGACACGTATGCATGTAGGATACTCACTAGAATATGGCATCCCTCAAGGAAAGCATTGAGAGGATAAGGATGACGACAAGATGACATTTGACTCAGGAACTTCTCCGCCAAATCCAGTTCCAAGTCCTTGCTACATCTGACCGATAAAACTGAAAGTGTTGAATCAAAAGGCTTCATATTTTTCTGTTGCATGATTTTTAGCTGCACAAAAGAAACAGTGTACATATGATCATCTTTATCAATGCAAAGAAACATCCTCAGGAAATAACATAATTTTAAGGACCATAGCTTACCACTTCAATGCCATAATGGATATCCTTTACGGACACCAATGCTTTAATGAAGCCGTCATATATATTACGTGACGGGTCCAAGCCAAGATTTTGCATCTGCAGAAAGGCAAAATATTGACTTATGAATATTGATTTCTTTTTGTCTCATCCATAGGTCAGTCATATCTTTATTTTATCTGGTCATCATCACCATCTTTGTTTTTTTCTTTTTTGTTTTTGGTTTAGGGGAAAAAAGTATAATATATAAACATACAAAGAAAGAGACCTTCAATTGAGAAGATCAAATTTAAATACCTACCTGTAACATTAATTGCTTGGCTAACACAACATTTTGCACATTAGCACAACCATGAATGACGTCCCCAAAGGACCACCTCAACAATCTCGTAACTGGACTAGTAAAGGGTTGCTGTGATAAACTTAATTTATCAGCTCCATCAGTGTATCCTAACACCCTCAACTCAGTTCCCACATTTGAGTCTTTTATGCAGTAATGCTCGGAACCACAAGGTAGACAAGTAGAATCATCCTCTCCATTTCTATTACCAGCCAAGTCAAGGCGGGAAGGGATGGGAATGTCCAAACCTAAATCAAACAACTTTCCATCAGCTGTACTAGTGATGTTACATTTCTGCTGGAGAGCCATGGCTACCATTTTCTGTAAAGCCATATATGCAGATTTTAAATCCCTCAACATTGCAAAGGACCATATAAACTTTCGAAGGGTTATAATGCTCAGACTTTGGAGGTTAATACACTCCTTCCAAATATTATGAACTGCGGATAGGTCCTGCTGCAGAACTGCCAACTGAAAAGAAATAGTTAAAAAATAAAGTATATGACAAGAAAACTAAATAGTAAACAACAGCTAAAAAAAACCCAAAAATTTATTCTTTCCCTCGACATTTCAAGCTCATTACCCTCTCCCTGATAGAGAATTTTCTAATAAAGTTGGTGCTGTGTGCACTACTGTTTCCTAAGTTGTCACAGAAGCCAGAGTTTTAAACTTGATAGAGGAATATACAAACACAATAATGATATTATACCACATGAAATTAAATAAATAACAACAGTATGAATATCACACAAACTATGTACATTTAGTTCGCACACATGTTTATTAGGACAGCTGCAAAAACTGATCAAAGTAATGAATGTAAGAACATTGTACATACCTTGAGAAGAAGACCATGAGTTACAAGATTTTTGCCCACACCTTGTACCTCCATCATATGTAAGCATTCATTAGCAAGATCGAAACTATGCATTTGAATGCAGGCCCCCAACAAGGTGTTGTAAAAAGGTAGTGTTGGATATATTTCTGAATTTTCACATTGAAAGCTCAGAATATTAAATGCCTGATGAAAAGTATTTCAGAAGATATCATCCAGCTCATCATGTTCAGAAATGATGATTACACATATAAGATTTATAGAATTTTAAATGGTGACAGCGCTAAAGGTACAGCACAATGAGAAAATGGTCAATCACAGCAACATAAATAGAATTCAAACGGTTGTCAATTTATACAAAAAGTTTCGCAACATTTCAAACGCATGGGGACTAATTTCCACAACATTTAATGTACAGTGTCAGTGTAAAAGTTATTCAAGCGAAATACTGGTGTCTCTCTACCAAAATAAATAATAATCAGGCTATAGACTTGGGGTCGGGCATCATATTACTAGGTGCATTCCAAGTGGAAACTATATTACAGCTTTGTCTTTTCTTTCTCTATCTTCATATATTTGATTTCAAATTTACTGAAATCCAAACCAATCTGTGTTCATCAATCAACCAATTTGTGTTCATTAATCCTGCAAAATTTCATCAAGATTGAGTTCTAATATGCTTCACTCCAACAATGTCATCATTATTATATGAATTCAATGTTTTTATAGATAAATATAGCACTTCATTAATCCATTTCTCCAATATTATGAGGCCCATCTACCATCAGCTTGTAAAGTGTGCTCTATTACATGCTGCCAACCATAGCAATGAATTGAATCATGGTACTTGAGAGCTCAGGTCAACCTCAAGAAATGAGTTGAGCTCAAACTCGAAATATAATATTAGAGTCAAGTTCGCTTGAACTGATAGGAGGATAAAATTGTCATTTTCTACAAAATGATTGTGTATTTCCATAACAATTGTCAATATATACTCAATGCTTGAGTTTGAGCCAAAAAATTAGCAAATGAACTGAGCTTTGCTCAATAAAAGCTCAAGTTGATTGAGCTAGATTCATGACTTTGAAAACTCAAAATTTAATTTGACTTGAGAGTATACTGCAAAGTATAGACAAACACATATGAGTGCTACTTGCTAATATTAGTGAGAGGGAGTGGTACATTTGCAATTTTTATGACCTAACAATGGCAGCCTAACAAATAGGACATGATTTTGTTGAAATCTCATGCACAGCCAACATATGGTCTGATGGTGCAGCAAAATAGTAGCACATGCCATTACCTCTTTTAAATAACCAGCTTTACTGAGAGCTCGGATAGTAAGAAAATAGCATTTTTCACTCAATTCGATATCCTTTTCCTTCATGACTTTCCAAGTTTCCATCACAAACTGCAAACAGTAAAGCATGTATATCAATATCTTGTCCAAGGTGACTAAATAATATTCACTCTGCTACACACACATGACACTTTCCAATTTTACCCACAAGACTGTTAAATGAATTCAATCATACAAGCCAAAAGCAGAGGTACAATCCTACCAATGGATCAGGTTCTGTTGCACAATATTGAAGAATATAAACAAAATCCTTAGCTAGCAATCCTTGACTTGCACTACCAAGCTCATACAACAGCTTTGATGCTTTATTTCTCTCTCCCAAGCGAAGTGCACCAACAATATCCCTCTGAAGTGATCCCATAATATCTTTCAGCCAACAGCCATCAGCATTAAGATTTGCCACTGACACAACAATGTACTCCATTATCAATTGCCTGAGTTGATTTTACAAAAATATAACAGTAAACACCCAACAAAGACTTCTTCTTTGGAGTATCACCGCACAAAGGAACATGAATTGATTTATATGCGCATCATGCAGTAAGTGTTAAAGGTAAATGTAATTTGGTGGTTACCATAAGAAGTCCCAGATGATTGGAATGCTTCAGTATTGCCACCAGCATATCGCCACTGATAATGATTCAAATGAAATTAGAAGACACTGAATAAATTCATTCAATTTCCAAATAAAGATCATTCAAATGACGAAATTCAAAAGTATATAACTAGTAAAAAAGCTCAGCATCCTTATTGTGATAACAAAACTTTTAGTCGAACAAATTTCAAACTTGCATCGAATAAAAAACAACTGGAATCTAATTCAAAGAGGAAAAAAAATAAAAATAAATTAAAAGATGAACTCTTCGCACATTTATCATTGACGCCACAAATTCTAATCACCGAGATTAAGAAAAGCACCTGAAATGAAGAGCGTACAGTGTCTGATCCATTCCAATCGCGAGCTGTGCTCGACAAAAATTTCAGTCGGACGCCCAGCCTGTTCCACCCGATACGAGATTAAAGATGGAGAGAAAGAGAAACAACAGTGGTTCAAGTTCGGAAAAACAGTTCCAGAATGCCTAACAAGCGCCGCAGACTCACCTCCTCATGGCTCTCGACGGAACTTCTTACGCCGGTCCGCTGCCGCCGGCGCGCCGTCTTGGTTGAAAGCAGCGTGCGAAATCAGTAATGGCGGATTGGGCCTTAAGAGAAGCTTCTGTTTGGGCTTTCGATTAACGGGCCAGACTTACTACTCATTATTATTATTATTGTTAAATGAAGTATCCATATATATATATATATATATACTTTAAATACTAAAATAAAAATATATTATTTCATATTTAAATCATTACAAAAACAAAATAACTTTTTTTTTTTTTTTTTCAACTCAAACTTTTATTGGGTGTGCTTGGTTTGTGAAAAATCAGAGTACAATTTTTTAGTGTTACCTGCTGTTAGGTTATTAATCTATCTGCTTATTTTTTGTACGTTGAATTAAAAATGTCAGAATTTTATATATATATATAGTATAATATAATATAATATAATAGATGAGTTAATGGATAATTGAACCTTAAAATTGAGTACTATTTGATTCTCATTATTTATGTCACAATGTTTTGACACAAAAATTAAAAAATAAATAATATAAAAATTCATATAAAAAAGATAAAGTTAGGTATTATAAAAAATTTACGAGTGAATAGAATTATTTATTATAAATGAATGATAGATATGCACAACTGAAAAAAAAAAAAAATGACATAATTAATTGTAGATTCAAACGTGTTCATTTTAAAATATCTTATATTATTTAACATTTATTTTATATATGTCCACCACACATGTTCTTTCAGCTTTATTTTATTTTATTTAATTTGTTTAATTGATCGTAGTCAACTAAAGTAGATACATATACATGATGCGTTTAATTGAAAAAATATTCTTTTAAAATTACTTTTTATTATTTGAACAGTAATTTTGATATAATATTTTACAAAACAAATAAATATATTTTTACAGATAATTGTAACAATAAATTAAAATAGTAAAAGAAAATTGAATATAATTGTCAAGTAAGCAAAGCCATATACCTGCTTCATTTGTTATAAATAATTCTTTTTATTACTTTTATGTTATTTAAAATTTTATTTTTCAAAATTCAAATTAAAAATAAGTGTTTAGTTATTTCCAATCAAATAACTAATGTTTCTTTCATGGCTAAATAACTCATCATTTTCATTTTAATAGTCCCTCTGTTCCTTTTGGAAATGACTGTTTAGAGTTTTATAGTAGATTAAAAAATATAATATTTTATCCGTCCTAAAAGTATAGTCTCGTTGGATTGAGCACGAAATTTAAGGAATATAGATATTATATTGGTAGTCGGTAAAAAATAAGGATAAATGACTTTTTTTTTCCCTTGTGAGTATACTAGTGTAAAAAGTAGTGGCAATTGTGTAATACTAATGAAAAAGTAAAATAGTTTAACGGTGATATGATTATTTATGGAAATAAGACTATTGTTTTGGGACGGACAAAAATGGTAAACAAGACTATTATATTAGGAGGATGGAGTAATATTTTATTAATAAGTGAAAATGTGTAAGAAGATTTGATATTTTTGTCATATAAAAAAATAAATGTATATGTAATGGTATGTTTGTAATTTAAATAAAAATTAAAAATATTTTGGTATTAATGTATGATTACTTTTACTTAAAAAAAAAATAATAATATAGTAGAAATGATACTTTGAAATGGGACGGAGGAAACATTAGATTAGGTTCGAGTCAAATTTCTTACAAGATAAGATGGAATTCGATATGACAAAAAAAATACCGAACAAAAAAAATGAGGAAGAAAAACTTGAAATATAAATTTTTTTTTTCCAAAATAAATATTTATTTATAAGTAATTGGTACTGTTTATTTATCTTGAGTATGTTGATAAAAAATTGGAATTACTATTGTTATATAAGGCCACGGGACAATGGAGAAATCAAGTGTCACTTCTAGCGCGTTGTATAGAAACCTAAATGAAAAATATAATAATCATGTGTCACATTTAAATAATAATTAAAAGTGTCATTAAAGAGAACATAGGTCATTAAGATGTATACTTGTTAAAAATAAATAAACACTCAGATCAAATTAAATATTTTACAAATATTGACATTGAAAATAATACTATTTTGAAAATCATAATTATTAAAATTAGTATTATCATAAAAAAAAAAAATAAACTGTTTTTTTAGTCCCGTAACTGAACTCCTTTATCATTTTAGTCCCGTAACTGAACTCCTTTATCATTTTAGTCCCTTAAGTGGAGCCTGTCGCAAACTAGTCCCATAAGTGAAAAAATTTCGCTGTTTTAGTCCTACGGCGCCGGAGACGCCCGCGTGGCTCGCCGGAGATGACATGTCCGCCAGGTCAGCGACACCTGGCGGACACGTGGATTTATTTATTTTTTTCATTTTTTAAATTTTTTTAATTTTTTTAATTAGACCAAATAAAAAGAATAAAAAAAACAAATAAAATTAAAAAAATTAAAAAAATGAAAAAAAAAAATCCACGTGTCCGCCAGGTCAGCGACACCTGGCGGACACGTCACCTCCGGCGAGCCACGCGGGCGTCTCCGGCGCCGGAGGACTAAAACAGCGAAATTTTTTCACTTATGGGACTAATTTGCAACATGCTCCACTTACGGGACTAAAATGATAAGAGGGTCCAGTTACGGGACTAAAAAAACAGTTTACCCTAAAAAAAATTACAAACACTACATTAAATTTTATATTACATAAAAAATTTAAAATTAATTTCGTAATATATAAATTTATAAGTGTGTATATTACATAAGGCGTCCGATTCTTTCTCATCGACGCATGGATCAAAAATGCCTTACGAAGCCATCACACTCGGTCGCCAGCTATACAATTTTCACAAATTTAAGCGAGAGAATAATAGCTACACATCCCAATTGTCCGTTTTATTGCAAGATGCGACAATTGAGACTGTGCGCCGTGGTGTTTATGTCGCCGGAGAATTTTGTGAAGTGTATGCTAGAGGCGAATGGGTAGAGCCAGAGTCAGAGTTGTAAAGTTGTTGAGATATAAAACCCGATTATATCCTAAAAAAATCTAAAGATATGATTTAAATATGATATGAATATTATATCTTAGATTAGATATATGCTTGAGATGTTATTGACATAATTAAATTATAAATAGACATGTACTCTGATTTTAACATGTGCTCTATGTATTTTCTAGTAAAATTTCTGACTCGACAGCACACTCAGACGTAAATCATTCTAATCGAACTGAGTAACCAAATTTTTGTGTTATTGTTTGCCCTTTCTTGATTTCCTAAATTTTCCGCAACAAGAGTCGGAGTCAAGTCGATGCATATAGGAAGCTAGCTCGAGGAAATGAAATGATCGATTGGAAATGATATTTATTGTATGATTTGGTATTAGTGTGAACCATTCTTTCAGACAATTTAAATAAAATGATTTTATGGCATAAAAAGACATGTTCAATTTAGTTAATAGTATGCCTTGTATTTTTTTTAAACATGTGATATATACTAAAATTAAGGGTGACATGTAATATTAGAATTTTATCATATTAATATGCGATTTTGTGCAAAAAGAAATTGTGACATAATTTAAGCGGATGAAATGAGTAATACTTCTTCATTTTACTCGAATGTACGACACTTTTGAAATTTTTATTATGAAATAATAGTATTTTCTTGATTAATGAAAATGTATAAGATGTTTTGATATTTTGTCATTTAACTTAATGTATAAAGTAATTATATGTGTAATGATATATTTATAATTTAAATAAAAAGTTAAAAGTATTTTTGTATTAGTGTATTGTTATTTTTACTAAAATGTGAAAGAAATACTTTTAACTGAGAGAAATAAAAATTATAAAAAGAATACTTTGATTAAAGACAGAGGGAGTATGCTGTTTTCCGCAAAAAATTGTATTAGATGTAATATATTTTTTTGAAATTTATGAATAATGTATAAACCATAAAAATTTACTTCTAAACAGAAATTTTCTTTGAAAAATTCCTATTTGTGCATGTGAAGCACCTTTTAGGCCATCGTTTGTTCAAGTGGGATGGACAACATTAATGAGTAATGATAATTATGCTTATCTACTCATACATTTTTCAGCATGTTTATATGGAGCTTTGATTTTTTTTTTTTTAATTGTTTTTTGTCTTTTAGTACATTGAATAGTGTTTTCTATATCATCGAAACTTATGGTCATATAATAATAATTTTTTTTTTTTTTATATATAGTAAAAAAAAAGTAATATTTTTTATCGAAAAAAATGAAAATATTTTTTTATGATAATAAAAAAATATGAATATAAATTTGGAAGACAAATAAAAAATATTTATAGGAGATGTATCAACAATTTGACCATGAGGAAATATGCATTGAAATATTTATATATGTTTATTACAATTCCTTGAGGTGATGATTCGCTCATTTCGTAGACCAAAAAATTCATAATGAAAAAAAAAAAAAAAATGCCAATTAGAACATCTTTTTCATCAAAATTTATATCAAATGTATCTATTTGAAAATTGTTACATAGCTTTTATTTATTTTTAAAAGAAACGACTGCCTTATAAAGATACTACTGTAAGAAATAGAATGTAGAACTTAATAAAGTCGAACTAATACTTTTATATATATATATATATATATATTTGTACACGTTTTTAGATGAAGCTGAAACCCTAATATTATTCACACGTTTACAGGTGATCTAATTTTAATTACACGTTCACAAATTTGAACCACAAAAATCTTTCAACTAATTCTCTTAGTCAAATAAGTACAATCGACCCTTTGACATGAAATATTAGGACCACTTAACTCCAACTGTTTCTCACACTTCATTCTCTCTCTCTATATATACCTCAGACGAATATGCAACACACAGAACAAGACACTTCAGTTCGATCTTCTTACTTCATCACTCAAAAAAATCTAAACTTCTCATCAATTGAAAAGAACTATGATTCTAATTCAACCCTCATTTTTCTGCCCTCCAATCAAAATTTCGTTCGAAAAAGTGGAGAAGGCAGCCGACTCTTTCTCATCGACGCACGGATTAAAAATGACTTACGAAGCCATTACCCTCGGTCGCCAGCTCTATAATTTTCACAAATTTAGGCGAGGGAGAAATAACTACACATCCCAATTGTCTGTTTTATT